ACTTGGAGCATACTGCGACTTCTCCACCATGCACTTCCATCCAATCAGGGCTCCTTTTCCCAAGCTAGCAACGCACCTGCTGCTACATAACACCCTCTAACCAAAAATATGAGAGTGAAGTCTGACATTGTGTGATTATGTGCCAATCAGATGTCATTATCATTTAACTGTGAAACAGGAAATGACAGCGCAGTGTACATGAAAAAAAGCTTCCTTTTCATATCCAGTTTCCTCATATTGCTCTGGGAATTGCACAGCATTTCACACTGCTGTGTCAGGAGCGTTAGGAGTATTAGGAGAGTGTGTGAGAGGCAGAATTACAAACTATCCAGAGGGAGAAATGCTCTGTGAAATTGTATATAGCAACATTGTGAATCAGCGTAAATCTTAAGCTTGCCATTCATCAGGAGTGAATAACTCAGAAATAAACTGCAGTACATATCAGGGGTCAGGAGTTGAATTAATCAAAGATAAAATTTTATTCTGGGTCAATTTCAGATCAACATGGTCAAGTAATATAGACTGACTCTCTTTAACTCCTCAGTGGTGTAAAAACCTATTACTAAAAGTTGTTTCATCAGCTTTATTAACAGTTTTGCTGTTTCAGCAGTTGTTAATAGTTTCCCAAAAGGCTGATAGCTGACAAAGAAGTAAGTTCCTGTAAACTGTAATTTTCCTCTCCTTGGGTGCTATGTTTGTGTTCAGACACAAATACAGCAGACTGAGACAGATTAGACTCTTCTTGAAGGTGATAGAGTGTTTAAATAGCACCACCATTATACAAGGCTTAAAGGGTTTAATCTAGTTAAATAACAACATGGAATGGAGCTTTACTCACACAGCCATTAATTGAATTTTCTCCTCATGAACCTTTGCTGTAAATCTGTCTCTTTTGTAACTGTTACGGTTTCTATGATGTGAATCTGCTGTTTTTTTATTGCAAAATCTTGGCAGTGGAACAGAAAGATTTTCCAGTTCAATTACAAGTACTGACTAGCCAACATTTAAAATCATAGATATATAAAAATTAGTATATAAGTACCACCTGAGTACCTAACGTAGACTGAGCCCTCTACATTTATTTCCAATGGGACAGGTCCCCTTTCTACGAAAAACCGTGATCTTGCAAGGTTTTACCTTAAAAGAACTTCTGTCAGTATAAATTCTTTGGCACAAGACAACCACTCTCTTCTTCTTTATCTTCCAAATGAAACCGCCACTAACTAAACACAGATTCATATTTTACTAGTTTAATTGTATTATTCTATTGTAAAAATAAAGCAGTGCAAGAGGGTCCATTTCTTATGTACGTAGATATAATAGCCTGATTCCTGTTTACAAAGACAAAACAAAAACAAAACAATTGTTTTACTCTCGAGATGACTTATACACCTTTTTATTTTTTAAACACATACAGACTTGTTTTCATCAACCAGTACATTTGCACAAACTTTGACAAGATATGAAATAAAGCGTAAACATGCATTTACTGAAGACCAAGAGATAAGAGGTCAGTATACACTCACAATCATCTCTTATTGCTAATTATCCTTTATTTTGTTTATTATTAAGCTTCTACTTGATAAACCAGAGAACAAAGACAGAGATCTTGGATATAATAAAACTTTGGAATGGTATTAGTATAATGATTTGTAATGATAGTCAACATCAGCCATGCTCAGTTGATAAAAATAAAAGCTTTACCACCTTCTTGGCATTTCCTTGTGTAGCTAAGGTTAAAGTCTTCACAGGCCAGCCCATTGCTCTCATCAGGCTTTAACTGGTCTCTGAAGTAAGTGTCCTTTAGGCTCCTCATAAAGCACGGGACTGCCAGCTGAGGGTTGACCTACAAGATGTCAGCTCACATTTCCAAAAACCATTGCAGCAACCATGTTTAGGCCAGGGCCACCACTGCTTGAAGCATCAAAACAGATGGTCAGACAGGAGTAGACTATTCCTCTAGAGGTTCATACTGAGGAGGCCTTTAGGGAAAAACCACATGCATTATGTGGGGCAGTGCCAATTAAAATGAGTTATAGTAAATAAGAGGATGTCCCAGGTCTGTACTCATTTATATAATTAATGTAAAGCCATTAATATGTTTCACTGAGATTATTTTTAATCATATTATGAAAGAGAAGGAAATTAGAAGTGTCTTTTTTTTTAACTAAAGACTCAGTGAAGATGAGATATTATGCATTTATAATAGTTTATTAAAAAAATGTTGAGTGAAAATTTAGGATTTCAATAATTAACATAGAAGATATTTTATTTATTATGAGGTACACATTTGAAGTTATCCCAGGATGAGACTGCAGGCTGAATTGAACTGAACAGCTCATTCAAAAGATATTTGTTCAATTCGTGATATCACTGATAGGTGACTCTCTTTAAAAGAGCACCATAAAGGTCACTCATACCAGTCAGAAAAGCCCTGCTCTGTCCTTTGTTGCTGTTGTTTTTCTTATTGTTCCATTTTGAAACTTTTTAACATGGATTAAAAAAAACATGTGGCTGTGTATCATAACGTGTCACTTTAAACAGAGTAGGATCTGTCAAGTCATGGAGATGATTTTGTAGCATGTGATAGTAAAGGAGTGTGTGTGACAAGTGTGTGTGTGGGGGGGTAATTAGCTAAAATGAAACATGTCAGAGATAAAAATGAGGGTTTTCAAAGATACAATACAAAAAGAGACTTATTTGACCAGTGAATCATGTAAAGTCACCTAATTTCTAAGCTAATAACTAATAATTTTGAAGTAGTTTATTAAAAACGTTCTGATTTACACTTTATATTTGGACATAATCCAGTGTAAATAATGAAAAATACAATGAAAAAGAAAGCTTTTACAAATAATGCCAATTTTTTTGTGCAAAAGGGAAGAACAGATATTTGTTTTTGTTTTTGTTTTTGCTACTACAATGATTGATTCCAATAAAGGTATTTGACAACATGCCAAAAATAACTTCCAAACTCAGAGGCAGATTGAGGCCAAGAAGGTGTCAGGAGGTGAATTTCATTCAAAGCTTGCAGAGAATAGTGATATGCATGGCTGGTGGAGGTCAAACACTGGGGGGTGGAGTAGTGGCTCGCTGGCAGGCCTGGACGGTATCGAGGCAGAGTGGAAGGAGTGGGGGTACTGGAAAAAGGCATATGAGTCAGGATGGCAAGATGGACAACAATGTGATATATAAGATATGTACAACAGAAGATATGTGTTACAGGCAGGCTAAAGACAAAACTGAGCTAGACTTTGTGACAAATCACACACTTGGTTGGCACAACAATCAAGCCAGGGCTGTTGGTGCAGGGCACTGGAAGGGAGTGGGTGATTGCTTGATGGCAGGCAGGTGGGTTGATTGCAGATCCACAGCAGGTGAGACACTGAAGATGGCAGACAGCAATAAGGGAGGGTGGGAAAACGTACCAAAGCATTTCAAATTTCCTTCACAAAACTCTGAAAATAAAGAAAAAAAACCATTAGAAATCAGTTTAGTTTTTCTGCAAACTACTTGTCAAGAGTTTGTTTCTGAAAGTCATTTTAAAGTTGATCAATATCAGCACTGGCTGTAACACTGCAGTTTAAACTGTCGGGAGAATAAACATAATCTGAGACAACAAAGTGTCTTTGCTGTCTCACTAACATACTATTGTGTCCCTCTTTGTTACATACAGTGTCCTTATCTCACTCCTGTCTCTTCTCTCGCTCTCCAGTGTTCACACACATGATGATGACATCTGTGCTTATGGTGGGAACACACGTACTGTACAGTATGTGCATAGGCTGCTTTTATTTCTGTTCTATGTTTAGAGTTTGTTAGCAATCAAATTCTTCATTAGGCCGAGAAAAGGTCTTTTTCCACTTTCATTATCCTCTCCTTCCTTTTTTTAAAGGTCTTTACTGTCATTTTAAATTTAGAAGTTACTAATGAACACTTTTGGTTTCATTCTCATGCCTCATCTTCAATGGGAAAGGTCAAAGGTTATTGCACATACCCGTGAAACTGTGCACAAACACATTGATAATGCATAAAGGCTCAGTAGGGTGATTGCTGCTGTATGCAGCAATCACGATTACAAACAGTCAGATACTTATGTGACTAACTGGAAAGTGTTAAGGTTGTGCATCAGCTAATTTTAGCTGATCCGGCTGTGTGCGTGGGTGAACAGTCATGCTAACCTCCACTCAAAGTGATTGATAGTGAGGTGAGGCCCTGGCTTGTTCCTCTTTAAAAAAACCTTTGCCTACAGTATGACTGCCTTGTGACTCCATGGACTCATGTAGCCTCAACATAACCTTGTAAACAAATTGGATGGGACAGTGTTTCAAAAGGGAACCTGATAACCCTGAAAAATCAAATCTGTGTAGATGTCTTCAAAGGAAGTTGGTTAAACCAGCGTGTCTGTCAACTCTTAACCCTTTTCTGTGGTTTTGGAAAAAAAAAAAAAAAACACCGGCTGATGTGCTCTGGCAACAGCACAGTGGCTTTATGTGTTAATCAAGCCACAAACACAACAACAACAATAATATCATTGGTTATTTTATCAGATAAGGAGAAAGTTAATTCTGTGAACTGGACCTCAAAGGTTTGACTTGTCCAATCTCTCTGCCAGCTCAAAGAAGTGTCTATTTTTAGATGGTTCAGGGAGGGAAAGGGGGGAGACGGAGGGAAGACAAACAAGAGGAGATCCAGGCAGGAGTGTCTGAGCAGAAAAAGCTCATTAGACTTTCAATTTAACATATTCTCTGAGAGGATTTCTGAGAAACAGGTACAAAAAGCTTTGATTGACATTTGTTTTGTTTACTATTTATGAACTCAAGGACTTCCTGGACTGAACCACTGATTCATCAACTTGAAATAAGGCTGAAGAGAGGAGAGAAGAAGAAAACATGGGGGGAGGAAGATACCTCTTTTGTACCCTGCAAGAGGGGAGGGAAGAAGGAGTCAAGTGGATGAAGAGGAGGAAAAAGAAGAGGAGGAGGAGGAGGAGAGAGTGAGGCTCTTCTCCTCTCTCTCTCTAAGAGCATTAACTGTAGTGTGTTCTGCTGGTGACAGGGCTGTCAGGGTCAGATGGCTGCTCAGCCTGATTAGACCAGCTCACAGCAGATCCTTAGCGAAGCACACTGCACTGCCACAGCCAGGCAGAGACACAATCTGGCACTCGCAGCACACCAGAGGAAGAACAGGTGGAGTTCAATGTTCCAGTGGGGCAGAGCAACAGGTTGTTTCGGAAAAACTTTATTTCACGTTGCCTGAGTGTCACATGATTCCACTTCTAGTGACAGAAAGAGACTGAAAGCAGGTGGAGTCAGGTGGCTGATGTAAACACTTTGGTTGGTGGGGACGTCAAAGAGCAGGTAAGATTTGATATTTTGCCATTTGAGAAATGTATTATGATTTAAATGTGTTTGAATAGGTTTCTTATGCTTTTACAACCTTTGTTACCTGATAACAGATGAAATCCTTTATAGTTTTAGTAAAAATAGCTAATGGAAAGTCACAATTTCTCTCTGGAGCAAGCTGAGAGGTGGAGGATACATGCCAGACTAGCGCTGGAGACAGAAAACTTTGATGTTTCATACAAGCAGCCGTAGTACAGCTATAAATACAGCTGCAGAGAGTTCAGAGGTTTACTATAACAGGCAGTTGGCTGGTTGTAAGTCAGCACTCACTCTGTTGTAGAGCTGCTGCTGCTTCTGCTTCTGCAGGACTTTGGTGTAACTCTGGGTCAGTGTTTTGGGGATTTCCTTGTTCGGTAGCCAGGCTGTCAACTGAGGTAAGAGGGAAGGCTGAATATTAGTTCAGCCTTCTGTCCAGATTTAGGCATTTAGCGCACCTTCTTTTCAGAGGGACCTGTTGTAGCAGTTACAGCGAAACTCTTGTGGAGATGTAAGGCAGAGCAGGTGAATGTAACGGGATTTGAGACTAATGCTAACCTGCCTGGCTGTTGTCTTTACTACTAACCCACAAGCTTACTGTGTCTCATTCAGCCTCACGTTGCAGGTTCTTTAGAGGGCTTTGGCAGCCTAACACGGCTCTATGATAATATTGAGATCCATTTTTAACTTCTTTGGGTCCTGACCCAGCCTATGGGTGGAAAACAACCAGGCAGTCTGACGACCAACTGGGGATGCACCTGTTTTTACAAAACAGACTGTGCTCCAGGTAACAGGCGAGATCAGCTTTATAGTTTTATTGGGAATAAAACAAATCGACACCTCTTTACTCAGGGTCATTTATGTTTTTTTGTGCCGTTTGTGGATGAAGATATTTCGATGACAGCTATCAGCATAAAGTGAGAGCAGTTCTTGTAAAGAGTTGGTATTTGTATGAGTTGGTGTTGGGATACTTAGTTTCTACCATAGTGTCTATAGAGTGTCTTTTTTGTACCCCGTGACTCTACTGGGTTGTTTTCTTGTGATTGTTTTGTTTAAACCCACATTTTCACTGTTCTGATTTGGTGGTGTTTGTGTTGTATGAGGCTGTGAACCCTTAAACAGAGCTCTTCTACAAACCCAATAAAGGAAAGCAAAGGTTACTATTACAGTATGTAACAGTACTGTCTGGATGAGAAATGATTGACCTCTAGCCTGATTAGCTGTAATGCAGGATAAATTCCTAATTATAGAGAGTCAACAACCTGGAATAGACTACACTCCTCTGGAAGAGTTAGTGGGTAAGTCGACATGTGATTATGAAGTGTGTGTGTGTGTGCATGCGTGCGTGCGTGTGTGTGTGAGCCTGTCTGTGTGAGTGCGTGTGGTGCTGAGGTGAAGGGGTGATGATGGCTTACTCAGAGTACCTCAGGACATTCCCTGGTTGTTTGTCTGAATGTTTTGGACATGTGAGCGTCAGGACCACCAATCATAATTTCCTTTCCTCACTTTTTCTTTGGTGTGTTCTTGCTTTTATCAATCATACAAGAAACAAAGATATGGCTTCTCTATCATTCAAAACGAAGAAAATAGAATCACATCTAATTACATCTCCTTCTAAAGCCACATTTTCTCTAAAAGATCTGCTACATCCTGCTTTCCTCATAAACCGCTCAAAATAAAAGATTTTTAAAGCTTTCCTGGCAAGCCCATGACACCTTTTTAAACTGTTGCTGCTGTGTCAAAGGTATTAAACCTGTTGACTTTATAAGAAAGTAAACAAGCCTGTGCTTTATCATCTGACAATCCGACTTGTGTTTACCCGGAAAGGGCACATTGATTGGTTTAACCCCACAGTGGTTTAGATCAGGACAAAGAAGAAGAGCTGATGGGAATGAGCATGTTCAAATTACATTCAGGCTAAATGGACCCTATTTAGGTGTCATGATAAATATCATTCCATACTATAGATGTTTTGAATTAAAGATGCAACCTGAGAGCGACAATGACAACCTTTAAATCTAAGCCAGTAAAACTGGAGGCCCAAAGAAGACTCCTTTAACCTGAGTGTCCTTTTGTGTGTCTTTATTATACTTCTGTATAACATCTTCTTTCTAAAGCCCAATAAACTGCCTTTCAATTCACTCCTCCCCTACCAGTATAATCCACATTCAATAGACCACTAGATTCTAGACTTTTTCTCCTCTTTTTTGCCTTAAGTTAATTTTCTTGATAACATGCTTTTATGATGACATACAGTACATCTAATAAATTTTCCATGTTTTGTGAACCTCAGCATCATAGATTAGATTTACTCGCTCATACTGCATTTGTCATCTCTTTCCTTCAGTCACATGTGCAATTCATGCCAACAGGAACCCTTTTGTCTGGTTTTCAGCAACTGTGTGAGATAATAGTTTACTTATAGTGTGTTCTTTGATATAGGCCTGCACATTATAAGAACTAAAATGTGGGTTTACATTTTGCAACAACAGTGTGGAGTGTGATAGATAAAAGATGAAGAGGGTATAGGGTGAGATGAATATCCTGTATCTCAGCACAATCCAATACAGCCAGCGTGTCTATATTGGCAAATGCTGGTCTTAGAGAAGATAAAGGCAAGCTTGTGCTTAATTTACATGCTTGATGGTGTCTTCCTGAAAGATTAGAGGCCGCCATATCTTTGTCCTGCTCAGTGGAATAAATACAGACTTTTGTGATGTGTTTATCGTGGATGCTCAAACTAAGAAAACAGAGGCGATAATGAGTCTGTTTTGACTTACTTTGCAGCCTGTGTATATAACTGGCTACGAGCCAGAGCCAAAACTACCTTAAAGAGGCAATAGACATAAATATGAATTTTGGTTAATAACAGCAGTCTTGAAAATTTCTCAACTTGTTTTAAAAGTATTGAAAGGACCAAACTATTTCTAAAAGCATCTAACAGTTGCACCAGCTGAAATTTTGTTCCTACCAACGTTCATGGCTGCTTTTTCCAGAGTTTCTTATCTAATGACTGGGTTTTCTTGTTTTGTGCTTTAGAATCGCTAGTTGATGGAGTTTGTGCGGCGGAGTGGTGACTACTGCCACGCTCAACACATTTAAACCCTACCTGGGATGAAGCTGCACTATGAAGACCTGCAGCCCTAAGGGAGTGTTGGCCATTGCCCTATGAACCAGCCAGTCCATGGGGTAACAAGGGGAGCATCTGCACTGAAAGACAACTGACGAGAGAGAGGAAAAGGAAGAGAGGAAGACACAAAGAGTGAAAAGAACTGGACAATCAGAGAGACAGACACAAAGGGGACGAACGGAGGCAGAGCTGACACTCGATAGACTCCTGTACTAAAGGATATAGACACCTGATGGGGTAATACTTTATAGAACTGGACCCAAGAATCAGGAAAATAATTTTAACAGCTGTTAAGAGTCTCCAAATAGGACATTCAGCCGGAGACAAGAAGTTCAGAGTCACCTGGAGAACTGGTACAAGGCGTACACCAAGCAGCAACCTGTTACGGCTGGGACTTAAGGTAAGTATAGCAATGCACCAGCTGGTGAAATCATTCTGTGGTTTCCTTTTTAGTTCAGTAAGCTAAAATTAAGCTAATGATTTCCTTTTCAAATTAGTTTTCTTTATTAGGGTACTTTCATTTCCTTGCATATGGATACATTCCTTTTCCTGTTTTCTGTACTTCTTCTTTCTTTAATAAGTTATTGTTACAGTAACAAAATAGAGAGGTTTACTTATAGGACATCTAAAAATATTTTCAAGAACAAACTTCACCCATCCTGATTAAGTTATTACAGTCTATGCTAAGGCAGAGGACTGGTCTGGTAGCTGTGCTGAGCACTGCTGTGATACAAATGAGTAGCATTGGCTTTGAGCTGCTTCAGTCAGACAGTTATAATGCCCCAACTCATTCCCGGCCAACCTGCTTGCTGAGACTCTCATGTTGTTTCCCTCATCAGAGGCCTCATATAGCACCAAATAGTTCTTATCAGCACTCTAACTAAAATAGTGTCAGGGGAATGTGTGGCATCCCTGAATTAAGATTACTGAAATTAAAATTCCTTCTCAAATACTCTCCCGGCCGTGTTATCTTAATGAGGACGTGCACATGAGAAATGCCAGTCAGCACTTAACAACCATCATTTTGTTAGTCTGAGCCATGCTTGTCTTTGTTTTAAAGCTTCTCTATGGAGATTTGGACCAGTTATGAGACAGACTGAAATTGAGAAATAATTTGTGAAATAGAACTAATAGTGAACAAGGCCATCAGCGGGAAGATGGATTGTTTTTATATCGTTTTTATAAAAGGGAAGTTATTGGAGGAAATGATCAACAGCTTACAGCAGAAACTGCTTTTGGAAAAAAAAAAAAAAAAACTGTACAACAAAAATTAACAGCAAGCGATACATCTGACTTTTTAAAAAAGTTAAAAAGATGTTTTTGTTAAAACTGTATTTACAGACATGAGGGGATATAATCACCACAGAGATGTAAAAGGTTTTACTTTGTCCAAAATCTAGACTTACTTCCTGGAAGTTTGTCCTTGAAGCTTTAAATGAAATACAGTATGGAAAATGTTTAGATATAATCAGAGCGAAAACCCTATGGTTGTATTCAATACAGACTTCAGAATGGTAGATATAGTACCCCAATTAAAAAAAAAATTGATCCCACACCGGTGTTTCAGTTGTTCTGTCTTATAAGACGAGGTTTGAATCCTGTAAATCCAAAACATAAAACCATACAATAGAGAGCAGCATGAGTTATCCCCCCCTCCACAGGTGAAGAATGAATAATTTACAGTATAATTCATATCCACCCTCAGGCAGTACATTTAAATTTTCATACTTTTACTGCAGTGCGTATTGCATCTACCCTGGTCAAAGTATCAGCATGCAGTATGCATACACTGAGGACATACCACTCTGTCATAGCACTAGACCCTTAATTTTGGTCCTCATGTTTGTGGTACTGTACCTATCTCTAGTGCAACAAAGGTGCCTGTGTGGCTCAGTTGGTGGAGTGGGTGCCATAGGTACAGAGGCTACAGCCCTAATTTCACTGATCCTACACTGAACCCATGGTCTTTGCTTGATTTGGCACGTCTTCCTCACTCTACTTCTTTTCTTATCCCCCTGAAGCTGCCCTGTCTAGTAAGGGCAAAAAGCATATAAGGCCTTTTAATGAAGTTCAACAGTCGTCTTCGATTATTGTTCTTATATCAAGGTTTCTCTCTTTTCACTTTGTACAACATTTCTGTGAATATGGGAGCTTGTCATGAGATTTTGGTTGATCTAACAGATTTGGTTGCGAAGGGGTAAAGTTTAAGATACCAACTTTTCAACACGTTCTTGCACAGATAGGTGTAACACTAATGAGAGCTCTTATCAATAAGTGTGCCCCTGCAAGCAGTGAGGCTGAGTCCTGAAGCTACAGCAGTCAAATGATCTTTAGCCATTACCTGTGCTTGATTGATGAACATTTCTACCATGATCAAGCTTTTTGTTGTCAAAGACAAAAAAAGATAAAAAGGCACGTTATCAGAGATGGTTGAGACAAATCTGCAGAATTGCATTTTTATTTGATCGGTAAAAAAAAAAAAAAGAAAAGCGAGGCAAATGAGACTGAAATCTCACAGGAAAAGTTTTGTTCTAAGTAATATGAGTGCCATATTTTACTTTGAGCTTTTGACCAACATATATTTGCCCCCAGGTAGAAGTCAAAGGTCATCCCAAGACAGGAAAGAGCTCACTGGCCACCATGAATCGTCCAGCTCCAGTGGAACTGTGCCACAAGAACATGAGATTCCTCATCACACACAATCCCACAGACAGCACACTCAGCTCTTTCTTAGAGGTAAGATATATTTGTTTGTCTGTGCGTTGGCAGGTATACATCAGCAAACACTTCTACTTCATGCTTGATTGATTCGTTTGCAGTAGAACCACTCCATGAGCATACATTCTCCCTTTATTCTGAAAATCCTCTATTATTTTTGCTCACTGTTTCAGGATCTGAAGCGTTATGGTGCCACCACTGTCGTTCGAGTCTGTGATGTCACGTATGATAAAACACCTTTGGAGAAAGACGGCATCACTGTGGTGGTGAGCACAAACCAAACAGCAATAAACACACATTTACAAAGTGACAGAGCAACAACAAATGTCCTGTTCTTACAGGACTGGCCTTTTGATGATGGAGCCCCGCCTCCTAGTAAGCTTGTGGATGATTGGTTGAGTCTGCTGAAGAAGAAGTTTCAGGAAGATCCCGGAAGCTGCGTTGCTGTTCACTGTGTAGCTGGACTTGGCAGGTTAGTGAAATGAAACAAAATAAATGCAGAAATCAAACACCATGAATGTCATACAAAACTAAATCTCATACATGTCTTGTTTCTGCTTTTAAGCTTGGTTAGAGTTGTTGGATTTAAGTGACATTATGAATTTTGAATAGAGGTTCAGAAACATAAAAAATATAATATTCAATATCTACTGTCACTGTAAGATGTCAGTGCAATGTCAGTGACTCTGTGTTTGTTTATGTATTCTTGCAGGGCTCCTGTGTTGGTTGCACTGGCTCTGATAGAGAGTGGGATGAAGTATGAAGATGCCATTCAACTTATCAGACAGTAAGAAAATTTATGTTTACATCCCAATAACACAAAGATAATGCAGATCATGGTATGAGAGCACTGCCAATCTATAAAACAAAACGTGTTAAATATCCGGGGTGCTTATCTTCATGAAAAAAAAAGCAAAAAATAAAGATCTCTATATGAGAAAGCAAGAACACTCTTAAACAGTCCACAAAAAGGTTATAAATGGTATAAATGCTCTGTTTTCCCAAGATAATAATATGGATTTACTGCTTTGACATCACACTTTATTTAGCTTGTTATCTTTGAATAGTTAAGCTTGTTGTCCCATTATAGCACATTAAATTATGGCATTATCTTGAGATAACAAAGCTTGTTTTCTTGTGATGCTGAGATACATTGGACTGGACTCCAGAAATGAAATTAACAAGATTGAACCCAATGCAATGTATAGGTGCATGTCTGCTTGGGCCCTCTGAATAAATACTTACAATGGTTTAGAAATCACTTTTCAGCTGTACATACACCAGTAATTCACGTGTGGATGATACCTAGTTCCCTCCTCTTTAGTGCCATCTAGTGGCCATATGTTAGCAGACGGCAACACAGTGCTTTCACATATTGTATGTTGCGCCCATTGAAAAGCATTGGCAGAGAGATAAAGCATACATTTTGAGGATATTAATGAAAGGGATGAATCACAGCAAAGAAAAGAAGAAGCATGGATGTCCTTCTGTCTTTAATGCAATAATTTATTCCAGATCCTTATTGTCAAAAGATTTTTTGAACAGTCTGTGTAAAATTCCTGATTTTGGCTGTGCACTGTGTCTTTTTCAGGAAACGTCGAGGAGCCATCAACAGTAAGCAACTCACCTACCTGGAGAAATATCGATCCAAGCAGAGGCTTCGCTTCAAAGACTCCAACACACGCAAAAACAAGTGTTGCACCATGTAAACACTCATACATACACACTCACAAACACTAAATCTTGTATCCTTCAGCAGATTCTCTCAGGACTCCAACTATTCAAGCCTTCTTTCACAATCACGATCATTAAATATATTGGCTTTGTAACTAATCAAAGTCTACTCTGATAAGCTTTCAATATTCATCCCTGCCAAACCTATCCTTTTTCCTCTGTTGTTGACAATTCTTGTCTTTTAAGGATGATTTTATTGGCATGTTTGCTTTAAAATATTGTTGACCTTTAAAAGATGGTATAAATGGCAAGAGAAAATTTGAATTAAATCATGTTAGGAGGTTTATTGTTTAGGCTTATGGGCTCTATTGTGTCTTCAACAGACACATCTATAATGTGTATCTTGGAGAACACCTGGACAAAACTGCTGTATAAGTAATTTATGATGATACATGATTTATATGTTGGCCTTCAAAACCAGATTTTGAATTTTATCACTTGCATGTATTATCATCATGTCAGAACTTGATCATTGTCATTGTAAACGAGAGCAAGCAGCTTTCCTGCTGTTTTACTGTACCTTTATGTCAGTAATTCACAATGTTCTTCCTTTTCTATTAAGCACCTTCATTTGTACTGAAGAAATAAGGGCTTTCTTTCATCCTGGCCATTAATCTCATTCATAAATAATCAGTTTAAACATCAGCTTCTAAAAGTATCTATTATTCATATAAAGCCTTTATTTGGTTTTGCTGTGTCACCGTTTTAATATTGTGCTCAAATTGTGTTTACATATCAATGTGTGCATTATATTATGCTCTGTTTACTGACACCTACAGAAGGAAGCCTCACTAATAGAAGCAGCTGATTGTAAGCCATTGTACATCAAATATGTATGATAAAAAGAAAATGTTTATGACATAATGACTGAGAAATGTAAAATAATTGTAAATAATATGAAATGAGGATCTCTGAATTTGTTTTGGATCACTCTTCCAAGACAATGACTTGAAAATTAGCCTCTGTCAGGGAAGAGTCTCCATCTGAGTTAACACAATCTCTTAATTTTACTACATAGGAGATAAATGGATAGATTATGATACTGGTTTAATCTTTCCACATCTAGTATTGTGCATCACAGCACTCATCTGTTAGCCTTTAAGGTTAAAGTAGACGACTTGTATTTTTATGTGATTTGTTTTTTGTTTTTCAATTTTTGTTTCAAAACGATGCATGTAACCAAATGCTTCTGACATGTATTTTTTTCCCCCAATGATAGAGCATGCACTTTTTATGTTTGAACAGTTGCTTATGAGAGTTTTCTTATTATGTACTCTATAAATACATCTTAAACAACAGTTTGTGAGAATGAGAGCTAAGAGTGTAAAACTAAAGTAAAACAGGAGTTATAATTCGGAGTGGAAAGATGGTCGACGACCATTCTTGTGAAGTGTCACTTCTTTGACAAAGTGTGGCTGTAAGTGTGGGATGCGTGTCTGTTTGTTTCAATGTGTGTGTGTGTGTATGTACGCGTGTGCGTGCGTGTGTGTGTGTGTTATAGCCTTTAAATACTATTAATCACTGACTGGCCTGAGCTCACAGTTTGTTATGATAAAAAAACATCTTGTAGATGTCCACATATCTGTAAATTCTTACACTGTTAAATAAACTTTTTGTCATTGTCACTATGTTCTAATGGATCTTTATCAGTTTGTTCAGTTTAAGGCTGCTTTTGGGATCCCTGCTGAGGTTCCATTCACCTGCAAAAGATACTGAAACTCCAATATGTTAAGTACCCTTAGGAGTTGGTCAAACCCTATCACTAAGAACATATCTGCTGATCAGTATTAATAAGGCTAATAGTATAGAAACACTTTAAAATGACAGCTGTCCTGAAATTAGATCTACTGCTAAGCTTGAAGATTAACGGGCCTATATTGTTCCAGATCTAGAACGACTTTGGAGTTAAGACCTGAAACCTATTTAAAACAAATTGAAAAACAACTGAAAAAATCAGACTTTGCCTACATTCATTGATTCAGTTATAGCAAAAATGTCCTTATATTTCTTTCTGTCGTGTATTGCCTCTCCTTTATCAGACCACCTGAGTATTTATTGATAATCATTGTAGTTAAAGCTGCTATGATTTTGCAACTCCCCAACTTGACAGCATGTCACCAGCTAGCGGCAACCAGGTGTTTCCATGCACACACATGTTGACTTTTTCATGAATAAAAACAATATCATTAATATCCTTTAGTAGAAATTGTTGTAAAAAAATTTCCCTAGAAATTTAAAGTTATGTATCATTGAACCTATGAGCTGTATTACACTGGCTGCAAGCATAGACTGCATATACAGTATATACCGTTTATTGTTGCAAGAGAAACATTTTGAAGACATTTTGAATAAAAGGTAACTAGGAACTATCCTCCTTAAAATGTTGTACTACATTGTCACTTTTCTACTATTATTACTATTGATTTTCACAGTTTGCACACAAAAATACACCTCTATACATTTTTATTTATTCATTGTAATGAAGTATATTAGTTGTAGCTAGTAAAGCCACTGAACATGTCACATTAACATTAACATTAAGTCTCTCTGATCATACTTTTAGTTTGTTTTAAAAAAAACAATACTGCTGAGGCCTGAAAGATAGCGGTGGGTGAAGAAAGTAAGAGAAAGATGCTGCTAAACTGCAGTGAGGTTTGGTCAAGGCTGAACGCGATCACCGAATAATCTGGATAATTGATGTTGCGCAACTACATTTGTTACTTATCTCCGCTTGAGTATGTAACAATATGAATTTGGAAATGTTTAAAGTGCACTTTGACTCCTTTTTACTTGAACTATTGAGTTATTGATATTTTCTTGGGATTACATATTTGAATATTCGGTAATATATTGCTTGTGTGTGATACATGCATTGAATTTCTTTTGTTTACTTTAAAAATAGTGAATTTTCTTTTGATTAAAATGATACTCATTTATGTTTTGGCCTTTTTTTAGGTCAGGTTTTTTGTAAGGGATCATAGATCATCACTGTCGACTCAGCCTACATCACAGCTATAATTCAACCAGTACTGCCACATTCAACCCAACCAGATGGCGAGCTAACCCCTGGATTTTATGGTGTTGTTGAACATTTGGGATTGTGTGTGTTTTTATTTTTTATTTTATTTATCCCTGGTTGGCATTAGTTACGAGTTTTTTTTCCTTTCCTCTTGGCCATAATCTCCATCATGTTTAATTTGCAATAACTGTTTTGCTTTCTTTGTGTTGTTCATTCTTTAAAAAAAATCGCTTTAACCCAAACCATAAAACAAAACCATATCTTTTGTCTGTGATTCATTCACCCACACCTCGGGCTCCTTAAGAACCAGATTCTTCTGATGCAAATATACACAGCCCTACAGTAGTGTGGCAATTGTCTAACCAGATTTTGTTATGTTTGAAGAGACTTAAAATCATGTCGACGCTCTGGTTCCCCTTTCAGTCTCAGTGTAGTCTTCCCACCACAGAGGGCGCTGCTTCGCCGACTACAGGAGAACTGGATCATATTTACTTCCGCTAGCTGGGAGGACTTTTGTAGCAGATTCGACAGAAATTTCAGTGTGCGATATGTAAAATAAGGCTCTTATTTCTAAACAGGATTTATTTACTTGTGAGCTGAATTTAATTTATTATTTTCTTTCTTTGCCATTGTTATTTAAATGCCAATGGGATGTATGGACAAAAAGCAGGTAAGAATACAAGCTGACTTTAGCTCGAATATGTTTATGAGGTCTTCATGTTGGTTTGAACCAGAACTTAACAAACTCCGGTGGTGTGTGTGCGTGTGTTATTTTGGTCTGGTGTGTGTGTCTACAGCTGTTAACATCTGCAGTAGATCATTTAACATTGCAGACCTTTTATTTCTGCAGAGGTATAAACTTGACATGTTTTCCTCTGAAGACACGACCTGTCAGCTGACGCTAGGATATACGATGCGATGCGTCCAGAAGCGATCACTTTTACGAAATGTGAAAGTTTGAGCTACTTTAAATTAGGAGACTAAATGCACATCAGCGACTTGTACTGAGAAGGACACACATTTTATTACATTTATACAGTGTGATTAGTTTTACACAAATAAGAACATTTAACTGTTTAAAAAATTCCAAAACTGCTCATTGGTATATTTATTTTAAAAAATATTTGATATAAATAAAATGTGTTGGATTTGTAACCAGGTGTGGGTTCAGACAATTTTGATCGGGCTGACCCACCTAGAGCATTACCACTTTAAGTATAGCTACACACACATTGGTGGCATCCATGTACTTTTTCTGTCTCCACTCATAATTAATATCTACCTCAAATATATTCCTCAGTTTAACTTGTTAGATGTGACACAATAAAATTGCAAAATTTAAATGATTGAAGCCTCAAATGCTGTAAGGGGTCAAAAAGATGTTCATCAGAAGTTACAGTTTTTAAGCAAATTTCTTCAAACTGACAGGCCAAAATGAATAGTTCGGCAATGTTGTGGTACCGATATGCTTCAAAATACACCTGTGTTTTTTTCCTCACAGTTTAAAAACAAAGTACAACCAACAAAGAGCCATGTTGAAATGCAAAGAAAGCTTTTAGGAGAATGTTGTAACACAGTCAGTCAAGATTCTTTCAATTATAGGACACCATAAAGCTTAATTGAAATTCAAATCTCATGTTACAAATATATATCAAAGATCTCTTAAGTTCTGAATCTGACAAGGCAACTAGCCATAGTTTAGGCATTTGGGGTGGCACTTGAGATGGCCAGTCAGAGTTCCAGTGAGCTCTAAACCCTCCTTCTGGATGTGCCTCTCTGTATAACATACCACAAAGTGAAAATTGAGATTCTTTTACCAAAGGTTGAAACCAAATGACTGAAAAAACAAACAACCTCCATAGTAATCAATTATTTCATGTTTTGTATAAGTATGCAACAAAACATGCCTACATCGTGTAACACTTAAGCAGACTAGTACCTCCATTTTATGCAGAGAGAACCACTTTTAGCAGTTTTGGATTTAGGTTGTTGGATTGGTCTCATAAGGTAAATCAAGTTAAATGTGTAATGTAAGCTTGCACATATTTGTGTAATACTTCATGTTTAATGTTTGTACATTTTCCAATAAAGTTGATTTTAATTGTGATTCAGAACAAACAGAGGTGACTCTTGTTACAGCAGAACTAAACTCCTACAAGGTTCTTTACTTGTGTGCGAGGTAGAGTCTGTAATACAAGTGTGAGAAAACAGTAAAATCGGACAAAATGTCTCAACATTCGCAAGGGAAATAGTTTGAAATTCTCTTTGCAAACTGTTAAATTTCTGCTTTTCTTTTCCCTCTCTGTTTCTTTGGCTGCCACCCTCCTTCTCCCCGTTGCATCAGCTGGCCCTGTGTTTATGTGTCGGCTCTGCAACCTCTTCTCTCCCAGTCATTCTCTTCTCCTGGTACACTGCTCTCAGCTGCATCCAGAGCAGAAGCCTCCTGATGACGTCATCATTGCACTGCAGCCTCTTGCAGGAGAGTCTGCAGAGACGCCTTCAGGTGAGACTGAAATGTCATCATAGCCGGGATTACCATCACAGAATCACATTAATAACAAGGATTTTTCATTTCTCATTAAAATTACATTCACAAACTGTGGAATTCATTTGACTTTGACTAGGTTATAAGGCTGAAAATAGTAATATCAGACAGAAGTGAATAACTAGAGTACAGATTTTTTAAAATGTTGTTTGGGGAAAGGCAATTGAGCTCTTTCACTTTAACACGAATGATGGTGCTGCAGGCTGTGACTATAAAAAAAAATCAAAAGGTTAAAAGCAAACATTTTTCAGTAAACTGTTTCTACCTGTAATTTTTAAATAATTTTCTAACCCACAGGGAATCCTGAGAAACGTAAACGGGGGCGGCCAAAAGGCTCTAAGAAGAGGACTCGCACAGAATTACAAGAGGACAATACTGATGCCACCCAGTCTGTAGAGGATGTTCAAGATGTTCAAAGAAAGGGAGCGGAGAAAAAGACGGAGGGAGACCGAGAATATAGCTCAAAAAAAGGTAGTGCTGTTTCCATTTGTAAACATCCATTATTAATTTTCTTTTTCACGCAGAGGTCATGATACACCTAATCTGCATTACAAATACAAAGGTTTTATTTAGTGAACGCAATCACTAAAACACTACCTTGAAGATTAAGTAACAATGGAACAGTCGAACTAACATAAACGTGGTATCACCCAAAGATAAATCTGCTTTTTTTAAGTACTGACACAGTCATGAAAGATTAGCTTTTAACCATCCCTGTACTGCATTGTGTTGTTGAGTCTAAAGTTTTAAGAGCTTAAGTTTTTTTTTTTTTTTTTTTTCAGATAATTTTTTTCATAATTGTTTTGTAATTCTTTCGTAATAAATATACTATACTTTCTATGTGGTTCTGCCAGGAGAAAGTTGTAAAGAGTTACTGAGCTTGGAATGCAGAAACTGTCATCGCTCATTTGGCAACAGACGACAGATCCTCAAACACATTTGCCTGAGAGAAGAGGAAGAAGAGGAGCATGGAGACGTCAGTGGTGAGGATAGAACAAAGCAGTAACAGAACAGCAGTATGTGATGTGGTGTTGCTTAAGAGAGTTTGATAATACTGTATTACTTCATATTATTTAATGCTTTTAAGTGAGGATTGTGATAGAAAAGGAAAATTTATAATCTTTTCACTTGGAGTTTAAGGGGACTGTAATAAAAAAATGAAATCATTCTCAGGGAGCGCTGGTGGTCAGGCTGAAGGTTCAGAGAGTTTAGATCCAGAGGGAGTAGATCCAAACCTGAAGCCACAAAAACCAGTGAAACAAGCAAGAAAAAGGGGTAAGTATAAGACCAGATGATGATTTCTTCACATGATTTATATCCGACAAGATTACTTTATTCCAATTGTACAAAGTAGAATACTACAGAGTTTACCTGTGACCTTGTTTAAGTAAAAATATGAATGGATGTATGATATGAGCTTTCCTATTGAATTTTGTTCTTTGTTGTTAGAAACACTAAACTCGAGACCTCATTGCAACCAAAGCCAAAACTCCAAAAAAGGAGGACAGGAAGCAGGAAAATCCCTTATCAGTGTTGTCCTGGTAGAAGATGAAACACTTCCAGGTTTGTGCTTAAAAGGTAATTCTGGATAACAGCAAATTCAGATAATCAAAAAATGTCTTGGAATAAGATGTGTTCCCTGTGATAGGAGTCACTAAAATTGTTCCAGTAGAGGACAGCTCGGCAGAAACAGAGTCCACGGGCACCCAAGCTCAGCCTCAGGTGAGCGGAGGAATATTAAAAATGATTTTATCACCCCTGTCTGGTTTTATTTTTTATTTGTGCTGCATGGAATGGTGTTAAAAATGTATTCAGTGGCCATATTCATCACAAGAAACAGTGTCCCTTCTCAGAGGGGTATTTTTCAGACATCTAAGTGGGCTGGACAACTAGAAACTTCCTCCTATCATAGACACTGCATTCAGGATTTTATTTGAGAAGCAAAACACTAACATTTTTTTTTCTTAGCATTGCATTTTTTTTTTAAACATTGGCATTCATTTCACTGTAACTTAAACTTTTTTTCTGTGACTCTTTATATTTCACTATTTTATTTAGATTTTAGGTCTCTGAATTTCAAACCTGTTTCATTTCTTCTAGATTTCTTCTGTCTGTGAAGGAAACCCTGAAACAGATCAGGAAACAAGGTGAGATGATAGAAAAATCCTGTCTTTACTTGAAGTCCACAACATACAAACTGATGAAGCTCAAACTAGTCCAAACAAATGAGTGTTCATTTATTTAAATTGGTGAATGATTGCCATAACTAACCATCATGTATATTATAGAAAATGTGATGGTGAGGGTTAATTTGTCTTCATGTATTATAAAAAATGAATCGCTTGTAGATCTTGACACCTTTGTACCCCCCCCCCCCCCCAGCTCTTACCTGACCTCCACAACAACAACAACAACAACAACAACAATAAAAACAAGAACAAGAACAAGTAGCAGGGGCTTCCAGGAATATTCTATCAAGCAGGATGCTCCCAGGTACCGTATTTGTTTATTTGATGAAGTGCATAACCATTCATTTCAAAAATAGAGCTTTGGCTGGAGAGCATGTGCAGCTCTAATCTAATGCAGTAATTTAGAGATTTGAACAGGACACAAATGATTTAGTTCTGTTTTTTTTTTCTTTTGAAAGACTAGATAGTTTGTTTGCTCTTTATTTATTTTTAACGTACAGTGTCCAGTAAGTCAAAGAAGGTCCTTGATTTGATTTGAAACATGAGCCACTCAAATGAACAACAGATCAACTGGCAAACATAATCTCGTCTCTCTCTCTGTCACCTAGTTTACACCAGGGTGAGCTGAAGGTTTTCGTCTGTGAGTTCTGTAACAAGATCTTCAAATTCAAACATTCACTGGTCACTCATCTCAGGACTCACACACAGGAGAAACCATTCCAGTGTCCACACTGTGACTATGCATCATCCTTCAAAGGTAGATACAAACTGAGGGATGTTTTGCCTTCATTGCTTCTTTAAACATATAAGCATGCATGTTTTCAGCTACTGGTAACAACTTTTGATTAAGAGGGAGGATGGATAAGTCTTTAAAGCTCTTCTGTAGGAGATGTGGAAAAGCTATGCAAGAATACGACTTATGATTAAAATGTAAAACAAACTACACGATGGATCAGAGTAACTGATGCAGTCTTGTGAATAACTCAAAACTGATTCAACATTGTTGAAAAGCTTCTGACTTTCTTAACCGGTTGTTGAATTGATTTTCCTTCAAAGCTAACCTGAATATTCATCTGAGGAAGCACACAGGAGAGAAATTCAGCTGTCCACACTGTACTTTCACCTGCCTCAGCCAAGGACACCTGAAGGTGCCGTGATTAATGAAGTACTGCTGCTCATGTTATAACTTGAACTTCAAGGTCCTGAGGATGATTGAACACCTCACAGTTACAGTCTTGATTTATTTCTGTGTTTTAGTTGTAGCTGTGTTTTTGTGTTTGCATGTTCTGATCCGCTCTAAGAAACGGTTTCTTCACTCTGATACAGTTTTTGGTTTGTTTTGTGGTCTTAATTCTGTGCTCCTGGTATCGCAGGTTCATGTCGAGCGAGTCCATCTGAAGGTGAAGCAGCACTGCAGCTTCTGCGAGAAGAAGTACTCTGATGTGAAGAACTTGCTGAAACACATGGAGAGATATCATAACATTAAAGACCCTGAAGTCCAACAGAGTTACCAACAACTCCAGTATGTTTTTTCATGTGGACAGCATTTTACCCTCGCAGTTAGATTTTCGATCGTCTAACCAACTAATGCACTTGCTCCTCTGCTCTTCCCCAGATTAAAGACTCGTCAGGGCCTCAGACAGTTCCTCTACCACTGTCCCACCTGCAAACGGCAATTTAAGAACCAGCTGGAACGGGAACGCCACCTGTTGATCCATGGACCTCAGCGTCCCTTCTCCTGCCTCCTTTGTGACTATGCTGCAACCAAGATGGCCACCCTTGCTGCTCATGTCAAGAAGCACCTCTTCTTGTATGCCTGCTTTGCATGTGATGGGAAGTTTGTGAGCTCTCACAGACTGAAGAGCCACCTGGAGGAGACTCACCTTGAGCTAGACCAGGAGGTGGCCTTCACAGAAAGCATCAACAGCAGCTTCTGTTTGACACAGGCTGGGGGCAACTTGGGGGGGCAGGAGGAGAGGGAGGATACCGAAGAAGGAGGAACTCAAGAGCACAGGATAGAGCTGGGGGGAGAAGATGAGAAGGCAATAGAAGCGGAGAGGGAAAATGGTGCAGAGGGGGATGGAGGAGGAGAGGGGATGAGAGTAACAGCCAGAAGAGAGCAGGAGAAAGAGAAGGAGGAGGAACAAGACAAGCTACAGGGTGAAACTGTACAAGAAAAACAGGCAATAGGGGGAGACAGGGAGAAAAGTAGGGAATTAGAAAACAGAGATTTTCAGCAAGGGCTGCCCCGTCAGGTGGTTTCCATAGAAACCGGATCTTCCATTAACAGACAGGATGAGCAGGAGCCTCAGGACATGGCGAACTCTTGCACCCCAACATTAGGAAACATTAAACACACAGTCTCACTAACGGAGAGCATTCACACAGCTGCAGCCGAGAACAGTATTCAAGAAAACACACATACCTCTGAGGAGAACACACACACGCCCTCGTCATCAGGAATTACACACTTGAGTAATTCAAGTGTACAAACACCTCAAGAGGAAGATGCACAAATTTCACATTCAGAAAAGGTAAAGTGAAGGCATCACTATCAAGCTATGAGTACTGCTACATTTTGTTTTCATGACCGATTAACCCGCAGATTATCATCTCCATTAATTATTTGGCCAATTTATCATCAGAAAACAACACAAAAGATGTCTCTTGTTAAACTGTCAAACTAACTTACCTAAAGCTCAACATGATATCATTGTGCTATTTTTTTTTTTTTTTTTTGTAACTTTTAAATCCTTAAAATTTTGGTTTTCTCATATGGTTTCACAAGGAAAAGCAGCAAAATGTAAACCATAAGAAATTTAACATCAGTTCCACAAATTAACAGAGTGGAATTGATTGATAAATTATCCCATTTTTGCAGCTTTAATTTCTTAGATTAAAAAATGATGCAAGACTTTTATGAATGAATTTCCACTGGGAGTAGTATTCTTCAGTAGACACAAAACAGGAAATTATAGGCGTGTAAATTTTATCTTGAGTACATTTTACTGTCCTGCCTTTTAATGATCATTGTGCGTGTCTGAAACCTACAACTGTCTCATCACACATATGCATCACCTCTTGATATAAACTTCCCTTCAGTTTTGCTTTCTTGTTTCCTGTAATTAGGTGTCCAAAGTTCCCCATGGGAGTGCATTCCAGCAGGTGTTCTCATCCCTCCAGAAGACTCTGCTCAATATGGAGTCTTTTCATCAGCTCAGAAGAATCTATGGAGAACTGGAATGTCAATACTGTGGTGAGATATTGACACACCATAAGACCTTCTTATCCAATTTAGTTATTACCTTTATTCAACAATAGAGTCTCTTACTTCTTCATTGATAAGTCTCTGTCACATCTGCTTGTATTATTGTCTGCTCCACAGGTAAACTGTTCATGTACAAAGTCCATTACAACGTCCATGTACGCACACACACCAAGGAGCATTCACATTACTGCTCAAAGTGCAGCTACTCAACCATCACCAAAAGCTCCCTGAAGCGGCACCAGATCCAGAAGCACAGTGGCGTGCGGCTGATCTGTTCCAATCCAGACTGTGAATACACCACACCAGATAAATACAAACTACAGGCTCATATGAAGACACACAAGGATACGGTAAACAGCAACATTATTTTTTTTATTGATTTTTTATAGATGAAGAAAACAGATTTGTCTTGTTTCCTGTTGACAGGCTAATGTTATTGTCTTGTAATTCTTTGCAGAGGAAAAGTGTGACTTGTCCTGTCTGTGAGCACAGTTATCCTGAGCACAGGCTGAAATACCACATCAAGACAACCCACCCAGGTAAAAAACACACTTGTGTAACTCATAAGCACTTACACTTTACCTGTGAATCAGTGTTTACAGCTTTAAATCCGCTCTGCAGAATGGGAGCAAGATATTGACAGGATTCAAAATGTTTGCATGTTTGTGTTGTACAGACTCAGTGGTACAGGGTGCAGGCCTGATGGCGCAGGGTGCAGAGAAGTGTCCTCACTGTGACTCCTGTTTTGCGAAGAAGAACAGCAGTGAGTTCCAACGGCACGTCTGGGCCCATGAAGGTGTGATTTAACTTGCTTTAACACAAACTTATTTACACAGTACAGGTTCAGAAAACACATTAAGGTCAGTGAGCAACCTTTTGCTGATTTATGAGCCTCCATCTGTCCCTCTTCATCCTGGCTGCTCTCCAAGATGGACTAGACTGAGAAGACTGCAGATGTTTTTAAAGGAAGTTGGCTTGTTGGTTAAGTTACAGTTGAAATGATGAAGATGATGCTGTAGATGAAAAAGAGGCAAAAAGAAGAAGGTCAGTTAGGGCTACACAGAAGTAGTAGTAACACAAATTATTTAGCTATTTATTTGTTTATTTTCAGTTCAAGCACTTTTTTTCAACCTCTTTTTTTGTTTTTTTTTACTACAAGTTTGCCCTTGTAGCAGGCGAATCACTGCACTACTTACCAAAACAACATCTCACCAACTTAATACCTTTAAGATATAAGTGCTTATTTTCTGCCTCATCTGGTTATATTTTGTCTTTGCAATGTCTAATCATTTGAATGTCCATGTGTACAGGTGTGAAGCCCCATGCCTGTTCTTCGTGTGACTATGCTACCTGGACCAAGAGCAACTTGAGGGCTCACGTGAAACGACACAACACAGACAGAAGTCACCTTTGTGATCTGTGCGGCAAAAAGTTCAAATCTAAAGTCACGCTGAAAAGCCACAGACTGAGTCACACAGATGATGGTTCGTTCTGCTCTGTCACTGATAATAATTGTGATCATAACTGCTGCCTATGTTACTGATTATGTATTTTGTCTGTGCTTTGTTTTTTTCTTTCCAGGAAAACGGTTTCAGTGTTCAGAGTGTGACTTTATCTCTGTCTCTAAATATTACCTAGTCAGACACATGGAGCAACATGCTGAATTCAAGGTTAGAACACACACAGCTCAACCCTTCAATATGTAAAAATACCCCTAAACATTATTTCTTTGAAAAAAACAATATGATTAAGTTTCATCACAACCTAAAAACATCAGATTCATCTTTATAGGACACTTTTGAAATGAACACAGCACCACTGCTGGAAGTTATTATTAATCATTTTACTGTGAGTTACTGCTCATAATCACAGTTGATTCCTGCTCAGTAACTTTCCTGCACAGTCCAACTCACCCTGCTGTTTTATCAGTGTGCCACGACTGTTAGGGAACGGTGAGCCTTCTGTGACATGAATCATTTGGTTCGCGTTGTGTGCAAGAAAAATGACAAAGACTGCAGGTCGGCACACTCTGTGGATTTGCCACACCCCGACATTAGCCACACTCCATGTGTGCACTCAGGGTTGTTCAGTGCTACTTGCAGCCCAAGTGTCTTTTTGTCTGTGTTTTTACATTATCAGATTTTATTTATCAAGATGTGTTTTTCCTCAAATTATTTGTTTCAAGTTATTTATGAATGATTGACTGGTCTTTTCTCCCCTAAGATTTATTCCATTTGCACTGACTTCTGTACTTTCATATGTTTATGCAGCCATTTCGCTGTGCCCTCTGCCACTACTCTTGTAACATTGCTGGTCCGCTGAAGCGACACTACAAGCTGAAACACCCAGATCAGAAATATCAAAACGCTGGACTTGGACTGCCTGACACTGAAGCTCTAAAACAGCAAGGTCTGAGCTCTGCTTTCATTGTTCATGTTATTTAACGCTTCTGTAGCAGAACTGCATTTAACTGGCTGTGATCACTGTTTATAGCATTTATAGTAAGTAACAATAAGTAGTGTAGTGACTGTTACATTCTTCCCATGTATTAATACGGCAGTTTAAAAGTAAAAAAATAGATCTTGATTCTGTCAGGCAAAGTAAGACATGGAGTTTTCACAGAAGATAGGGTATATTCAGGGTGACTTAACAAAGCTTTTGTGTGTGCTTGTGTTTAGGTGGGATAAAGTGTTCAGAATGTGAGTATGTTTATGGCACAAAGTGGGAGCTGAATCGCCACATGAAGAACAAACACTGTGTGAAAGTGGTTGGAGGCACCTGGGAGGTAAATAACAGATGTATACACTCTAAGAAGAGTGGAAAAATGAATAGTTATGTTTGTTATGTTAAGCTAACTGCTGGCTCATGGGAGGCAGTATAAGTCTGTTGGTACAGAACTCATGTCTCAAGTATAACACCCTAATCCTGGAGACATTAAGGATCCTTAAATGATACTTGTATTGTTTCAATTAAACATTTTCAATAAAAGCTCCTGTGTGGAGTTTTGTAAACTGGCATTGAAGCAGATTAAGATTTTATATTGATGCCTACATGACCTACAAAATAGTAAAAATGTCAAGAACAAAATGTGCTACCTTTATGCATCACTTTTATTCACACCTGAGACTGCTGCTGGAGTGTAGGAGTCAGACTGAGAGCAAAAACAGGCTTTTATTTCATTTATTTTTTTTACATTTTCCACAGCTAAGATTCACTGCACTGTGGACACTTGACTGTTAAAAGAAAGCAGGGAGAGTTTTGGAAAAATTAAAAACCTTCTGGTCATGATTAACTTTGCCTCAAACACTACTGTCTTCCAAAAACTACATTTTGTGCAGTGGAGCTCAAAAACAGTCACACAGAATGTCTGACTTTTAAAGCAGCTTTTATTCTAACTTTCTTTTTTTTTTTTTTATTAAAAAGAAAACTGCTTTATGAAAACTGCTCAAAATATTACTAACTGGGATAACACACAAAAAAGCTGCAGGCCAATACAGTATCAGCTTACATTAAAAGTTGTAACTGTTGTTGCTGAATATTCTAACAATAACATGAACTGATCACCTTGCCTGTATTAATATCCAGGTGGAGGAGGCTGTAGAGGCCCAGTATGTGACTGTGGAGGATGGAGAACAGCTGACAGAAATACCTGTAGATGCCCTGCAGGAAAATGGTAATAATAACAGTGATTAGTATTCAGTGAACATATGACCAACAGGCACCATTCAGCTTTACAAAATTGCAGCTGCTCCTCATCACTTACATTTTTATAAATGATCTGTTTTTGAACTCACTATGCAACACATCAAACAGAGTATGTTTTTGTTTTTACTTGTTTTTTTTTTTAGTTGACATCCAGCAGATCACTGAGTTCAGTTCAGAGACTCAAGAGGCTGTCACCTCGGTGGTTGCCATGACTCCAGGCACCGTTACTGTTGTACAACAGGTAAACAATATTACATCACTTCATCTACCCCATTACGCAAAGAAGGCTGAAAGAATATATTGATGTTGAGTTATGGCTGTAGTTGCAGGTGACTGATGAGCAGGAAGATGGTGACTGCAGCAACCAGCTGATGGTTGTGAATGCAGATGGGGATCTGACTGGTGACCAGGTGATGGTGGTGGAGGACGCACATGGCCTGGAGGCTCTGACAGTCCTAACCCAGGGAGACAACACCCACCACTACATCGTCTACGTTCAGGAGCATACTGTGGAAATCAACTAACAGTGTTACCACTCTGTTAAAAAAACAGCTGATTAGTATATAGCAGAGAAGTAAATCTAATTTATCAGTGGGATGAATTAAATGGATATAGATCTTGACTGAGCGTTTACTTTATCAAGTTTTTTAGTCACAAAGCCATAATGAAAAACCATGCTTGAAATACTTTGTTAAAATGGAATAGTCTTTTTGTACTTTGAAAAAAAGTATGTAAATAAAGTTTCTGTCCTTCAATCTGGATGCTGTCATATTTTCTAAAAATGATTCCCAAGGTGTTGACCGAAGTCTGTTGCCCTGCTAGTTTGTCACTATATGTTAACATTGTTTTTTTTATTTTATTTACAATTTCACTGCCCAAGTATCCCCTCTTGATTGGCAGGCATTAGAAGAAAGTGTTATAAAAAAAAACTGACAGAACTTCATGGAAAGATGAGTGACAAATTTACATTAGATGTTACCAAGAACTAATATTATAAAGTTCTACAAATTTATGAGAAATGCAGACATGGAGCAAAATGAGATGTCTGTAAATCTGGAGGGATGGTAAGATTCAGTCTGTGACTTAAAAACAATAACTTCGGCTGATAACTTTTAGTACCTAATAGCAATAACGATTGCAAACCCAAAACCAACAGTGTGGTGCACATTTGCATAGATAAAGAGTGATACCACTACTTGAAGAAATAACAGGTTTGAGTTGAAATGACACTATATACTTGGCTTCCTTAAACTAAATTAAAAGAGAGAATGTTGTTGAATTTTCACAATATCTTGTAAAATAAATAAACCTAAAATAAAACAAGGTATTGCACAGTCTTTATCAAACCTGCCACTTCAAAGGTAGCTAGTTCTCAGTTTGAAACTCAGTAGGGGCCTTCCCCGGCAGAAGTAGAATATTCTGGACTTGGGTTTTTCTTTTGAAGTAGTATAATGCACTGAAATTAAATAAACCTGGACATGTAAGCCTTTAATCGCAACACTTTACTTTGGGGGTAAGCACAGATGGGTCAAAGCAAGTAGGTTCAAATCCTGTCATGGAGGTCTTCCTTGTCTAACTATAATGTTGTGATTTCCTACCACTTTCTCCAAGTAAGCTGTAGGTAGCTGGGGTTTTCTGCTATTAAATTCTTGCTTATTGGGGTTCATTATATATATATATATATATATATATATATATATATATATATATATATAACCCCCCAAAAAGAAATTCAAGGCAGGCAGTATGGTGCAAAGGACCACTGCACTCAGAGTTTACATCCAATACGGTGGTTTGAATGGTGTGACCGCCTTTAGTCTAGACTTTCAGCTGAATGATCCAGGGTTTGATTCCAGAAAGGGGCTCTCCATTCGAAGCATGAACCTCTTCTTTAATTAACCTTTATTAAACCAAACCTCTAAATGGGCGACCTGGATCTTGTAGTTGAGCCTCTGCCCACAGGGGGGAGCAATGGCGCTCTCTGTAAAGATCGACCGTGCGGGGCCACAAATAACAGAAGAAGAAGAACTGGTGGGAAATTTGACAGTGCGCGAAGTAGTTGTTCACATCTGACCGACATTTTTACCTAAACAAAGATCAAATGCAAATTTTCTGCGGTTAAGGAGACATGGACCGGCATGTGCTGGTCATATCTTTCTGCCAAACCAATGAAGAGTGTACGGAAGAGTTAAAATGTAAGTGTTAGTGTATCGCAGTTTTGAAGTTAGTCTGCTAACGTGGCTAACCCTGTTTTAGTAAAGAAAGGGTTACTCTGAGTGTTCAAATACTTTCCACTTTTTCTCAGGCTTTTATGCTTTTTAAGTGTGTCTACCAATACAGTTTATGTGTTACCGAATTGCCAATTCATTCTTCGGGTCAGTTTTTTTCAAGAGTTTTTTTAGCCTCTCGTGTCACAGCCATTTATTGTAAACTATCTTACAGATATAATTAATAATGTATATTTGACAAACCAGTGTTTTAAAACGAATAATTGATCATTTGCTGTGTCTCAAGTTGCTTACTGACGGGGTTAGATGGTGCATTGCTATTTTAGTATGAATTTATCTGATAATGGTCTAACCAGTGCTTGTCCAGGAGGTGTTTTTTACGTCTGTGTAAATAAAGTCTTTGTCTGGATGTGATCAATCCTCTGTTTCTTACAGGTCTGGAGCCAGTGAAGCAGATATATGGCAGACTTTTGGACATCTCTGCTCAGGAATCAGATAGAGGAATCTCCGTGTTTCCAGGTACACAAGAGCCGAGGTGTCTGATTTTGACATAGAAGATTTTTATTTCCTTAACTTTCCACAAACTTCTCTTACTCTGCATGTTTTCACAGCATGCTCTCTCAGTGGCAGTCCTGCAGCTCAGAGGTGGTACTTAGCTATTCAGGCCTGCCATGGAGCAACACAGGTGAGACATTTGTTCATATCATGCAAGTATTGCTACAGACAAAGATACCGGGCGAGTGACCTTACATGTACCTAAAGCCTCACTTTGTGTCTCTTTCCAAACTTAACTCAAAGTGTGAGAAAAGTCTGTCAGAGTGACTAATGATTAAGAGAAAAGCCGAAACTGTTTTTGTACAAGCTTTCAGAGTCTGTTTTAAGTGTTCAATACTTAAAACATTTGAACCAATAAGGACATTAAAGATCACACCTTAGTACACATACTTACCTCATGAATCTTTGGAAATTAAGTAATTTAATTGCAGTTACAAGTTATTTTATGTTATTTTTTTTCTTTTTGGTCAGTCATCTATGTCTTGGGAAACCAACAAATCATAGGTGTCTTTCTGAGGTTGCTAAAGTCATTAAATACTGATGAAGTATAAGTGAAACAAACATTAAAACACACAACTTTGTTGCAATTTTTTTACATTCCATTTATTTCAATACCCCACCATAATTGTTTTTCATTTTCCATTAGGTTGATGACATTTTAAATCCACTTGTGATTGATATTTTGAGTTCTACTTATCTGTTTAGATTTTTCTATTAAACCTCCTTCAGCTAAACAAATAACACAACTAATAGATGAATGCATCCAGAGTTTTACTTTCTTGAGAGAGGAAAAGGGTCTTCTGTTCATATATAACCTTTTATACTTTTATACTTTATATATTTCTTGCATGCTCTTATTAGTTTTTATTCTAGTATTTTTATAGTTTTTATTCTAGTATTTTATATTTCTCTCTGTTTATTGTTGCACCATCATGCCAAAACAAATTCCTAGTCTGTGAATCCTGTTCATCGACAATGGCAATAAAACCCCTTCTGATTCTGGTTCCTGTTCTGATTTTAACAATTTAATCAACTGTTCTGTAGTTTTGCAGCTTGGACTGGGAAGAGTTGGGGACAGTTCAACCCAAAACTGACAGCCAGGAGGAGATACCCTCAGCCTTACAGTTATGTTTTAGTTCTCTGAGGAACCAGGATTCACCGGATCAGCCAGCACTGACAGAGTGAGCAATGTATATAGTTTTCTTATAGGATAGAGGAGGACTTTATTTTTGAAAGGTGGGACCATGTGAGCTTACAAGTTGATATTGTAAAAAGAAAAAAAAATATCAATGTTCAAAGGGAGAAATCCCCTCTGATTAGTTAATGCACAAACATAAGTTTGTAACTCATCCTTTGGTGACAGCTGCATCAATAGATTGACCTTGAGACATTGTGCTTGTTAAAAGGCTAGAAAGAAAGAGAGGAAAAAGGTGGTAGCTTAAGATAATGATAAAAAAGCATAGTTTCTGAGAATCAAAGTCCCTCGTGTAACAATTTACATAGAGAAGCTTGAAGTCTGATCTGTTTTGATTGTATTGTCTATCTTGCACAGGCTGTTGGAGGAGGCTGCAGAGGGACTGCATCTCTTGACAGACAAGCTGCCACCTCCAGGTAAGCTGAGAAGCAATAGCTTAATGGTGGAGTCAGTGATCTCTCAATTGTAGGGTTGGCAGTTTGTTTGGCACTTTGAAAGGCATCCTCTGCCGTCAGTGTATGAATGTGGTCCAAATGGATAAATGTGAAGTGGAATAAAAATACTTAAGGTGGCCAAATGGATTAAGTCCTTTTACCATTTTATGAACCACTCTCTTGATGAAAAGAACCTTTCTCAGCAGCTTTGTGCCATTTTCCCACTTTAAAAGTGTCATTCATAAAGATTTTGACTCTGTGCCCTGTGAGTATGTTTGTGTTTTGAAACCTCTCATTTGAATAATTGAAATCATGAATTGTGTCCAATTAGTTCGAGGGCACAATTATCCCCTTTATGATGTTTTATCCAAAATGCCTTAGTGCAGTTTTTCTCAGATGATTTTGGGTGTTATGAATGTCTTCACAGAACAGCTTAAGCTCAGCAGTTTCCTCTAATTTGTTTTAATGAGGAAAACAACAAAGGTCTTGTTTACTGATAGGGCAGTGGAGCAAGAAGTGCGTTCGCTGCAAGAAACAGTGACTCAAGTCTGAGTCTGTCTTTGCCTAAAGCTTCCAGTAATGAGGAATTAAAACCTGTTTACATAAGCCAAACTTCTCATCTGTGTGACAAGGATCCTGTCCAGATTCTCGTACAGTAATTACATTTTGAAAATCTGCCTGCTGCTAAAGCCTCGTAGAAAAGGTGGGCTAGTGTACTTCAAACATATGCACTCACCACTGGGAAGATGGGATACGACTGCTCTGACTGCTTCTCAGCAAGTCTCTCTCCTGAAGCAATATTTCACTTAAAGAGCATTTCTTAGCTCACCACCTCCACAGGAGTTCAGGAGCGGTCACCCTCCATCTGTGGCTGCCCTCAGGACCTGGAGTCAGCTCTAGTTTCCGACTTCACTTGCAAAGATCTTGATATTTATTATCGCACACAGGCAATCTCCTTGTTAAAAAAAAAAAGCCAGTGTCGGTGAAGCGACCAACTCAGTTCATTGACCCCCCTCATGAGGATGGGGATGTGGTGTACTCTAAAATTGAGAAAGAAAGAACATTTTTAATGAATTCCTCTCTGATTTGTCCCATTTTTTCCCCCCTCAGGTAGAGCTTTGTTGGATGTGCTGGTATTGGGCTCTGCAGAGCAATCCCCTCTTATTAAAGACCTGCTGCCTCTGCTAGGAGCACTCAGACACATGTCCTGTTGGCATGCTGCTAAGATCTCTGTAGTCACACAACACGCTACTGGGTGAGGAGATGAAAAAATATTCACGCATTTAATTATCACACATTACACTTTAAAACCAACTGAACATTGACAGTCTAATACTGTATCTCTCCAATAACAGTCAAACCAGTAGACTCTCCTATAGTCTGTTTCTACAGGATTCTTGTATGTTCACGGCTTCTGAAGTGTGCATTTGAGTACAAATACAGATCCTCTGATTTACTGTGATATTTCAAGCATCAAAAAAAGAAAAAGGGCTGTCAAAAGGCTGGATTTGTAGTGTGTTGTGTGAAATGATTGACATTTGTGAAATGCTCCCAGTTCACCACCAGGGGGTCTTAGAAGAGTAAATATGGGCATGTGTTGGCTTGTGTTCATGGATGAAGAGTCTGAGCGGAACTTTGGTTTACTAAATAGAGAAACAAAATTCACTGCGAATATGGACTTTTTTTCCTCATAATCAAATAATCTAAAAGACCCTAATGTTGATTGACTAATTGATTTTTTTTTCATGCCCAGGTGGCAGAAAACAGCATCCTACCTGAGCGCTGGTTTGGTTGAGCCTGCTGACCTCTACAGTTGTTTGAGCCACAGAGATCTATGGAGGGGCGGTCTAGTTATCAGAGAGAAGAAGGTAATGACCACAGAAAACTGGTGCAGGCATGCAGAAAAAACACTCAGGAAACAGTACTTAGTGCATAATTTATTTCACTTTTGTCCTCTCCTCTCTGTGCGGAGAGAAAGAGGAGTCAGGAAACTTTGACTCGTTTGAACTGGTACAGTGCGGAGGGAGGGAATCCCAGCAGAGTGGGTTTTTTGTTGAGAAAAAACCCACTCTTTGTAATGGTTATAAACAAAGGAGAGGGTGTTGGTGACTTGAGACGCTGCGGGAACAAAGACAGACTGACTTATTAAAGAAGGGGGGAAAATGGATTTTGCAAAAGTTGTGAGAACTAGTGTGTGCAAAATATTTTTTCTTATATTGTCATCAAGAAAACGGTGGCAGGATGAAAGCTGTATTACTTGCTGAAAAAAAGAAACACAAATTCATCTGTAGCTGTCTAGATGGTCCAGCAGAGAAGGAAAAAAGGTGTATGTGGTAGGTGAGCTGTTGAGAAAGTGTTTCTGTATCATCACCTCTGTGCAGTGTGCATGAGAAAAAGCTACGTCCTTCTGTACTTGCCCTGGGCTTTTTATCGTGAGCTGTGTAGGTTGTAAGCTGGAGCACAAAGCCAGCATAGTTCAGCATAGTAACAGTGTTTCCCAAACAACCTTCAAAACCCCTGGCTATTAATAGTCTGCATGGGCTAATCATGCACATTTGCTCTTTATTTTCCAGTAAAACTGTTCTGCTCTGCACACTCAGGCTGTATAAAAATGCTAGGCCACAGGGTAATCTACACTTATTGCCTGTAATTGGAATTTTTTGAATGGGCCTCTCTGAGCAGGTGAATGAGTGCATTACATGACGCCTTACAGGGGTCATGGGAAATAGCTCTGCTTTGCTGGAGTTACCCCAGAAAGGTCAACCCGGCCCTCCCTGGCACAGCCCTGCACTGACTCAACAGCTATTGATTATTGGTTTGGATTTAGTAAAGTGTCAGAGAATGCCTCTGGGCAGACGGTGAGTATTTAAAGAAGAGCACCGGTGTCATTCAGATGCAGACACAAGTCTCACCTTTCTGCTCCTGTTTGAATTTCAAGTGTTTGAATACATTTAAATGAAATAATAGTTTAAACCAATGGTTTAGTATTTTTCTTGTAACATTGAAAAAGTCTGTATTTTATTTTTTTACTGCATCATGTGGCCAAAACTAAGAATAGACAAGTACTCATTTTGTTTCTCGTCTGCATGTTTTACCCATTTGAAACAGACCTTGACCCTCTTTAAGAAAAAATTATAATAAACAATACAATATCTATTGCCCAGGGCTTGTTGACCTTTTTTATGTTGGCCCTGATAATCGTGCCAGAAAAGAGTGCACCAAAGGTCACAGAGGGAAGATACTGATGGTTCAGATTCAAAAAAGCATTTTTGTGTGTCTCTGATGAATAAGTTCCTTCCACTCTTGAACACATTTTCTGTGATTTATTTGTTTGTCTCTCAGAGTTGCATATTAAACACACAACTTGGCGTGTGAAAGTATTTTTCTGGAAGAGCCAAGGCAGTCATCGCAGCATTTCTTTTCCCACCATGTTTTGAATGACAGGTTTAACATCGATATTGGTGTGTTGTTCGACAGCCTGTATTGAGCCCTTCCTTCCAGCCTCACACACAGCCTTGTTGTATCAATGTGAAAAGGCTGAAGTGAGGTGAGCTGATGGCATTTTTAGTTGCCACTCTGGAGATTACTTCACACCCACTTGTACTTCTTCCTCATTAAGCAGGAACTCTGGCAGGAGCAGCAGTTTTCTGTCTCTGGATAGAATTGGCCAATTTTGTGCTATTCTTCTCCAGCAATCTGTTTCTCTGCAGTTTCCCTTTATGTCTCATACTGTTGGGATTTTTAAATTGGCTGAGAATTTTAACTGCCTTCTACACACTGAGCAGGCTGTATCGAAAAATAAGTTACATCCTTGGGATAAAAAAGTTTTTGCTAAGAATATCAAATTAAAACATTTTGCTGTTATTTCTCCAGTATGAGCCTTTATTCAGGACTGCGTAGCCTTATTTTGGAATGGTTTAAGCATTGGCGGGATTTCTTCCGTCTGCTGGAGTCAAAACTTTGAGACTCGCAAACACTGGAGGAAAGAAAAAGTCACTGTTAGGCACTAAAATGTTAAACAGACATTTAAACTTAATGAATCATTCGAGGGTTGTTAATTTGAGGTACAACTTTTGGGATTTGCTTGTAAAAATAACATCCAAGATGCTCAAAGCAGATGCATTTCCACAAAAGGTTGATGATTTTGGGTTAAATAATAATGCCATACATTAACAGTATAAAGTGCTTGTGTTTTAAATCTTAGTGAACCCGGGGTGGTAAGATGCCTTAAAAATGACACCTTTAACCTTGATGAATTGTGACTCTGAGCTGCAGTTGAAACAAGTTACAACAAATCATAAGTTTTTATTTTATTTTATTAAAAGTGTCAGCAAAACAGATAAAGGCCAAGTGATAAATACAAGATTTTAAAAAACGTTTGCCTTCTGTCTTTGCTCTAACAGTCTAGTTTTATGATCGCAGCAGTCTGATAATTATCCAAGTCAACTGGTGATGCTGCCAGGTGCTTGACCAAAGTCTCCTCTGCTCCACCTCCTGAGTTTAGTCTGCTGTGGCAAGCATGAAGCATCTCTTTGAATAAAGTGACCTTTTCTCAGATGTCTCCTTCTGAAGTGAGCTCTCTCCAGCAGACACCCAGTAAAAGCTTCACAGTTGGGGAGCACTGAAATAAAGAGACCTCCCGAAGGAGTAAATGCCTGCCTGGGAACAACTGCCATCATCCTGCTGCTGCGATACATGTGCGATAACTACTACTGTACTCCTGCACGTGTAGCAGTAACTTAACAGCCATGTGACTTCAAAAGAAAAAACAGGGCAGGTTTTGATTAGGAGTAGACACTTGATTTCTGCATTGTGCTCTATAATGACTCAGCAGGTGGTTTGACGCCTGTACTGACCAGGAGAGATTGCAATTATTCAAAATAATGAAACTACTTGCTGCTAAATGACTGTTTCCTTCTCTTTGTGTTTCTTTTTGCATCAGTATGTCTCGGAGCTGCATTTCAGTGGCTTTTCTCTAAACTCTCCAGAGAATAAGAAGTCTGCCTGCTGCCTCTTACGGGCTCCTTACATCTCTACAGACCACAAACTGCAGTCGGAGGTGAGTCTCAAGTTCCTAATGACGTATCAAGTCCTCAATGTACAGTCTAAACCCTTTTTTAACCAAAAACTTGGCCTGATAAAGAAGACGACAGGGAATTCCGCTTATCTTTGTGATTTACTGTCAACATGAAAGGTAAAGAAAAATTCAGACCTGATGGATGTTTTATACATGAATGTTGACTATTGTTTGTATTTGTGTTCTCCAAGGCCAGCTCAAGGCATAGGCGTCAGGAATATTAACATAGCATTAAAGTGCCACTCAGATTGTGTTTTTACTACTTGAAGTGTTATCAGCAGTATTTAAACTATGAGTATAAAGTTTTTAGCCAAAGTCCCATCACATGTGTCATTTTTAAGGGCTTTTCTTCTGCAGAGCTCCAGTAAATCATTAGCAATTCACCTCTGAGTCGTGGGCGGAGACAGCGCTGCTCTGCACACTTCTGCTCGAGTTAGCTTGCAGCCTAACATTGCCAGTGTAGTAGAAGAAACACGTAACAAAGGAGCTATTTAGCTCTCGGACAGTATTGTCTTTAGGGGCATGATGAAAGCTAGTATCATAATTATCTTTCTTACGACCATTGCAATCCGCTAACGCAGACGCTTGTTCCACAATCGTCCTCTCTATTTCTCTGAGCCTGGTTTGCATAGCCGGGCTCCGGGGGTGGAGCTTGGATTGGTTGCGTAGGAAATGTCACTGTATCTGATCCAGCTGTTTGTCTCTGCAAGAGATTCACAGTGATTTGAATGCAGAAATACTCTTTTTTTCTCATGACATATCCTGTAGTACCAGTAAAATGCCATATGAACATTTAGACAACAAGAAAAACAAGATTTTCATCTCAGTGGGTTTTTAATAACGACATTATAGTGGCGTCAGGAATAATAACATAACATTAATAATAACATAATGGTTGGATTTGACCTTTTAAGTGTGGCCTTGAGTGACACCTTCTTCCACTAATCATCATCACTGTTACCACTTTGAAGGCACCCAGGTCTGGATAAGTAGAGCTTGTCTTTATGATCAGTTATGTTTACAACTTGCATCCTGTCGGCAGTTTCACAGTAAGTGTCTTGTGAGCATTGGTTGGTTGGCAACAAGTGCGACATAGGAAGGCAGGGAAAAGTAATACTGTTAGCAGCCAAAGCTTGGTTAAATTATTCCTAATTTGCAACATTTTGAAATGATTCAAATGTGTTTCATGAAAATCCAAAATGAGGTTTGTTTCATTACTCACAGGGCTGTACTTTGCTGAGATGATATGAACGAAACTGTAAAATGCCTCTGGAGTAGGTTCTTTTTAATTCCCATAATAGCAAAATTACTTGTGCAATTTAAAAACATATTTTCATGTGATTATTTAAAAGGACCTGTTCAGCTGCATCCTCTTTTATAAGCTGTACGGGTCTGAGGAGTAGTTCTGAAGACAAGAGCTGCAGTATGTGAGGAGAAGTTCCACAACTTCTAATCTCTCTCACAAATCTCCAGTTTCTGCAGTGTTGTTCCAACAGTGGAAACAGCAGTGACCTGGTAGAAATATTTATTCCTGATCATATATTTAAGGTGTGAGGAGCGATATAGAGGTCTGGAACCTGCTAGGTCATTGCTGCAACTCACTGAACTTTTCGAACACCTCAGGCGGCTGAATTTACGAGTTTTATTGGCAGACAATGGCATTATTGTTTAAAAAAGTCCAACTGCTCCCCTCATTAGCTCTTGATTTTTCCTCCCTGGCAAAGACTTGTTCTCAAACATGCCAGCAATTTCTCCACAGTAGCAACACAATCTTCTGCCAGAGCACTCCAGGCCCTGCGCCCGATCCAAATGTTGTCAATAAGGAAGTCTTGTTTTGAAAAATTCAGTGTTTTACAAGACGGTTCTTACCTACAGCTTAATATGAGATGCTGATGAAACCATGCGTGTGTGTCTATGTTCTTTAACTCTGGGGCAGGCTTTGACTGACAGGATGTGAAGCCCACGATGACTGAATTTCCAGTCAGGGAAGAACTGTTCCTTCTTAAGCCCAGCTCAGCCTACATCTTGCCTCCGAGCTAAAGAGTTAGATGAAATCCTCACACTCCCATCTCCTAATGATCTCTGGTGGCTTGCAGGAGATAAGTTCAAAAGGGTCACATCCAAATTACCCTTTAATCACATTGGGGAACCTGTGACAGAGGGATCATCTGCCCGATAAATTAGATGTATTTTATCTTTTAAATTACTTCTTATATCTTGTGACCAGAAAAGTATTTTTTAATCGTGATTTCTTATACTAATAAGAGGAGCCCTTTCTCCCTTTAAGTTTTTTGCATGTATTGTACCTCCTAACGTGCACAGCCTCAGTGAGGTTGTATTTATTAACAGTATTGACAGTAAGTAAAGACTGAGTTCTGTATCCAGACCACGTTCTAATGGTCTTGTATTTTCAGATATAGTCACAGTACATTACAGTACAGCACAATATCACAGTAAGGCTTTGTCTGTGTTTACAGGGAAAGTATTTTTGACTCTTGAACACTTCTGTTGTCTTGCTTTTTTACTCACAAGCAAACTCTCACATCAGAGTGTTTGTGAAAAGGGATGGCTTGAAATATGTAAGTGTTAACAAAGATTGCTGCATCTTTTTAATGGCTAAACAAAATCTAAATTAGGGATCACCTGCAAATTTCGGAGCACCAACCTAAAAATAAGGATTTTAACAAACACCATAAACACATCAGGGACATGGGTTTAAATTTAGTGAAGGAAAGTTCTTAAGCAATGGTGTAGGCGGTGTCAGATTTCACATTTAGCTCTGGCAGTTGAGTGAAATGGCCGGCAGCACCCTGATGAAAAAAAGATGTGAACTCTTGAAACTGACTCTGAATCCTTCCTCTTTGCCAAACACTTGTCCTGGCTTTCTTGTATTTGGCACGCTTTCCATTTTCAGTTCCCTTTGCTTTACAGTAAACACGATACATCATGCTGTTTTCATAGCACTTTTAAAGTCTCAGCTGCTTATCTCTTTTTAAACTCTTTGCGGCTGATAAATCCTGTTTCACCACACCACTTTCGCCTTTACCAACTTCAAGTGTTGCATTTTTCACAACATTTGGCTAATATAAGGCTAATATTTACCAATCTATGATCACCATTGACATAACGGCAAGCTGATGTTTGATTGATTATGGAAGAATTGGATTGAACAAGGACTGAGAGGATTTACTTGAGAGACTCCTGGAGAAATAACTTGCCTAAGGCCTTCATCTAAATCCAGACAACTTTAATCAAGAGATTGCTGTGTTTTCAGCACTGTGCATAGAAACGCTATTGTACATAAGCTCTGAGAATCCATACGTGCCTAACCTACATTTGAGGGAGAGAGAGACCCTGATTAATTAACTCACTTACTGGTGTTTCCAGACAAGTAGGGCTGTCGAGCTGTATAAACATTACACTGTTTGTTTTATTTCTTGTCAAAATGTGCATGTCATGTCTGTAAATATTCTGTGAGCCACGGAGAAAAGATTTTCTTTTCACAGCATCTTCCACTTTCATTCCCATCTGTGACGCCAGCTCAACAGGGATGTGAATTTCTGTAGACTTTGCTCCGATCAACTTGTGAAAGCTTTTAATAATGATCCATGCTGTTTATGTTGAACGAACTTGACAGCTCAACAGCGTTCAGACCCTACTGTTTCCTCTTTGCCACTGTACAGGGGCATGCCCAGACTCTTTTAAGAGGGCGGCACAACTGGGGCACTCATATAGGTAGGAGTAGCTGACAGATGTGTGCGCACACACTGGAGAGCACAAACACAGGACAATGCACTTTACATTTGGATAGAAAGAGAACTAGTGCTAACCTGTTTCAACACAGCTAAATAACTGATAATTGATTACATGAGAAGCATTTTTGATAAGGCAATAGCTGGGTACTGGGCGGCACCTGGGAAGGCCAGATTTCAGGACCCTAACCCAAAGTCAGGAGGAAAATAAATGTGGAGCATGCAACATTTCTTCTCACTCAATAAATCACCAGAATAATAAACAGAATACTTGATTACTGATGTAATTGATTACTGCAGCCCCAGACTGAAGAGAATGGTCCGTCAGTGATCGGTAACATCCACTGAGAGGCACACATCGCCCTCAACTTACATCACTCTGCCTCCTCTAGCTGGCATTAAGATACTTAAATCTGTTTAATTATCTTTAACAGAAGAAACTTTCAATTAGGAGTGTCCCGATATGATATTGATATCGGATACCGGTCCGATATCAACAAAAAATCAAATATCGGATTATTTCGGCTGGCATCTAAAATCTCTGATATCAGCACTCCAATACGAGTAGTTCATTCCAGACTCCGCTCCAGCACCTCTATCTAGCAGCACCCGGATCCAGCATGTAGAGCCCATGTGATCACAGCAACAGTGTGTACTAAGGTACTAACAAAGTACCAAGGAGTAGGAGTGATGTCGGCCCTGTGGCAGTATTTTTCATTTAAGTCATGATACAATACTGAAGGCTACAGTATAGGTATGCTATCGGAGGTCAAAAAGTTGTATTGGGTCACCCCTACTTTCAATTCCTCATACTGTAGAAGCTGCAACTTGAACAACTTTTCGGCCCCATCAGCACATTCCTGAAGTGATTCCTCTGCTTTTTGGTCAACTTTTGTTAGTCATTTCTTGCAAAATCAAATAAAATTGAAGATTGAGTTTATGTAGACTCTCAAGTCAATTAGAACTCAAAATCATATAAGCTGTAGAAATTACAAATATTACTACAAGCAGTAAGTTGGAAATTGCTGAAAAATGCATTTCAGTGGTTTTCCTCGTATTACATAGCCACTGCCAAAGCCATCAGCTCATATAAACCATATCTACAGAGAACTCAGCTCTTCGTGAGTAAAACATTAAACCCATAGAAAAGATAAGAATGATGACATGTAACAACAGCGAGCTATTATGTTCTATCGTTTGCTTGATGGTGTTTTGTGCCGTGGAAATGCTGTGTGTTTTTATAAACTGTACTCTTAATGAGACATGCTCCTCTATAACAGTTAGAGTAGTTCTATAATGAGTTTACTTATAAAGATTAATACCAATTATTGTAAAACAGCACAGCCTAGATGCTAGTTTGATGTAGGCAGTAGGCCCATGCTGCACATGCACATATGTGCACATATTAGCCTTAAAAGCATTAAGATTAAAGAGGTCAGTTGAAAGGATGTCTGTAGCACACATGAATGAAAAATGAATTATTTTCAGCCTCATCTCAGTGACTGTTTTACGTTTGATAATGTTTGATTGGTGTTTGTTGTAACCATTATCTGCTTTGTGATTATGCATCTTGCAGCTGATCGTGTATGAATTCTCATTATTCAGTTAACATGCAGGGTTTAATTGTAAAACTGTGTGTGTATGTGTGTGTGAGACTGTGCGTGCTACTCTTACATGTCTTAACAGACTCGGGAGAGTTTTTGTGTTTGTGCTGTGTTTGTGCTGGTGTGTGATCTTATCAGATCCCTGTATGGAGAAGCAGATGGCAGTGATTTGTTTTGGCAAACTTTGATAAAAACAAACTCAGAGGACAACAAAGCTTTTCACACCAACCCTCCACAGGGATAAGTGACTGTAGAATAACTTGCACTCACAGATTATCTCCAGTCTTAACTTTGCTCTGAATCTCAGATAAAGAAATGTACTTATGAGAGTCTGTGTATTGTTAGTTATTCATAATAAGAAAGTGGATCAGACCCTTAACAGATTAGAGTTCTTTGATGACTTGTTAGTCCACAACAAACCAAATACAGAGAGACCCACTCTCTAATCTAGAGTGATGCTGACAGTAGTGACTGGTTTCATCGGTCTTGGATTAACAGATCTGGGTATCAAAGGAGATCATGGGAAACCTGTAAGTGGCACTCCATCACACTGAAACCATTTTTCTTGGAAAGCTAGTGTCTGTATTTGTAGCAATTAAACTCCAAATTCAGTAAGTTTTCTTTTAGCAGTCTTCTAAAATGAAAACAGTGTTGCCCCATCTATATTGTGCCTTTATCCTCCACATTTTAAAGCTAATGGAGGAAATCCCTCTGAGCTGTATAATAGTCACGTTTTTACTCTTGAAACTTCATTCTCAGGGGAGCTGTGCCGTGTATAAGAACAACTTTTTATTAATGGTGAATGTTCTCCCGCTGCCCCACAGCATTTGTTGACATTTAGTCTTTGAAAGTTCTTTTTTTAAAAAAAAGCAGCACAACCCAAGAGAGGGGATCTCCTTCACTCTGCACTTTTCTTTTGGGATTTTTAAAATTGTAATATGTGTTCAAAATTGTCCCTTTCCCCTTAGCTCCTAAATGGGCGCTAAAAGTCATTCATCAGTCTGTCACTGCTGGAACCATCCTCTGTTTTCATTGTTCTTTTTAAGTGAAATTGCAACAACCTCTATGTGTGTTGCCTAAGCTGTAAGGCTACAAAACACACACTGTGTTTCTGACATGATGGCTGGCATTACAGAGTATGATCACACTTCAGTATTTTTTTTTTTTGTTGGCATGGAAGCAAGTGTTTTTTACATGGTTGATGTAAAAAAAGAAAAAAAAGTGTTGGTCAGTGGAGTGCCTCCACAGCAGCCTTTGAATGTCGGTGATTGTTTCACAGCATATTACAACAATAAGCTGCTAATGAGCTGCAATTACTGCTGAGCACTGTGCAGCCAACTGAGGGGAAAGTGCATGTATTACAACGATTCTCATTCAAGACTTTTATAAGGATTACAGTGCCTTGAAAAGAACAGTAAATTGTATGTTAGAAGTCCTGTGTAAACATTCAAAACACATTTTAACCACAAGCATTCACAGTTTTAAACCATTGCAGACGTCACATCACATTACAAATGTTAGAGGGCCCGCTGTATCTCTCACTTTTTTGACGGAAGAGTAGTTAACTTTCCAAATTTGCTGTTGAAACTATAAATCCATCCCAAATCATTAAAATCTTCAGCTGTTCGTTATCTATAGGAGTCTTTCAGAAGTAGGTCATTCTTCATTCCAGATCAATAAATTATGAGGTTGAGGTTTCGGGCTCTCCTTGGTATTCTTGTAATTTTTATATGCAAATGACCTATTTTTACTATGTGACCATTGATTTATATATTATTGATTTTCTCAAAACATAATGAGCTCATTAGGTAAGTAGGACAGCTGCATACTGCTGAAGTGTAGGCATTTTTAAATTGAGGCTTACAATGGTAAAGTGTGAGAATCTACTAGATCCCTGCTGATATTTTGTGTGTTTGAGTTTTTGATTCAGATTCTATGAGGATGAAATGTTTTTTTAGATAACTGATTAAGTCCTTTTATTTTAGAAGAAATCTACTCAAATGTATCTGGTTATAGCCTCTTTGGTGTGAAGATGTCCTGTTTTACTTTCTTTGATTATGCTTGAACCATTTGACAGGCTTACTTTTGTCTATAACACTCTTCAACAGAAAGGTTCTGAGGGTTGGAAAACTGATAAAAAGGGATGTTTTGCAAAACATTGGAACGGCATGTGAGAGTGGAAATAGCTCATAGACAATAAGTCGAATGTCAAATCCAGATTTGATACCAGGAACACATTTGAAAATAGCTTGTGTTTACCTCTCTGTTTCATCACCTCTTTATCTTGCAACACTCTGCAAGAATAATTGAAAACTGTTGCTGTAATTTTGAAAGAGGTATGTTTTCCTGTTCTTTTTTGTTGTACTATATCAACTTCTCAACATATGGGGATTCTTTTGTGGTATTTTCAGTTTCAAAATATGACAGACATATTTGTTATCATCAGATGGTGACAGATGTATTATTTACCTTTATATAGAGATGTCTTTTTTTCTAAGTGAGAGGCTGTCTGAGGCCACTATGTATTGGTTTTTGGTGCTATCCTTTCCATACAAAGATGTCCTTGGATTCTGTAAAGTTTTAATAATATCGTGTTCTCTGGACTGAGAAATTCATTGATTCTTTGGGGTATTATGTTGAGAAGTGTTACTAAGTTTTGCACTGTTTGCCAGCATAGCCTTTAACAGGGGGCAGAACTTCTCCCTATTCCTGCAGTCGACAGACTCAGCCTCTCCGATCACATTTCTAACCTAATTAACTGTGAGATGTTCTACCATCTGCAACATCAGCCCTTCACAACCCTCCCACCTTTTTTTCCCAACTTTTCTAAATGTGTCGCTGGTATAAATTTCACAATACACATACATTTTTCAAAAAACAATCAAATGTTCAGTTTCAACAATGTGTTATGTTGCTACTTGGATTAGCTGCCTTTTGAGTTTTGTGTCATTTGAAGACATTCTGTTTCTGTTATTTTGCACAACTTTCAAACTTTCTTGGAGACAGGATTGTATTATAAGTAGTGAAATTGAACATATATATATATATATATATATTTATAAACAGTAGTTTCCTTGCAGCACTGTTGGTTATGTTCAAATTCATTTTATACCCAAACAGTTGAGCACAGAACCAAGTGTGATCCAAAATCCAAGATCCCCACATGCACCAGGAAAAACTAGCATAACACACACACACGCACACGCCATGCTTAGCCCCCGATGTAGGCTACTGATACACTGATTTCTTTACAGTGACTTTACAAGAAATAACCTCAAAACATGCTGAGATTTCCTTTTTTTTGTTGTTGTTTTTTTACCTGTGATCAACATTCCTGTGTGTACATGTGTTTTCTGTGCGTCAGCCTGGCTTTGCAGAGCTGTGACATGCTGACAGCCAAGAAGCTAGAGAGAGATGAACTGCAGTTACACAAAAACAAAAATTCAGATGATTAAATGTCTATTTTTATTTAAAAAAATATATATTAGCAGATTTGATTGTCGATCCTGTGTTGTTCTTTTTTTTTCTCTTATTTTAATTTTAAAGTTTTAAGTGTAGAGAAGGAAATCGGAGCAGGTCAACAAGCCTAAACTAATGATGCTTACTTGAGACAATTTGAAGGACAAAGTTCTTCTGGAAAAAAAGACAATAAATTTTACATATTGCTTTCATTTTTACTGAACTGCTATTTCAAAACTCTGGACCAAACTGGACTGAGTAAAAACTTTTTGGTACTGTTATACCCTCAATGATTATTTCTTTCCCCCCTTTATGGTCGCACTGTCTCTGAAGATTCTGTTATTTGTTATGTTTGTACTTTCAGTGTCACCTCTGCTTCTTGGGTATTTTTTTACACTTATCTAACACCCTCTCCCTGTCTGTGTTTGTGTTTACAGGTCTTCCATTATTATGCACCAGTCTTAGATTTGGTCCAGTTGGTGGATCTGTCAGACTTGCCCAGCTTTCTGATCTCCACTGCTCACTTTGAACTGTATCCTTGTTTCATGAACCTGCGTGTTTCTTAAGAACACAGGTCTCACAAATATTTCACAGAATAAATCAACCTTATTTCATTACAATACTAACTATAAAGGGGTTTTAAAAAAGTGTATTTTTTGATTGTTGTACAGCACCTGACAAGAATTGAAAGCTGGTTGCTTTCACCTTCTCCCCGTGACACTGTATTTTTCCTTCACAAACATCAAACAGGAGCCTGTGTGGGAAGTCAATGAAATCTAAACTTCTGCTGGAGCAACTGAGGTCACTGCGTGGAAAGGTATCAGCTTTTGATCCGTACTCGTGCGTGTATAAATATTGAAGTGATAGGCTTTCAAACTTTCAAGTTTTCATTAAGTGGATTTGTTAATGACATTTATTTGGACTCATCTCTTTGTGCACTTCACTGCCTGCAAAGGGAACACAGCAGAGAAAGAAGATGGTACTAATTCATGTGATTAATGAGATAGTGTGGATCTTCATCTTTCTCTGCCCTGTTTCTATCTCCAGGTTGGAGCTTTGTTCAGCCTCTCCTGTACAATCACTCCTGTCGCCCAGCCTGCAGCCAGTCAGCTCAGTTCCCAGCGCTGGAGAGAGACTATAGCCAGGAGACCAAAGTCACTACCCAGTAGGACTCATCTATTTCTTTATTTTTCAGTGCTGTAATTGCCTGGTTAACAGATGATCATGGGCTAAAAAAAGAGAAAAGCTGTGTCACCTTCTCTGGGGTGAAATGGTTCCTGGAACTACACTGACTCAGATGATAGAACTTTCATTTGAGCTGCAGACATAAAAGTGGGATTTAATCCCAAAGAGGGCAGATAGAAAAAAAAGTTGTCAGACGAGTCAGAATCAATAAAACCGCTGTGCAATTAAGATGATTACTCTGCTATTGACATTGTCAATAAATGTTTAAGTTTAGATCATAAGTTGAAGTTCTCGCTTCATCTTGTATTAACTCTGCACATGTTTTTCTCCTGTCTGTGGCCCTGCAGTCCCTGACGTGGAGGTGAAAGGTGAGACTGCTCACTACTTCCTGTTAGTGCAGGGCTCTGATGACATTGGGAGTGGAGCCTGCAGGGTCAGGATGTTGAACTCAGACAGCCAAATCAACGGTGCAGCTGCCATGACAACCGTCTCTGGGTTACTGAGAGAAAAGTCTATTTCATCATCAGGTATGGTTCTGTTTTAATGTTCCCAGAGGAGTGCGTTTGTGTGTTTGTCTGCCTCTGTATGTCACAACCTCCCGCTGAGTACTTCAGAGTCCCCACAATTTGCTGAACCCTTGAATCACAGGACCTCAGACCTGATAGTCTGTGTGAGAAAGTAAGAAAAAAACAGACATACACCTGAAAACAACTTGTACCACAGCTATTTTTATCCTTACTGATTAGTGTTTTGGTTTTGGGCTGTCCGATCATTTCTGCCATTCATGTAAAAACAGAGGTTCTTTACTACCTCTGAGGGAGCTATCTACAAAGTTTAAATCATTGACTAGATATAAATGTGAACACTGCACCTACATCTCCCACCATTGAGTAAAACTGATACCAAAACACTGCTCCAATAGGCTTTGATGTATTGTAATCCAGGTTGTTAAAATGCACAGCAAAACAGACTCTGAAGGCTGACGTGATTACGGAAAGTTCAGTGGCTCTTGGCTAGGGCTGGGCGATAAACCAAAAATCTACCGATACTGAAACTTACGACAATAACCGACGTAATTTTGCCCATGTCAATTTATTCGTCGTCAAAAAATAAATAAATAAAATTTGGTTTTGGATGTGTGGAGATAGGCTCTGGTCTCATGTCCCTTTAAGACGCTGTCCTACATCGGAGATGTGATTCCACACCATTCAGTCCGTAACAAAGAGGGAAAGACAGGTGAGGAGATGGAGGAAGGTTCAAAGGTTGTAGCGGCTGAAGTAGACGAAGTTAATGTGGGAGGAGGTGAGCAGCTTGTTGACCAGTTATTGTCCATTTGTCTTTATAGAGGTGAACTGCTCAATATACTGTGATATTTTATTTGAAGCAATATCGTCCAGCCCTACTCTTGTCTTCGTGTTGCTAACATTTTCTTTCACAGTTCTTCTTCTTATTGGCAAACATAGTGAATGACGCTCTGCTGTACAGAATCTTTGTCCAAGTTAACAAATACAAAAAAAACCTGAAAGAAACAGACATTAATGCCGTAATGGTGCTTTTTTTTTTTTTTTTTTACATTTTTTGGTTGAGAGGATGGAGCTAAATCCCACAGTAGAAAAACCAGCATTCATGTTAGTGGCTCAAAAATTTGATGAGCAGCAGCAACCTATGACCTTCACAGACCTATTTCAGATTTAATATAAGTCAACATTGAAGGTCTGTCAGTCCCCCTCCCTTTATGATGCAACAGACAGGCCCCCCCATAATCCAAGTCTTTGCAGAAACACGCAGCAGTAATTCTTCTTTGATGAACCTCTGAAAGTTGTGGCGTCTTCTCAGATGAAATCCGTCAATTTTCTTCACGCCACTTTGTTCCTTCTGTTGTTATTTTCATCTTACTTCCTTTTTAGATAATCTGAAGTTCTAAAACCTTGAACTACAGTTCCCCAAATTGCTCCTGGGGATGTAAACAGAGGCTGTTAATTAAAAGGTAGACAGATATCTCTCAGCAGCCAGTGTTAGCAGTATATCTTTGAATACACAGACAAATATCACCGGGGAGGACGTAAAATCAGAGTATAAGATCTTATTTTGTTCAGGTTTGATGTTTCTTACAAACATTTTTTGTCTTTGCATCAGGTGAAATGATAAACAGAATATTTTGCAGTGTGCTGATAGGACCACATTGTGTCGCAAGAGAGGAGGATCGGGACTTTTGATGTTAAGGGTTTTAAAATACATCTAACCCTTTCATCTCACCTCAGTGTCTTGTTCCCCCCCATGGAGAAGCGCTTGTGCTGTAATAAACAATAAAAGAGTACTCCTTTAAAAACATGTGGTGGCTTGGAAACAGAGAGCAGTTATTTGTTTTCTTCTATTTGGCAAAGAAAAAGCCCTCAAGTACCCTTTTTCCTTTAAAGCAGCTTCACTGTTTGATTGAAGTAGAAGTCCTTCTAGCTTCAGCTGCACAGGCTGAAGGCTTGTCATTTTTTATCAGGCGCCGCTGTTTTACAGAAACAGGGCTGCGTGTCTTTTTTTTTTACCGCTCCTTTCTGCCTCTTCAACACTTCTACTCCCCCTCTGTCTCCTTTCTCACTGCTCTGGAGAGTTATGACTGCTCTGTTCAGGATTTCCTCATCTTTGGCACTAAAAGCAGAAAAATCAGTAAAAGAGGAAAGAGTGAGAGGGTATTGAAGGGACAGATGTCTAACAGAGAGAGACAAAAGGAGAGATAGTTGGTGGGGTGTACATTTATGAGTGATTGGAGGGTTAACTTGATGGATTACTGGTTCACCAAACAGAAATCTCTGGCTCCTAATGACTGAGGAGAAAAAAAAAACACTTCAGTGTGTTTTTGTTCCCTAAGATAAAATCGTCCTTCCTGATAGAAGTCCTTCATTGTTCTCAAGCTTTATATGGAATCCAAGAAACAGGCTGTAGTGTAACCTCTTGAGAGTTCCTGCTCTTGTTAACATTTTATTCAACCTTCAGGAGACATTTTTGAAATACCTTTTAAATGCAAAGCAAGCCTGTGAATGGCGCCCTAACAGCTGAAATGGTACGGTGTGAGCGCAGCACAGTTTTCACAGCATGAACTCAGCTCAGTTCTCAGTACAAATGAAAGTCTTAAAATGCTCACCTGAGGGTTTTTTCACCCTCACAAAAGCATGAAAACTCAGTATGCCTTTGTGTGTCGTGTTAGCGGAGGCTTTCAGAGGGAGATCAAGTCTCTGTTGCCAGGAACGAGGTTACAAATTTGACACTATAATAGGGTTGAAGTGTATTTTTAAGTCTCTTTAATAACTTACAGTAGATTTTAAAGGGTAAAAGTATCATTTTTTTATGTTTGTGTTAAAATTTAAATCAGGTCAAAAGCAAGAGAGGCTATTATAGTTCAAGCTCTAATAAAAACGTTATCCTTAAACTCTTGTATTGCAGTCCAACAATGTCTTTAATTGGATCATCTGTCAGATCATCATGACCAGTCATTCTCTTTTTTTTTTATCCACCTCTACTCTCTTTGACAAGGAGGTGCTGTAAGCAACATCCTTTGCCCCCTGCCTTGTCTCCAAGGAGACAGCCTGCTGAAGACAGAGAGGAAGGTGACCCAGGTCCAGACACTCGTACTCAAAGAGTATCTCAGTAAGTACTACGCTTAAAGCAGCTCCTGAGATAGAAAATGCGTCTTAGAGGACATGCAGAGTGTTGGGAACAAAACAAAGATAACTCCAGCAGGAGATAATGGTACACTATTGTCGTCAAAAAGGTTTCAGTATCATTTGTGGTTTGTTTTCAGAGCTATTTCTGTGTTTTTATAAATTGCTTGCTCTGTATTTTATGAAAATAAGCAATTTATAGACCAGCCATCAGAAAAGCGCTGTGAGCTCACTTCAGTTCTATTTATTTATTTTTTCTGTGTTCATTCTGATAAAGGCTGTAGTGGTAGTGGCAGCAGTGTTCTTATCAGTCAATTTTTGGATCAAATAAAGATTAGGCTTAACATATTTTGTTCATTGTTTCATACTAAAGTTGGGGTAGGCAGGAATCCATTAAAGAAGCATCTTTTTTTGTGGTGTTTGTACGAATAAGGCTTTTTAATATCAGTCAATAGCTATTAGTTATTGATGACATTTGGTAATATAATGATATCACTGTGTTTTGTTATGTCTGTGTAGTCAACATTTTAAAATTTCAGAGCGCTCCGCTCTTTCTGACTGTAAACAAAGCCATTCTCCGCCTCCTCCAACCTGATTGGTTTTGAGGCAGACGCTGCTCCTTCGTGCTGATTGGTTGTGAGGCAGACATTGCTCCCCTATGTCGTTCAGGAGCCCAAACAAAGTTAGAGTGCTACAATATCAGACAGTAGAAACCAACCAGAAAGTACGGAAAATTGTCTGAATCCTCCTTTAGCCACGACCACCAACACAAGCGAGAAAACAAAGTAAATAGCGGAGACTCTGGCGGAATAGCAGGCGCTTAAAAAGGAGCTAGACTGGACAGCAGCTAAGAAGCCGGGTCAACAGTGATGGGGGACGCTTCAGGATCTTACAGACCCTGTTAACTTTCTGCTGGACAGGTAAACCGCTTTAACAAAGTAAGCCAAGTGTAACAGAAGTGTAGCACCACTAAACTGTTTCCCTCGAGTCCTGGATTATGTCACTTTATTCTAGTTGTAGAAGTCCTGCAAACATTGTGTTTGCTGGTAGTCTGTTGGCATCTACAGTAGCACCAATGCTTTTAACTTTCACGTTAACTGGGCCCCATTTGTAATTATCTGAAGTATTTATCTGCATTATATCTGAATTTAATTGAAATGATACGAGCGAGCAGGAGCGTCTGTTTGTGGGCGGGACTTGCTGGAGCAGAGAGGGAGGGGAGAGGAGGAGCTGAGGGGAAAACTGGTTGGAAGGGGTAGAGTTTACATTCAAGATTTCTCCCCAAACCTGGCACTTCCTCAGATCCTGCCTACCCCACCTTTAAGTTAGTGAGCTTAACTGTTTAAATCCAAGTGTTCAGCTAGGGAAATCAAATCCCCTGTATTCAGTGAGCTGCAGAGGTTTTCTGTGTACAACAATTAATCCAAGAACTATGAGTATTTTTCACACTTTCAGACCATTCCTGGAAAGTTGCTTGCACCTATCCACCAGACAGAGCATACACTAACCACTACATTACTTTGCCCTCTTCTTGAGTTTGGTTGAATTTGTTATACTCTGTGGTGTAATGTTTCCGCTTGATTAAAGTGGTTGTGTTATATTTTGCCACTACAAAACATGAGCTTTGCACACAGTGGATGTTACTGTCAGATTTTTGCAAAACAAGCATGAAATATCTCCAGTTAGTTCCTCCCTATACTACATCAGCTTTAGCAAAATGCACCTCCAACACACTGATGGCATATTACATGTGTGCTGAAAAACTGAATAACGCAGAATAGATCGGTGCCCCATGGGTCAGCCCTCAGGATCTGCTTTTAATCCATATCCTACATTGATTTTTGGGTCGGTATCAGACTGACACCCAGGATTCGATTAGTGCATCCCTAATATTTCATTCATGGTAGAGTCAAAACATCGGAGTGTTTTTTTTTACGTAAAACATTTCTGTTGGCATTTTCTCCCTACTAAACCAGTTCTGTAACCATGATCAAAGCCCCAACAGTGTTGCAGCTTGTGATTGATTGATTTTGTTGACATCTATCTGACTCAGCCCCTTGTGTATTTAAACACACCTAGTTTATTTCTGTGTTGTTTCTTTACTTACTTGGGTCTCAATTCCCTTGTGGTTAGAGAGTAATGTTTTTGTCCACCAGATTGTTAACAGTGAGAGGTTAAATCATAAACAGCACACTAGATCAGGCTTTCCCCTATGTCCCATTTGCTGCTCGGAAATTAAAAAATGTTGTCAAGGGGTTTTGACCCATCAAAATCAAGTGTATAACACAGCATGGGAGTGATAATAACCATGTAACACCCAGAGCTGTAAAACTTGCCAAATAAATGTGCTTTCCCCTCATGGTGAATATTGTTGGACAGTTTGGAGAAAAACACTTGTTGGCTTTAAGACAGACATGCATAAACCAAGATGTCATTGTGCATTGCACTGCAGCAGATCATACATGAGGGATGAAGGAGGTTATCCTGACAGCAGTCACCTCTACCCTGACCCCAAAGATGGCTGCTGGCACACTTCCTCCTTTAATGAGTAGTTTTTACAACCTCATTTTGGCCAGCCTGACAGGGCCACTTATATCAAATCTGGGTCTTCGTAGTTTGGCTGATCTTTTGTGCCTTTCTTGGGAGAACTTTGTATAAAGGTTTATAGTCTCATTTGATACTTTGAATAGGCCTGGATGATAAGTTAACACCTAAATAATTTGTTTATTCATTAATGTTTTATTTTGACAGAAAAACCTAATATTTGCTGGTTCAATCATAAATGTAAAATCTGCGATTTTCCTCCTTTATTACATGGGTTGGGATTTTAGGAATTTTGATCTCACAATGTTAAAAAATCAAATTAATTTTAGTTTCTTAATTTAAAAAGGAATAACTTCAAGAATGAGTTATCAGAAAAACTGTCATCTTGGTATTATTAGATCAAGCTAACAGAGTACTTAGACTGTTGGTACTGGCTGTACATGGCAGCTGTCTACCTACCCCTACACATTGAAAGACCTACTTTAAGTACACACTGTGGTTACACTTTGAAGTAACTATCCGTTATAACTAGTTAATTGATCATGAGTTAACCGTAAATAATTAATTATTTATGACTTGTTAAGTGTTTGTTAACAGTTTAAGGACTTATAATGATGCCTTTATAGATAGTTAATATATCATATAAACTGTTAGTTAATGAGTTACAAATGACTTGTTAACTGTATGTTAATGAGTTATAACTATGCCTTATAAATTAGTAATAGATCACGAACAAGCCATTAGTAAATTACTTACGAATGACTTGTTAAGTATATCATTTGGATGGTACTCTAAAGTTGCAACTATTCCTCATTTACTAACAGTTAGTAAATGAGGAATAGTTGCAACTTTAGAATAACATCCCAATTATTATGACCAAATTACCCAAGTAAGTAATTTACTAATGGCTTGTTCATGATCTATTACTAATTTATAAGGTATAGTAATAAATCCTTAACATACAGTTAACAAGTCATTTGTAACTCATTAGCTAACAGTTTATGATATGATATGATATATTGACTATCTAGAAGGCATCATTATAAATCCTTAAACTATTAACAAACACTTAACAAGTATTAATAACTCAGTAATTAACAGTTTACTAATGATCTATTAACTAGTTATAATGGATAGTTATTATAAAGTGTTACCCACACTGCTTATTCTGAAAATAAATGCATTCAAGACAAAATGTTAGCCTTAATTTTGTGTTGTTAAATTTGAGTAAAAACCCAAAAGACAAAGGAAGGATCTACTGTCAGGGGCTGCTCAGGTCTCACTGAACTGCTGTGCTGAACTCTCAGCTCTCCCCAGCCCTCAGCCAAGGCTGGTGCATAGACAGACTGCTGAAATATCATTATTTTACAGACACACATAATGTTCCATTTGCAAGCAAAGATAGTGAAACACCAGTGAAGAGGAGCAAGATAACAGGAAGTGGAGTGATTTTTTTCAGACTGGAGGAGAGCATTAAGACTGTACTGTTGAGAGCCTGAAGCAAAATGAGGACCTCTGGAAGAATACAGACCTTAATGAAATAAAATGCAGGATTTTCTGACTGCATTAAATATGGAGAGAATTTAGAACCTGTCATAAGTTTAACACATTGCGGATCGGTGTAAAAATAGCAAAAAATCTCAGGAACATGTATACAAAAGCCATATTTGTCAGTTTTAATTAGTTGTTTTTTGTTTTTGTTTTTGTTTTTTTTTTTACTATTTCCGATGTTGTTTGATCACTTTTTAGATACCTCTTCAAATCCTCTGCTACTCTGCAGATTATGTTAAAAACCCTTAGATGTGAAACTGGGTCAAAAATTACCCGGGGAGGTGGTTTTCTTGGAATATCTTTACAATGAAAAGTTACTAACATTTCATATTTTAACTGTTCTTCAGAAACTTGTCTTTGATATCACCCCATGAAACTTTGAGCTGAACCCCTATACATTTTGAGAAATTGTCTTTTTTGTAATTGTACCTCAAGCTGTTAGAACTGGGTCAAAAAAGACCCATCTTAACTTTATACATTTTAGAAATTCTATCTTTTGTGTTACTGCCCAAAGCCTCCATAACTGGGTCAAAAATGACCCACATGAATTTGCTTTGTGATCTTGTGGAAATCACTGATTCTTATTAACCAAAGCTGTCAGGCTTATAGTCACTGAGGACCACACTTATAATTTCACAACTCTCTTTTCTATTACAATCATTTACACAGCAAGATCTGATACATGTAAACATTTTCACTTTTACCTCAGAAAATATGTCATTAAAGTCATACATTTCAGTTGCCTACTTGTACATACATATGTGTTTGTAAGTCAGTCATGACTATTATTTGAAATAGTCTGTTATTTTACTTAGATTTCTTTCTCATCACCCGCCAATGTAAAATACTTGATTCTGATTGGTTACTTTTTGATTGCATTATTAGACAGCATGAGGAATATTTTTAACAAGAATATAGACACAAACTGCAACACAGTATGGGCATTGGCAGTGTTACAAGACTGAATGAGTTAGAGGAAATGTCAACATTTAAAGCTATTTTTGTGGACCAAGATATATTACAAAACATAAAACAAAAGATTATTTTAGATTAAAATGGCAGAAAAAAACATTAGTTCTAATAAAGGCTTTTTTTAACCCAGTTAATGAAGAGTATAGAGTCTATCCACACAGTCATCTAAGAGTAAAAGATAGACGTATCAAAATCATTGCATTTTGTTAGATTAATTTGAATTGGGTGGTCAAATCCAGCACATCCTCAGCATTCATTTGTTGTGTCAGATGTGTGGTGCAGTGTGTGTATAAACAGCATGGAGGCAGGCTGGATGTGATGGAGTAAACAACAGCGGGGATTACAAATGAGCATCACTTAGTCGCCATTGTCCTGTTGGGCCTCATTTAGCGTACTCACAGTACATTGCTCCTTTGTCTGCTTTGATCTCAGCATCAACAGAAGATTAACTTCCCCCAAAGTCTTCATGTTTGTCGTCTACAGCCCACACATCCATGGGTTGTATTTGACCTGAGCTTTACAATGTGCTCTCTTAGGTATCCTCTAGTAACGTGTCACACATAGGCAAGTATAACTGGACACAACACAGGCGAACACACAAAGTGTATATCCAGCCTCTGAAGTTCCTTCTCTGTCTTCAGATGAATCCTCCACAAATCACATCACCCACATCTTTCAGAGTATAATCTAACTTATTTGAGACTAACTGATCTATGATAAGCAGCGAGTCAAACTCATATTTAGAACCTTTTTTAGAAGTGAAGTCTCAGAAGTCCTCTAACTCTACTAAAGAAACATCATTTACTTTTTTGGTCATTTTGAATATGCACATATCTGATTTAATTAGGGTAAGAATGAACTTTCTCTTTGTTGCATAAGCAACTAAAACTTTGCCCTTTTAATCATTTCCAGTTATATACCCCGTAGGCACCTCTAAGGAGAAAGAAAGTTAGCAGTTCTACTTAAACAGGTCATTTTGCTCAACATTTTATGTAAAAACACAACTGCTTCTTGTAGTTGAAGTACTTATCAGATTCATTAAATAACTCTTTGGAGGAGCCCCAACTCCCATCACACTTACATGGTGTAAGGGAAAAACTAATCAAAGAAATACACAACTGAGAAGGAGGACATTTTGCTATAAACCCAGTCAGCAAAGCTGGGGTAGACAACTTTGTAAAACCAGCGGGAGGAAACATGTTCAGAGTGTCCGACAAAAAATACAGTCAAAGCCGAAAGTGATTTCCCCCCACTCAGCGTGTGAGACCTGTCCGTGGAAATCATCAGGGTGAAAAGGGTAGAGTATTGTAGCAACAACTTACATTGTTAAACAACCTTTTCTGCCAGCTTGTGCTTCTGCTGGTGTGAGCTTACTGAAGTTTCCTCTCATGTGAATTGTAAGAAGTGCAGAGTCTGAACGCAGGTGGGTAGACAGGAAGACAGGCTGTCCTCTATCTGTGCTATTAAATGGACTCAAAATACATCTTAGCTTAGGCCAAAGACACCCAATTTGTTTTCTGCACTGGGTGGACTATTTGATAAAAGTTTAGATCTGAAGAAAATTAAGAATAACTTGGTCTAAAAATGATTCCTACATAAATTGCCTTTTCAAGCTCTAAGTAATAAGAGCTAAGCCAAAATGCACAACCATTTAACCAAGTAACTTATTAGGAAGCTAAAATGTTGCTGCAAACTAAAATTCTGTCTCTGTTTGTGTGAAGGACGGAAAGAGGAGACTGCGGCCTCAACCTCAACACCCATCAATGACTTGAAGGTCATTTTGAACCTGGCCAGAGAAAAATATCTGAAGAAGATCGACTCCACGCTGCCTTCTGTCGCCACCTGTCTGACAGAGAAGCAGGAGAGCTCTGACGTCAATAACCCAGGTATTGACTCAGGAAAAGTAAATAACAGTATTTTCACATTTATTGAAAATCACATATCCTGAGTATAGATTTGATTTGTCTGAAGGCTGATCCATCTTTACAACCTGCAAAGTGAAATTTAATTTCAGTCTGTTGTTTTCCACCTTGCCTTGCTCAGAGAGGTGGTAGCTAATTAACTGCGCTGTAGCACCTGTTGAATCAACGTGTGTTTTAGTGCCACATTGTGTGTCATGTTGCAAGAAATTGAGCTTTGAGCTGGAGAGGAATAAGGTTGGCAAGAACAGACTTAATGAGAAATTTATAGACCATGTAGTTCATTATCCAGTGAATGAGTTCCTCACCCATAGTGTACCAAAACATTTTTTTGTTTTTTTAAAGTGATTGTCGAGGTAAGTATTATATATATCCGACAAAGAGAGCTTTTGGAGCATAGTCAAGTTTTTGCACGCTTGTGCTGAAAAAATGATACACACCTGCACCGTTTTCTCATCGTGACAGTCAGCAGGAAGGCCACCAGTCTTCTCTGCGGGGAAAAGCCAATAACAATCCTGTCTCTCATGCTGTAGAGACATAGAAATCTATGTATGACAAACACTGAACACTTGTACACCAGAGGATTTTTACAGGGCTTGTGGGAGAAGACATCAATAGCTGCCAAGTGGTGCTAAAACAGGAGTCCAAATCCTTGTTAATCAAACCTTCAATTGCCATGATCTATATCACTGCGTAATCAATATACTTCAGATTTTCACTGTAACTGTTTGAAGCGTATTGAATTATTCAGCCAGTACAAAACTAACTATTCCAATCTCTCTGAACTATATTAATCTCAATCAAAGATACTGATGCAAGTCCACTTGTTTATTAAATGCCTGTTCTGACCTGTGAGCTGTGAAGCAGCATTCATTTCATACACAGTCTTCTGATGACAGTTTTAGGAAACAGTGCCAGTTAATGATATATCAATAAATCACAAGCGATAGAACAAATTCCTGCAGTCAGCAATGACTTGCCACACTCATTGTGCAGAAAAAAAAACACATTAGGCTATGAGGCAAGAAGAGCAATCTGTTTGAATGTCAAAAATGTCACGGCATTACCTCGATTATTTCAGGAGTTTTAGCACAGCAGTCTTTGACATGTTTATGATGTACTTGTGCAGGAATAGATAGATACAACAGACAATGTCATCAGTGAAAGTAGCACTGGTCTTGTGTTTTCTCCTGATTTTATGTTCTGCTTCATTTGCATTTTATATTAAGCTCTCCAGGACCTCATATAAATGATTTAAATGAATACTGTAAGAGATGAGCCAGACGAGTGTAAACACATAGAGACATGCATTGTAATGTGCAAATCATGTTATTTTTCTGCAATCCTCGCCCACCCTCTGCTTTGAAATGTCATTTACAGCGGTAAACACCATCTGCAATCCATTAGCAGTGTCTTCGTATGTGTATCTGCAAGGCCCAAAGGTGTGAATGACTTTGCAGGGGCTGTTAAACCACTGGTGGAGTGATATGCTGTCTTCATGAAACACATTTATATCCTCAAGATATCGCTGTGTATGTAACTGTCCTTACATGTGAGCAAACTTGCAGTTTACAGTGTGAGCACATCTCAGTTCTCCTCTAGATAAAACACACTCCTCTCCTTCAATCACAAGAAAAGTGTAAAGTGATGCTATTGCAGACACTGAGATTTAATCTGTTCGAGCTTTAGTCTGCCTCTGTGTTGACCCGTCTCAATGACCAACCCATTACATAGTAGTACTCAGTGCCTTCTGTATGCCTTTTGAAAAGTTTCTATCTTGTCCTGAAAGGCTATGCCACTGAGAGCCCACATGATAAAGTTGGTGAACAGTAGGCCTGCACGATATATCGTTTGAATATCGTCATTGCGATGTACGTATGTAGTCACATCGCAGAGCCTGCGATATTGGAGGTGAATGAACTCGGTTAATTTCAAGAGTAACTGACTGAGATACACTGCATGTGACTCTGCATGTGCTGTGCAGCGATCCACCAATCACCTTAGTTCTTTACTCAGTTGCCAATCAGACTCAGTTCTCAGTTGCCAATCAGACTACCCTGCCAGCTGTCAATCAAAATCAGATAGGAGGAAGCCCACCCCTGCACATGTCCTGCACATGGAGTGAGACGCGTGTCCGCTGAGAATTACTTTCGGAACATTCTTCATCACTGTTTAGCCCAACAAATAAGAACTGTATGGGTTTTAAACTGTATATTTCCGTGGATCACTCTACTATAAGCGGTGCGCGTTTTGCGAGGTGCATGCAATTCTCGGAGGACATGCGTTTCTCAGTACAACCCCGCTAACAACAACAACGATCGCAAACTAAGCAACAAGCAGAGAAAACCACAGAAGATTAAGACTTGTTGCCAAAAAGAAAAGGAAAGTCAATTATCTGGAATTATTTCGGTTACAAGATGGATAATGTCGACCAAAACACGTTCTGTGTTCATCTGTTTCCACAATAACGTCCCAGAACAATAAAAGCTAAAAATATCCCGAGACAGACAGAAGCCATTCTATTAACATTCACAAAAAGAGGTAAGATCAGTGTAGGTTAACTGTCATCAAGATTTCAGCAGTGCAGCATAACATTAAGTGCTATTCAGTTCATCTGGTGAAAATTCCTCTATATTTTAATATCGCAATATATATCGCAGGGTTGAAAAAAATCGCAATATTAATTTTTTCCAATATCGTGCAGCCTTAGTGAACAGTAATTTATGTTAAAAATGGTACACTTATTTAGAAATACTGATGCTCAAGCGTCCACTATCAATCATTTTGACCCATTATTAAGCCTGGCTGTTTTTCATCATAGTTTTCCAGGCTCTTTCCCACCTGCAGGCTGACTGGCCTGAGAGAGGCGTCCTCCACAACATCGAGAACCTGCAAAAAAGACGCCAGAAGAGGAGGTAAATCCATATTTTACATACAAACAGGACAACTGTGACTCCTATTGGTCTTGTACTTTATAATCTGAAGTTTATTTTGTGTGTCTCAGATTGGGTCTGCTAGGTCCAGGCTCCAGTGACACCCTGCTGGGTCCAAAAGATGGGCAAAAGGCAGCCTCAACTTTACTGGATGCCAAAGAACTTCTGAAACACTTCACATGTGATGGTCTGCCCACTGGAGAGCTCCAACCTCTGCCTATAAATAGAGGGTAGGTCCTGCCATCTGGATGTGGATCTGTGCCAAGAGGCACCTTGACATTAACTTGAGCATGATTGTCAGACCCTGGAATAAAACCAACGGCCTTGACTCAAAAGTTATACAAAGTGCACTCACAGTTGAACAGGGCTGTTTGATGAGTTAACATTTAATACAGTGATAATTAGGATTTGATTATGATCATTAGAGTGCTACAGAGAGCTTACAGCCTTTCCACAAATATCATTGAGAGAATTGATCTCAGGCAGAAACACCATCAATTACTGCGAATAATTCAGTCAGGCGAACTGTGTACATTTGCAGTGCAACACCTGTTTGTGAATAAATTAATGGATAGTTACATTGATTTTCTTTGGCTTATCATTTTCTTTTCCTTCCTGCCTCTCTCTCTCTCCCTTTACCTGACCCCCACTTTTCTATCCCTTCAGTATTAATGTGTTCCAGCTGTCACCAGACCTTTCTCCAGGAAGAGTTAGCCAGATGTCCTTTAACACAGCCGCAGCCTCACACTACCATGGCATAGAGTAAGTTTCTACTCCCTGAACAGACACTAGTCAGCTCAAGTAGCTTACAAACAGGTCATGTGAGATATGAAAGTATGTAATTACTAGGGGTGGGAGAAACAATCAATTCATATAAGTATCACAATTTTTTGTTTTACAATTTTTAAATCGATTTATTTATTTTTTTAATTTAAGAATAAACCTGTGATGTGTATTTTTGGGGGAAATATGGTTCCTGGAATAGTCAGTCGACAATCATAGTCATTAAATTGTTTCACTGGTGTTAAAAATGCAGACTAAAAATCGAGAAAATCAACAATATCGTAGAATCACAATTTAAATCAAAACGGCATCCAGAAGATCGTAGAAAAATCGAGTCGGGAGAAAAGCATATCATCCGAGCCCGAGTAATCACCCGTCTCTTTTCCTGCCTTGGGTTTTAATTATTATATTTATTTGTTTATTCAGGTTCTGTCTGGACAACCAGCACTCCCTGGACCGGGATCAGGCTTTTGTAAAACTTCAGTCCCGTCTGATTCGGTACGAGACCCAAACCACCTGCTCCAAAGAACCGTGTGCCCTCCCGTTCGCTCTCAGCCCCGCCCCTTCCCCTGCTGTGATGTCAGAACCAGGAAGTGTACCTGATGGAGAGACACTGCAGAACGCTGATGTAGCACGACTTAAACGCAGGTCGTGGGACACAGATGTTATCGGAGGTTACCCTCGCAAGAGGTATGGTGGTGTGCGTGTGTGTGTTGCTCTTTAGGAGTAAGAAACGGATGAATGGAGGAGTGGATGACTGGCCGGATCTGAAGGTTGTAGTCCCTGACATGTTGTCCGTGTTGGTGTCTGTGTTTGTCCGAACGATCCAGGCTGGTGAAGTCAGAGAGCAGCGACTCCCTCTGTTCTCAGAGCAGCGGCAGCAGTGGGACACACCCCACTGTAAGATCTCTGCGGCAACAGTCGAGCAGATCCCAAACCACCTCCTCAACCATCAGTCCCTCCTCTTCTTCAACAACAAGACACACATCCTCAGGTAAACCAGCATCTGACCAAAAAGATGAGAAATTTGAGTGACTCTGCTCTTCATGAAGTTAACCGTTTCCCACACAATATTGATAAAATCATAATTAAGCAGAAGAAAATTCTGAATTATATACTTAGATTTTGTTGCTGTTTGGTAACCATTTGCTATATACAGTGGTTACAAAAATATGCATGGGAAATATGTCTGCTGGTCCTTTGTCCTTGCTTAAAATGTACTTCCCCCTGTGTTCATGCATTAAACATGATCCAGTTTGTGTGCATGGGGGGACTATTAACACAGCTGATGCAAAAAATAGAGCCTAACCTGTTCTCGCCTGCATCAGCGCTATCATTTATGTGTTGAAATGCTATTATATAGGTACATATTAGAGGTATGGTATTAGAGGCTGACAATTTCATCTGAAATGTGATATGATATATGATATGTGAAATGTGATTATTTCATTAAGTCATTTCTAGTCAAGCTCTTCAGTCATCACCTACTGTCCCTTCACACTATAGAGAGCTGAAACCGTCTCATTTTAATGTCCGCCTATACTTTATACCATTATAGATGAGCGTACTGCAATAACATGGATTTTTCAAAGGTGATTTATAATATTTTTGGTTTTCTTTCAGTTGCTTTTTAAATAGAAATGTTTACATCATTTAAAACGACAAATAATTGCATTGTGACTATTATGACTCTAAACTAAAGATGTGCTTCATTAGTCCTTTTTTATTTGCTATGAGTTGATATTTCTCCTCCTTTTTTGAGCCCTGCAAGTCTTCTCGTCCTCAGAATTATGTTAGGATCATGTCTATTTTAAGTTCCCAGCAGTGACGGTAATTTCAACTCTCACCTAAAAAGCTGCAGGTCACCAGAATTATAGTCTTAAGAACTTCTCCCACATCCAGCAGCCTTAAAATGAGCACAATGTGCTACAGATTTCCTCTGCCATTAAGCCTTATTCTTCACAGGTTTGGTGACCTTTTCTTCTGCTGACAAACCTAAAGCTCCGCCACAGAAGACACATCCTGCAAAAACAGAGGACAAAACTTCTAAAGAGTCTCGCTCCCAGAAACACAACAGGGTGAGTATTTGTTCATGTGTCTGTGCGTCTGTCTTGTATTGAAAGACATAAAAGCATAATTATCCAACATACATTGGTATGCTGACCTTGGACACTCCACAAGAGCTGCAGTTTGTGGATCCTTTCACTCAGTCATCTAGCCATCACAATTTAGCCCTTGTTGGAGTTGCTCATCTCTTTACTTTCTGCCTCCAACACATCAATTTTTAAGGACTAAATGTTCGGCAGGTAGCTGCTGAAATTTCCCGCCTACTGCTATACACTTCATCTATCAGTGGTCATAATGTTATGGCTGATTGATGTGCATTCCTCTTCAGTTGAGAGTTTCTCAGCAGCTCCAGCAACGATTAGAGTTAGATGTTTAGCAGGTGATTATAGAGAATGTGTGGGCTGTAGTATAATGTGGCAGAAACCAGTTGAACAAATTTATGATCAGATCAGCAGCTGGCTTCCTCCACAGGCCCCCTCACACATTCTCATTTGTGTCATTTTGGTACAGTTTCAGAAAAACATATGTGACCACATGCAGAAGACACACAAGCACACTCCTGCAAATAATTTCTAGCATCCGCTTCCTGCCCTTGACTTGTTCTGATTTGTAATTTGTATGAAAACTAGCCTATCATCTCAGTCTACCCAACATAGACGAGAACAGTTGGTCCTGTTCTGAAATAATGACAGCAGTTTATTCAGGACAGAGATTAAACGCTGCCTTTCTGCTCCTCGTGAGACCGAATGGCACCAATGATTCCTCACAATAATTTATGGTGTTTCCTCACAACAGTCGCTGTGACAAGATTAAAGGCAGATCTGTTCGTTCCAGGAAGGCGTTTTCCCACTCTCACTTAGATATTTCTATGTTTGCAAGCTCACACTGTGAGCGTGAAGGCAGCCTGTACAAGGACGTTCCCAAAAGTCAAGACATTTCAACATCCCTTTCTTTTAAAGAGGGAGCTGTGCTAAAATTAGTGTCTTTGAACCAGGTTAGTGTCAGGCAGTGTGGGAATAAACACAACTAGATTCCACGTTTTCACAATTGTGCTGCTATGAAATTGTGTTTCTATGTCTGTCTCCTGGGTCTTCAGATGCTGCTGGAGGTTGTAGCCAAAACCCTCAAACACCACGGGATCACTGGCGAGCACGAGTGCTTTGAGGCCTGCAGCAAAAGACTGTTTGATATCTCAAAATTTTATCTCAAGGTTGGTCTTTTTACTGCCCACACACAGTGAGCGCTGTCCTTTATTTCGACTGTTTGTCTTCTTTACATCCAGAGCTGGGACTGTATTTCTAACCCTATGTTGTGTTGTTAAAGATCCTCGAAAAGAAAAACTTGATCACAGATGCACTTTGAAGACATAATTTGTCTTTTTTTGTTGTGCTGGCAGTGCCCACATTTTCATCTTTTTTTGTGCCATCCTGTAAATTGAGATCAGGTGTGTTGTCTGATTGGATACAAACAATCAGGGAAAACTGCCTCATTTGCCAGCAGAAAGTGGAGAAGTGCTCTGATCCTGTGCCTCAGTGAAACAAGAATCAAACTTTCAAATTCAAAAATTGTCATATCCATGTAAAACGGTCACATACTGTCATTACAATATTTGCACGTTATTATTGTTGTTATTTTATTTGATCATTATCAATACTTAAGGAGAAGCTATTTTCTTATTTGGTAGCAAACAGGCACCTCAGTTCTACACCTGACGTCAATGCGCCTGAGAGGGTTTTTTTTTTTTCACCAGAGCCAGACATTTCAAAAGTGTCAACTTTTAGTTGTTTTTAAGTGACTACTCCTGAAGAATTGTATTCCTGTGGTACAAAAGTGACCTGGTTATTTCAAGTGTTTTTTTTTTTTGAGAGTGGATAAATTGTCGCACAAGTTTATCTGCTGTGGTTTTGCAAGTAGATATTAATATGTGAGTGTATCCAATAGTCGTAGCTGTCCCAAAAGTGTCGTGGAAAAATATTCTGTATTTTCTGCCTCATCTGTGAGGAGACCTTCAAAGCTTAATAAATAAAGGATGTATAATGCATCACCCGAGATTCTCATCCTTGAAGTACACTATTACTTATCTGACAGGAGGGGTGAGCGAGGGAGCATTTCACCTCAGAATCTGAGAACTAGATTTGTGGCAGTGGCAGCTAATGAGTGCTTTTTACCGTTCGGTTGGATTTTTGATAATTTAAACTTTAGAGTATGAGTTTAATTTCAGTAATGCAGAATTTTCCCTTTGCAAGTTTTTTTTTTTTTTTTTTAACCTTTTCTTAAATGTTCAGCTGTGACATGTTTCTGTAAATGCCTCTCCTTGTGTCAGTATAAGTGATTCTACTCCTGCTGCTTGTTCCTAGGACCTGACGACATCTCGGGGTTTGCATGAGGAGATGAAGAAGGCAGCAAACAGCAACGTTAAACAGGTAACACCACCAGACATCTACAAGTTCTTATTTAGCTGTGTTTTCTTTTTTTCTCCTCCCGGACCATTTAACGTTATTTCCTGTTTGCTGCAGGTCATCGGTTGGGTGCTGGAGAAAACCTCAAAGAAGTAGATATTATTCGAGAAAGGGTGGCTTATTTATTTATTTTTTTTACTGTTTAAGTTTGTTTTGTTTAACTTTTTTACACTTTTTTGAGAGTTGTTTTCCAAGCCCACTCATTTTAATCTCTTCTTCATTTGTGATTACCCAAATCTTTAATTCAGCCTCACTGTGTCTTTCTTAAGGCAACCAAATGTAAAGATAATTATTTTTAAATGAGTTGTGTTTATGTTAGTGGTGTTTGTGTAAATATTTTCAAAATGCAGTACACTGCTTTGTTTACAGCCCCTGAAGTGATATTTGCGTTTTTGAATCTTTTCCTTCTAATTGTTTTGTTCCTAAATACAATCATAATTTTAAAGCTTTATAATTGTACATATTTTATCTCTATGTTTCATATGGTGTTGTTTATAACACAATAAAGTGTTTTTTGAACCTTATTTCTTGCATAATGTAACTTCCTGATTACAGCCTGAGCTGGTGGAAAAATGTGTGTATGTAGAAAATGATCAAATGTGAGCAGTGCGTTCGGTCTATAAGAAAGATGTGTAAAATTATCATATCAGACAGCTTACAGCCCAGTCTGGATGGTAGCTGTTATCCAGACAGCGAAAACAAAGCTGTGAGCACTGCAGCACATTATGCAGTGCTGATTATCGCTGAAAGTCAGATTTGTTGTTTGTCGTCAGAACAAACTGATCAGGAACTGATGAGATGCGAACGTCGCAGCCAGGAGGAGCTGGCCACAGGTTCTTGGCAAAAAAAATGTTTATTCCTCATGCCAAGACAACATCAAATGATCTTCTATTTTGTGAAGTTTAACTTGAACAGAAAGAAGCTTGAAGTTCACAGCAGTGGATGTTTTTTGTTTTCTTCTGATTTGGCTCCACGCTGACTGGATAAACAGGATAACCAAACACAAGCAGTTTCATTACTGTGTATGATGAGCAAATTTTTGCTTCATCAAATATTTAGCTGGTTGATTGATCTATGAGCGGGAATAGCTTGCTCATAGTTTGTTAGGTAGTTTGGCTTGTTGAACACCTTGAAGGTGAAAAGGCTTAAATGATCATTGCAATGTCTGTTTCAGTAAATTGAGTAGGACAGTGAACAGAATTATCAAAAATGATGAGTGACAGTTTCAAACTAGGAGAAATCTAATTTTCTGAGTGTGGAAAATGAAAATGGAAAATATATCAAAATTTCACATCAGTTTCATTTTTGCTAAATATGCTTCGTTAATGAAAACAGTTTGGACTAGCCTTTTTAACTTTGAAAAATCAACAAAGCTCTGCTTTAAAATGCACCTCACAGCACTGCTTCTTTTGGTTTTAATACTAAATCGATTAGTTCTTCAGTGGTTTCAAGAATAGATGAAAATACTGGTACCATGCAAGTTTTTTTTAAACCCGCAATTTTTTTAATGAATGTTTATTTGAAATAATCTCAGCCTCACATTATTCCACCATATAATAGTGATGCCGCTTCTACTTTGATTCACAAAGTGTGGTGCAGGCTTAACTTAGATGTAAAATTGCACTCCTCATGTACAGAAAGTATAGTCTAATCAAAGCTGGCAGCTCTTGGCAGCATGGTGCGCCTTACTCTCTCCTCCCAACATCTTACTTTATCATCCATTCGTATGATGCAAGTTTAGATTTTTATTATGAGTAGTTCTCCACAGGCTTTTTTTGTAAGAATTAATCAGCAAAGGGATTTTCAAAAAGTCAGAGTACACTGTACAATGTTTGTCATGAGGTTTTTACTTAGTCAGTGCCAGTTTAGTTTGGTAACATGTCGTTCTTTCAAAATGAAAGATTCCAATTTTTTAATTTTATCATTTTTGATATTCAGTCATAAAAGTGTGTTTGTTTAGAAGTAGGGATACACAGAGAGACTATGAAAGAGTATACCCACTGCACAGCCTGACTTTTTTTAGTTTATGTGATTCTTTAAAAATGAAAGTATTGAGCGTCTTCATCAGTTTGTAGGACTAGCACTGACCGTCAGAGTGAGTCCAGTTAAAACAAAACAAAAAGGAAGTATTATCTGAATGTTCTGGTTATAGATAAAGCAGTTCGAATAGTTCATCACCCGATATGAGAACAAACAAATCCCTCTGATGAAAATGACCAGAATAAGAGAACACTCTGTCCGTGCAGGAGAGAAGATGCCACATGTTACCACTTATTACATGTCCCTGATTTTCTATGATATGAGATACATTTTGTTAGACAACAGTATGTTTGTCTTTTCTTAGACAAGACAAAAACAAAATTATACAGCTTTAGAGGATTTCTGTGGAACAACATCCTCCACTAAACATTTGAGCATCAAAACCTTAATGTTACTTTATTCTTGGTTTTAAAGCTAGGACCCAAAATACTTTACAGACGTGTTTTGTGGGCCTATGAAATGACAAGATGAGTTGGCCATCTGTTGTTGCTGCTGCTTGTTGAACCATGTTAAATAGTTGTTAATAATGGCCAAGGGAGGCTCTTGTTCCAGGCTCTGGAGGTCTGTCTTTTTTAAGTGATAAAGGGATGAAAAAGTAGATGAAGAGGAATGAAGGAAAATAGGCTGAGGCAGATAAATACGGGAAAAGTGATAAAAGAGGGAATTAAAGGTCAGGGAGGAAAAAGCTGCTCTTCCATCTTATTTCTGAACTGTTTCATTAGACAAACTCAATGTGTGAAGTGTTTCCAGCCAAGTTAGACCACACTGCTGCCTGTTTGCCAGAGAAGTAATTTACTCTCTCCAAGTGTGAGGGGGAAACATCTGTCTTCATGACAACAGGTGTAAGAAGATAAGACTGTGTTAAAATGCGCTGAAGCACAGAAGAGCTGAATCATAGAGCGAAGTTTTTGCCGAACCAATTTCTTCACAGTGTTACTCTTGAAACGTGTGTTCTCTTACCCATGAAATTAGCAGCGCAGCACCTCCCCATGTATTTGTGTATTATTGGAATAACTTCAAATCATGATGTTCCTTCAAGGACTGCAGCAGAGTGAAGTCAGTCCAGAGAGTGGGCACACCCTGGATGGGTCTCAAGCTGGTTACAGACTCAAAGATGACAGAATTTTCAAAATAAAAGCACCTGATTATGAACTTAATACAACCAATGTGACCACTCCAGATGTAGTGCTAGCGTGACAAATGTGATTATGGACAGATTTTGTTAAGGTTGTCAGAAATTACAGTAGTTAAGTGAGTAATTACAATGACACTGAGATTACTCCTGGTTTAACTTACTTTCCACTTTTGTCATGTAGGTCCTTTATGTCGGTTAAAGGTGCAATGTTTAGGAATGAGAATACTTAGATTCTAGTTTTCAACTCTCCCTTACCAGTGAAGCGACGGTGGCCTTCAAGGACAAGAAGCTCCTCTGACACATGAAATATATATATCAAATATTACAAGCTCTTTTGCACACAACCACCACAATTTTCTTTGTCTTCCAGCAGCTGCATATTGTGGCTAGTTACAAAAAATATGCATGTCACTAGTTTGTCTATTTTGTCCATAGAAGCAAGATGGCCGCCACCATGAAAGGGGTCCCATTCCTATCTAGATTCAAAAGATTCATATTAAATCAACAAAAAGAAAATGATTTTTTCTTATTAGGCTGAATACACACTTATTTTAACATTTATGAAGATTCAAGTCCATTTCTACCAAGTCTGCTTTGCTTAATGCAGTGTAATACTGCACACTGCACCATTAGATGTTTTGTGTTTTTCAATCCCTCGAGTGGTGGAGTGAAAGACGCAACGTTTCCAAAACTTCGCCAGCTTGCGGGTTGCTATCTCTGAATGTTTGGGACATCTGTGCCGGCTGAGAGGGTTTTCTTTAGCTGCTGGATTAATACTCTTACTACACCAAGGTCTACACTTTCACCCCCAGCATGTTTGTATGTTAAATTAGCTGAACAAATTTCATTCATTCATTTAAAGTCAAGTCTTGCCCTTTTTTAAAATTAGTGTTACTTCTCAAGAGTGGAAACTCGCCCCCAGAGCACAAGACCTCTGTGTCCTCAGGGGTAGTTTCTCCATATTGTTTCATTTTTGAATCGGCTCCTGGAGTATAATTTTCATTAGAGAGATGGAGAACTACAAACCTGCATCACACTAATCAGTTCTTAGCCCTAGAGATGCAAAAGAAGATTTGGACAGACACTGACAGTTTCTACATCAGAGGGATCTACTTCAGTGTTTGGGCAGCCTTGTTGATTCCTGACCTCACATATGAGAAACTCTTTGCAGTGGTAATGATTGATTCCCTATACCTTTACTGGGACAGTAATGAGCTAGGAGCTAAAAGACTCCAAAGTCCCAGGAGAGACAGGCCGCTGCAGACTGCTGCGTTTGTACATTTTATAGAACAGTAATTAGCGCTGCACAGGCTATAGGAATCCACTCAGCATCCACAGTGTGCATGAGTCTGTGCTTATGGGTAGGTAGTTTATCGAGAACAAGTGCATCAGTGTGTGACAGCACTCATCTAGATGACAAAAGTGATGAGCAAAAATGCACATCAACAGACATTTTACAAAACTTAATGAAAATGAGGAGGCATTAGGTTGAAATTACAGTCATGATTGTCATCTCGCTTTAACAGTCAGACACCATCTGTGCCAGATTTTCCTCCTGAGAGACGATCCTAGACCCACCCAACTGTGGCCAGACTCCATGACACCAGCCTCTGATGCATGGCTGAAAGGTTTTTTTAAGCTTGTTCCTCGACTTTTCTTTGTTTGTTTTCCACATTTTTCACAGAAACAGTTTAAAGAATATTGTTTTTCTCCACAAGTATGCTCATTGGCAATCTTTCCAAGAGTTAAACCAGAAGATTGATTCAAGATTAAAAACTCTTTTTCATTTAAACCCAAAAGATTAAAGTTTAATATTTGCAGGATTAAGAGGAGTTTTGTGCTGGCACCTGTTTCTTTTTTAAAACAGCTGCGTGCAACTGCTAGACTTTTTCCTTTTTCTTGCCGAACAGTTATAATGTAAGTTAGACTGAAATCATGATGTCTGGGTCTGGAACATCTGTGTTAGCTGAGGGTTTGTCTCACTAAGTGACATTTCTAAAGACATCTACTATTATTGAAGCTTGTTTTTACATGATGTTATTGTTTGATTGTACTGGAAATAAATAAATAGCAGCTAATTTACAACTACTGTATTTGACTAGGTAAAGGTTAAAAGAACCCTGATGATCAAATTGATGATACAACATCACAACTAGGCTCAAAAATTGTGACAAAGGGGGGGATAAAATGCACTGACATTTACACAAATGGTACATTATTTTACAAATTCATATATTTGTTATAAGTTAAAACTGTATTATGCGCTATCAGTACAATAGAGTGCATGCAGATGGGAAATAGAGCAGAAGGAGAAATCAGTCATCACACAGTCTGCCAGCGAGAGCGTGACTCCACAGCAGGAAGCCAGAACGGCAAAGATCCAGAGACTACGGTGGCCCTGAAAGTCAATGGTGCAATCATCTCAGGAGGGCAATAACTACATATTTCATAAAACACATTTAAAAAATATAGATGGAAAAAATGTTAAATAAAACCCAAAGACATAAAAAAAATAAAAATGAAAAATATTTCTCATGCACACAGAATACATTTAAGAAAGCGCAAAAAGTATTAAAAAATATATATAAAAGATCTAGAAATGCGCATAAATTCGGTAAGGGAAGTGTTTTAGAAACTAATATATATTTTAAAAACAAAAATGTTTGAGAAAACAAAAAATATTTTGAAAATTTAAAAAGTATTTTTGGAGGACTTGAAAACTGACAATTTGATGGGAATGAAGGTTGTGTTGAAAACTTGCTCCAGTGTATTCAGAGTTTAGCAGCTTCATTACTTGTTGCTATGACAGCAACCTTTAATGCCACCACAAAATGAAAAATGTTTTCTGGTTTTGTGAAATAGTTTTTGAATTTTATGAAATGGTTTTGCGTTTTAGTACATTTTTTTTTACACCATCCGTAAGATATTTGTGCCATTGACCTTTAGGGCCACCATGAGAGTGAATGGACAAACCAAGCAGTCTTTACAGGGCCAAATTGGACCAGGCCGAGGTGCAGATCAGGATAAACTGAATAAATAAAGTTTATCAAAACAGCACCTTGTGGGAGTGTTTCATCAACAGAGGCTTGCTGCTAACAACATGGTTGTTAACTTTTTGGGTACCAAAACATCAAAATGGCTTGCTGTAAAAACCAAAACAAAGTGCAAATCACTGCTAAAGCTGTCTGATGGCAAATTTAAAAATGAATGATAATTCTCTGCCCATTTGTCACCTCAAATGGTTCTCTTAACTTTGCACACAGTCATTAGATCGGTTGTTAGCATCGAAAACTTGAATAGTGCAGCTTTGATGTTATGATTAATACACAGTAACTTATTCTACATAAATACGGAAGCCCCTTTAATCTGAGTGTACTTCTGTTTAATCGCCTATAGCTCTTTTTACCACAGCTCATTACCACAGTGCATCCTGTCTCTGTCACATGATTTTCTTTGTATTCTTGTCGCTTTGTCTCTGATGCATGTGAACCTGTTCTCTCTCTGTTCATCAGAGGTTTCTTGTCTTTTGTGTTGTCTTCTTCAACCCCACTTGTCATTAGAAAACAACTTTTGACTATGATACAGAACATGGAGGAGCTTAACAGAGTAAGATATGCCCTGGATTTTCTGTGAACCTCTTCTATGAACCTTTGGCATGGGCCTCGCCCCTGCTTATCAGTAGGAGTCTATCATCCTCTATCCTCTTACATGTAGACAGGGCCAGTTAAAACCCAGTTCTTTCATCATCTAATGTCACGTTGACATGTTGATCCTGCAGTGTTTGAACTAAACAGAACGCCACCGCTTCAAACTCCCACTGGTGCTCTTTCCGTGATAGTGTGCATGCATTCACATGTGCAAGGAAAAAAAAAGCATACACATTTATTCCCCATTCATCACCCCTTGTATTCCTGCGTACAGGTTCATGGGACAAGAAACACAAAGAACACTTTCAATATGTGTTTGTGTGTAAGAGTGATGGGGCGCATTCAGGGGTACTGTAGGGACTTGGCAGTGGCATCCTGCAGCATTCCTTTCTGTCTCTCAAACACAAACCCCTTCCTCACCCCTCATCTCTTTTATCATCAGGTTCCCAGAGACTGCAACTTTGTTTTTTTCCGTGCGTGAGAGAGAAGAAGAAAGAACAAGAGGGGAGACTCGGTGTCTCTTCAGTGAAAGGAAAGGTTTGTGAGCAGTCAGCGAGCATGCATCACTTCATGATTTGAGGTTTCACGTGTGTGTAGGTTATGTGTGGGCGGTTGTTTTTGAAAGTAACAGAGCTTAAAGTACAGCGGTTGTTAAGTGGGAGGGTCACAGCGGCGACATCACCTCACAAACATGCTTGTTGATTCTGTGCTCTAATGCTGTGCGACGTTGTACCTTCTCGTTTGAATGTGGTTTGTGTAAATCGTTGAGAAGGTTACTCATCTTCTTCATGTCTATTAACTCATAATAACAGAGACAAAGTGAGGCAGTGACCCAGTTTCTTTGTCTTGCGGTATCAACGTTGCGTGCTCTGGTCTCTCCGAGTCATTTTTAATAAATCATGTATAAAACAAAAGAGTAATTGTGTTTGACTTCTCAGCTCAGACACATGACTAGATGCATAGCTATCTTAGTTTCATCCTTTAAATACAAAACGTTGGCCTTTAAACCACCTGGAGCTACAGCACCCAATGTATTAGGTTAATAATTAGATACACAACCTGGTTTAAAAAAGAGGGAAAGTTTGGGAAGAATTTCACCACACTGTGAGGGACAGTGAACAAATATTTCAACAATTTCAAAACAAGGCTCTAAGTGTAAAGATGAGTTTCCTATACCATCAATACTTTGAGTGACTGATTCAAAAACAAAAGCAAAACAAGAAGTTAAAAGTGTGATTTACCAGAAGAGCAAAATGGTTCAAATAATAATTTCATTTGACCCCAAATAGAAAATACTAGGTCAGTTCTATACTTACTGCCTGTTTGGAGGGATTAAAGAAGTCGTCTGTGACTGTCATTGACACACCAACTATGTAAATGATAGTCACAGAGACTCAAGGTTGACATCAGTTGGAAACTTTGAAATTCTGTTTTACGGCTATAATCAATGTGGGTTTGGTAAGAAGGTTAAGACATTTGAGAGAGGACAGCATTGAAGAGGAATAAGCAGTTAGCAAACGACATCAAAGCAGGGCGATAAAATTCATTATTTGGCTAATTAGCAGCTAACCACAGTGTTTCACCAGGATTGAAATGAGATTTTCTGTGGAAGCTCACTGGAATTTTTAAATTAGTCAGGCTGAAGGAGCTGAGGGAACTTGTTACATGTTCCACATTTGCTAGTCTTCTTTTCAGAGGAGCAGCAAAATGACATGGAGCCGATTAATCAAAATAAACTGTCTTCTCGCTACCAGAGACTAAGAGGAAAGTCAACAACAATTTTGACTCCAATTAAGAGAAGGCAACAAGTGAATCCTTGGTTGAAAACAACTCTGAAAAGTCAATGAGCAAGGTGCATGCTTGCTAACAGGTGTTAATAGATAAAATATCTTACCAAACAAGCCAGAGCATCTAGACCCATCGGACAGCCTGGTAGTTTCAATAAACTATTTGTTTGATAGTTGCAAACACTAGCTGAGTTGGTGCTCATTAGACAGCTAGCTGCTCCTACATATTACTTAATGTGGCCATGATCTTTGCTATAGGCACAACTTTAAGCCTACAAACAGTATAATCATTTTAGTTTTATTTGAATAAATTTAACCCCATAAACAAAGCAAATAGCACAGCGTGTGCTTACCTGTCTGTCAACTCAGCCCCTAGAGGATGTTAAGTTTTACATTTAGAGATGTGGTCTATTTCCAAGTAAAAAAAAAACCCTGACTGGTAAACTCATAGACTTTTGTCAGGTTAAATTCTTTAGAGAGAGAGGAATGCTCAAAAATACAGTTTTTAGAGACCTGCCATTGACGAGACTATGAAGTGATGCATTAAAGCTAGCAAGTTTGGCTAAAGTAAATTCAATCCCAGCCAGTAAATTGGGGTTTGGAAGTGCCTTGTTAGCTCACCATCTTAGAACTCAAGAATAATTTTGTGTATGAATCTAAATTCATAGACCAAGGGGCTTCAGACTGAGGTCCACAGGTAGACCCTAATTGGCCAGACATGACATAAATATGAAAACTGAACGTAGTGAGAGAAAGTTAGTTGGACTCTGTGAGTTCAAATATCTCCCCCACTTAAAAATCTATTTTGTTCCCACCTAAAATGTCCATGCTCATTTAAAAGTAGTACTCATAAAAGTAGATGCTGAAGAAACATTCTCATCCTCTTCCTAGGGATAAGATGTCAGTTCACTTTTGTAAAACCTGAGATCGAAATGTCGGGGCTACGCCAAATTTGTATGTTAACTGTCTGATATAAAAACACTGCATATGTAACCTGAAACTTACAGGGTAGATGAGCATTGTACAGAGGGTGAGTGTAAACATGGTAGATGTGGGGGACCATATGGTAGACTTTTGATTTTGGATGTATGAGCACTTGGGAACTTTATTCTAATATCACAAGATCCACTTTCTAATGTTTAGTTAACTTAGTATCCAAAAGAAAAAACAGCTACAGAATTTTTCAGTTTTAAGACGTAGCGAAGTAACTAATCTGACTAGCCTGACCATTTAAAAAGATTGAAGGTTTTAAAAAAATACCAAATAATAATTAAAAATAAACTTGAGTTATGTTTATATATTAATTTATACATATGTATCAATATTTACAAGCACACAGATGAGTTAACAGTATCCTAATGACTTTGAGGCAGCATAGCCTTCCATTGAGCCACCCAAATTTTCATTCAGTAAAAAGAACAAGAACAATATATAATTTGCAGCAGAACACCTAAGAATAGTTTCCTGGGTGTTTTTGCTGTAAAGTCTTTGTGGTGATCTTTATTCCATCACATCCACCTTGTTGGAGCAGACACAGGCATTCCTCTTCATACAGGACCATAAGCATTTGAAGCAGTTTTTCGTTGTCTTGTCTGAAAGTAAAAATGGAGTTTCTAATATCTCAATCTGAGACAGAATGAACAAAAATGGTGAAAATCTGCATAATTTAGAAAGAAGGAGCTGACTTACTCGTGTCAGGAGGAAGACATGTACTGTATGATTGAATCCCGGTGGCATCCTGTTGAATCCTTGTGGCGCTCTGAGTGGTGGAAGGAGCCTGAGTGGCGTGTACACTTAACACAGAAATGCAAATAGAGTTAGTATTCTGACACTCCTTCAGCACGATGTATCATGAAAAACATGGTGCACTTTCCCACTTTTGTTGAGAATAGTGTCATGTTCATCTTGCGTTGTTTTGTTGTCAATTGACAATTTAAACTAATGTTGCTGCAACAAAAAAATTAATTAAAACAAGAAAAATCCCAACTTACTTGGATATCCGCTGATCACTCATGTTGAGATGATCAAGGGTGAAGAAAGGATGCTGAAGAATTTCACTGGGGGTTCGCCGCTCTTGGGGATCCCACTTGAGCATTGCTTCCAAAAGGTCAATGCACACAAGCCTCCTGATGGCTTCTTCCCTGGGGTATTTTTCTATAACAACCTAATAAAAGAAAAAAAGGAATAAACTGTTGTCAACAGATGTCATTTTTTTCTCCTGTATCCATTACCCAAACTACATACTGAACACCAACAAGATCACTTCATAAGGATAGTTTTAATACCTACTTTCTCTGCTTCATCCAGAGAACAAAATGTGTAGCGCCTGTTGTCAGTGGAGTGACTTGTTGTTCCCCAGTACTCCTTAGGAGTCTAAAGGAAGGTCAAAAGTATTTAGAGAGACATATTTGGCTAATTCAGTGAAATAACTGTGGAAAAGAAGCGTAGAAAATGAGAACCAGCAAATAAAAAAGCCAAAGGATGAGTACCTTTAGTGTCCACCTGTTTGAATCTGTCTTTGTGAAATATAATTTGGATTTCTTCCCAGCACTGAGCAGATAGTCGGGTGGTGGTCCTAGGATGTTGTGGATGAATCGTAGCTAAGACAAATCATACCAATGTGTTACTATAGCCACATTATTCCCATTAAGGATTCACTATCATCACAATCGTGACAGAAATACTTATTTCCCACTTTGAAGCAATGACAGTGCTGTAAAATTAACACACCAACACAAACAAAAAACATCAGTGGCCTTTAAAAAAACCAATTTCTTTCTTAACGACTTGATTATCATTAACTTTGGCCTGTTGTTTTAGAGTGGTTCATGAATGTCAAGGTAAAGAGTGTAAAGCAAGTAAGGCTACGTTCACACTGCAGGTTATGATGCACAATTCAGATTTTTTGTTAAATCCGTTCTTTTTGTGTGGCCGTTCACATTACAACAATGAATGCATCTAATGTGAACCGAATGCGTCCGTGAAGTGACCCACATGCACACAAAGCACAAATTGCTTTCCACGCCTGTTTGTGTTGTCGAACAATGGTGACGTTTGTCACATATTGATGACGTATAGGTCGGATAAACGCCACCTGAGCGTCCACACTGCAGTCACATCGGATACATATCCGATTTATATCCACATACAAAAGAGGCCTGGGTCAGATTTGAAAAAATCTAAATTGCACTGTTCACACTTACATGAAAAAATCTGATATGTGTCACATATGGTTAAAAAAAACCTGAATTGACCTGCAGTGTGAACATAGCCTAAGAGTTTTATGGTCATTTACTTACTGTGTCATATTCATGTTTTCCAGGGAAGAGTATACAACCAAGCACCATGATGGCCATCAGACAGCCCAAAGACCAGATATCTATGGACTCACAATATGGAAGTCCCAAAATAATTTCTGGAGCCCTAAAACATTTAAAGCAAAACTAGTGAAAACTGAGAAATATCACCACCAGAGTAAAAAAGTAGCCCTGAATTCACGAGTTTACATCTGCTCTCATACCTGAAGGGTGTGACTTGATGAGCCCTGCCTAGCTTAGCTTCAGATTTGAAAATTGCTAAGCCAAAGTCAACAAGCTTGACTTTGAGTGGTCGTGTCTTTCGGTTCACAATCACAATGTTGTCCAGTTTCAAATCAGTTTTTTAGGCCACCTAAAGCTTCGGTCATCTGCATTAAAATTCATTATAAGAACAAAAAAGTTATCTTAAACGCTTGTTTATGAAGGTTTTGTTACTTTACAAGTAGCTCAAATAAAATCAGAGATGGTGAGTATATGTTAGCTTTCTATTTGATGCTATACCTGTTGGATTATATTTCCGATGTCCTCCAGAGGAAGCTTGTTTTTTAAGTCGTTGATGTAGTCCAGGAGGCTGATATCTAACGCCTCAAACACAATACCTCTTCCACCTTTTAGAACACACTCACCATAACACTTGACAATGTTCAACCTGTGCATTTTGTGTTGCATGAGGAATTTCAGTATAGACACCTGAAAGACAAAACATGACCTGATAAATTCAATTGCAATCACTGACTCTACACTGCAAAATCCAGTGCTGTAATTTCGTATGTAGTTAATGGTCAAATCATGATAATAGCATTTGGAACATATCCAGCCCCACTCCCTGTTCTTATAAAGTTGATCTGTGACAGCAGCTCACCTCCTTGGCATGATCTTTATGGCGTTTGTTGATCTTCACTGCAACATTCTTACAAGTACCTAGGTCAAAACATTTGATGACTTTTCCAAAGCCACCTTGACCCAGAGTTTGCAGGTACAGGTATCTTTTGGGAAGTGAGAGCTGATCTTCATTGTTGGACTTATGGGAGGATAATGAAGATGAGGAGCCCATGGTTGTGTATTCTTAGGCTAAACAGATACAAAGGTGAACAATGCGTTATTTTCTTTCTTGATCAGAAACACTATCATCACTTCTTAAAAAAGTATCTAAACCAAGTTTTGTGGTCCCAAGAAAATAAAAAATAACTTAGGCAGGTATCATCGGGTCCTTGGTTGTTGTCCACACAGTTTCTGATCCTTAAATGATCTCTGTTCCATTATGGTAGATGTTTATGGTCAGGATGGGTCAGGTGGAGTCTGCATCTTCATATACAGTATTTGTCTACCTTTTCTTATTGCATTTTTCTTGATTTGAGCAAATGAGTCACACAATATTGAGTGCCACTTAGCAAGGTGATAAATGAAGAACAGCTAGTTGCATTTAACTTTATAGTTGTCTTTCCTAATGAAGTCTGCCACCAATGACTCTGTACTGTCTCTAAAGAGTTTCAATTTCAAGGCCTTCTTTTCTTGAGCCTACATACCTGCTTTTGGGTATTACATTTCACTTCCATCAATGCATGCTGAGTGTGTAGTTGGAGGTATTACCTTTGTATCTCCTGTCTTCATTTGTTGTTAATATTTCTCTCTGTTTCATTAGCGTGGTAGGTATCAACTGACAGATTGTGAGTTGTTTTGCAGTTCAATTTAAAGCAGTGACACTGATAAAAATAATAAAGTACCTTCAAAATGTCTTCTTCTCCCCGTGGTTTTAGTCCTTTTGATGTCCTGGTTGTAGAAAAATTTGTCCACTCACAGATAAAAGTTTCTGTCTATTGTTATTTGTTGTTTTGCCTTGAATCCGCTGCTGTTGCTAGCCAACTGCCATTTAAAATCTACAGGTCATAAAACTGTGATGCTGAAACCTAAGTTTATATTTGTAATTTTAGACATGGACAGTTATCTCTCTGTTTCTTTAAAGGACAAATTATATGAAGCATTTTAAAATATATCAACCACCTGAAAATGTGTTCACTCAAGTTATATAAAAAGCAGAATGAGTGGATTGGTATGGTGGTTCAGTGCAACATACAAAAACACTGGGCTGATCTTTTAAGACGAGCCCTTTAATGCCTGAAACCACAAATTATGGCCAGGAAATTTAATTTTTTTTTGGAGCTGAAATGTTTATTTCACTACTGAAAAACAAAAAAAATCAAAATGTCCTTAAAATTTAACAAATAAAATTATTCATCTAGTTTGATACATTATATGTTTTTGGAAACTGATAAACTGCAAGAGGACATTTTTATCATTTATCAGACTGTATTCAGGTGTTTGTTTGTTTTTTTAGTAATTTGTTGATCATATTGATTTGATAGAAGTATCATAAAAGTATGTATCAAATATGATACAAAAGGCATTAAAGGGCTAGCTAGATGTGGTTTATGCTATACTGATGTACCTCATTGTGGCTTCCAGGTTTTTGGTGCCCACTAGAATTTTGGTTCCCACACCATGAATGGGCTGTTATATTCTTGTCCTCTCAATGTACTACAGACAAACACACTCTCTCTCTCACACACACACACACACACATGCAAAACCAGAGTTTATGGTTGATTGCTGATTGATCTGGCTCTTGTCCAGCCCCTGGAATGAAAACTGAACCTATGTTTTTCTCTGGCTGTTGCAGAGCATGCATCATTGTAAGGTAGTGTGTTAAATTTCAGCAGTATCGGCAGATGCCCGTTAGTGTGTCTGTGGATCCTAAGAGAGGCACAAACGCAGGTTCTGTGTCTGCCTCAGTGGGGGGATTGACCTGGAAGGAGTCCTTTGTGTTTTTCTTTCACATGATGCAACAATTGCTACCTGCAGACATTTAGTGTCCCACTGAGAGTCTGACTTTATCCAATAACGACCTGAACAGAAGGGGAACGGTGATAAACACAGAGAGGTGGAAAAATCTGCGGGTAAACAATGTCAATGAGTATACAATGTCAAGAGTTATGACTTTGTTTGAGGGCCAAACCCCTTAGCATCAGTAGCGCTTATGTGTCCATCCATCTGTTTGTGTGTTTGAGGGAGACAAAAAGGATGCCAGCTCATTACCCAGCCGCCAAGTAAACAATGTCAAAGAGTTACGACTGTGTTAAGGGCTGCCTACAACGCAATTAATCTCAAGCTATTCACACTCAGACACATGAATACTTCCTTCTGACCTGGTTGATAAAACATACTCTCAACCAAGCTAAACTGTCACTGACACATAGTAAATTAGTCTCTGATATAAAATACAGCCCATAGAGGCGATGAGTGTGTGAGTGTACGGCTGGGTTGAGTTCATTTCAATCTAAGGTGGGAGCACAGAGTCGTCTCATATCCTCCTGACACAGTCATATCAAAAAATAATTAGGAACCAGCATCATTAGCAATCAACTTGAAGAACAAGTAATTTACATTTTAATATGAATGAAGTGAAAATTAAACTCTCCCAAGGCTGTTTTCCAAGCTGCCTTTGATGATTAGTATTTTCCTGTTGATGAGAAATGAATAAATGACAAGAGAACAGGAATAAACAAACTCATCATGTCACTTTTGTTAAATACATGATTTATGTGCACCATTTCAGTTAAAAACTAAACTTTATCATTCGTAGTGACAGTACAGTAGCTGCCAAAGGCATCAGAGTATACTACATCTCAAAGCAGCCTCTGCTCAAAGGGCTTCAATCTACTTGAGGTTATCAGTAAGTGCTGGATTCTTTGCGGAACAAAAATGTTACAATGCCTCCACTATCTTCTAGTATTTGAAAAAAATAATAATAATAATGAGAGAAAGTTCTACAGTGTGGTAGGAATACAATATGAAAATCAATCTTCACAGTGTGACTGCAGATGACAATTGAAAGTGTTACATGAATGCCAAATAATGAAGAGAGCGATCACAAAACAACTGCTGGTGGAGTATTTCTGTGCTCAAAACCAAGAGTAAAATAGCCATCACAGAAAGCACATTGTTGGTCCATGCTCAGTCATATCTGTATCTTTATTTCAAAGTTCAAATGTTTTTTTCTCAGTCATCTGAAGGCACGAGGAAAGGACCTGGCAGACAGCCATGCCAAAGACAGTTCAAGATTCAGGTGTGATTTTTCTGCATAATATCCATAACATAATGTCCTGCACAGGCTTCTGCAGATCTAAAGAAACACTGCAGGCTCCTGCATTGGCTACCTTGTTGATTAAACAGAAATAATACTTGGTGATTGTGGCATAGTTTGATTGACTTTAGGTTTGTACTGTGAAAAACAGAAGCACATGTGGCAGTTGTTTGCTTGTTGGGGTAGAAAGTGATTATATAGTCTGTCATTATATAGTCTATTAGCCTTCCTTCTCTTCTCTTGAAATTAAATGTCAGCCAATGAACAACCATGACTTACATGAGGAAAGATTAAACAGTGTAATTTCTGACCATCTGGGAGTAGTTAAAACTAGCTGGAAAAGAGTCTCGCCAACAGGAGAAGTAGCTTAAAAGAACAGCTTCTCTCACATAAACAGCCAGTAGCTGGTCAGCACAATCACTGGAAACTTGATAACAGCTAACCTGAATCCAAAGGTCACTGAATCCACCATCAAGCACCTCAAATGCTCACTAATTAGTGTGTTAAGTTGGATTTTATTAATCTGCACAAAGAAAAACAAAGTGTTTAAATGTCAAGTCATACTTTTACATAGCTTTGTGCAGATTAATTTTGTAGGTTGCGTGCGTTGATGGCATAAGCATTCATTCGTGACCTTTAGTTGTTTTATTTGGAAAGAGACAGCTGTTTCCATAGTTGATGGTCAACTAAATCTCAGCAAGAAAGTAAGGGGGCACATTTGCTAAAAGATCCCAGTATTGTTTTCAACTGAAATATTTTACCTTCTGATCATTTGCACTACCCTCACTTTAATGATAATAATAATATATTTAATCTGTAGGTTTATTTTAAATGTCCATAAATGTCTTATATGAGTTTGTCTGTGGAAATTTGGCTGTAGAAAAAAAAAAAAAAAGCTTTTTCTTCATCCACAGTGTTGTGGACAAATTTCCTCTGGTACACTGTTGTAGAAGTTTCATCAGCTTTAAAAAGTGTGGTCCAAGTTTCCTCTTTTTCTACAGTGAGAAATTGCATGGAATTTATGAGCTTGGGTGTGTTTACGTAAACTGAGCTTTAAATCCCATTTCAAGACATTAACACTTGCTTTAAATCACTATCAAATCAGTCAGACAATGGAATACACTAACAGCCTTTCACCAACAGATAGCCACCTTATGCAACCTGTTATACCATGACATTTTGAATTCGAGTCAGCTGTCACATTGTGGGAAACTCTTCAGACCACTGTGCCCTGCAGTACTCAATGATGAATGCTGACACAGCCGACAAGACATTTCAGGGGACGTTAACAAAGACGAATGCACAAAGTTTTTATCACAGTCTGTCAAATGTTTGGTGAAGAATAATGACAGAGTGAAATTCAGAGTGTCCTTTCAGAACTAATGGTGAATAAATTATATAATCAGTAAATGGGAGGCAGTTTGCCATAACATTTTGATTGAATTAAAAGTGAATTTGTCTCAACTATGTCGCACAAGTCCAGTCCTTCCAATTCTGGACATGACAGTAATGCCCAATCTGCTCCCTTCTGCCTGTATACACTACCTTTGCCTCTGGTTCAGTCTGTTTTTTTTCTTCTGTGGTTCTTCAGTCGATACTTCAGTCCATTCAGCTCTAAAAAGCAGAGCTTGTCCCTAAGAAAACAAAGTAAAACCAATTTAGATTGGTCTCTCCAGTGTTTCTTTAATTACGAGTTTAACCCGAAAAAGGTCAATTTCCAGGTAGAGGCTACATTCACTCAGCTTGGGTCCCCAACTGAAGGAGTTTGACGAGGAGTACTGCATGCAGGCAGCAGAGAGGTGCCGAAACAGGGTTGATTTTTGTATTCAGAGTTGAAGAAGCATCCTTCAAAGTCAGGCCACCAGACCTAGACGGGAGATCTTGGCAGAGAGGAAGGAGTGGAGGATGAAGACGATCGGCTTTGGACATGAATGGAGGTCCAGTTGCTGAAGGAGAAAGGGAAAACAGCAAAGTTAAAAAGCAGGACAACAAAAAATACTGCAAAAAGTGACAGAAGACAAGTGGTGAAAACATGATAAAAGAGTAAAGCAGGCAGGAAAATATTTTAGGTGACAGAGGGATGAGTTGGAAAAGAGAGGAAAGAGAAAACAAGTTTGTTAGGTACATAAATCATGAAGTATAATTCAAAACTAACTACACAGTCAACACAGTTCCCCATGAGGCAAGGATTAGACAGTGCTAGCTGGAGCCAAGCACTGTGTGCACACACACACACACACACAAACACCAGATCACTGAGAAGAAAGCTCTGTTCATAGCCTGAACCAACAGACGGTGATTTCGACTCATATCCTGTTCCTGAGGCCTACTGGGAGGTTTTAACCTACAAATCCATGCTTTCACTACTGCTGAAGTGGTCTAAAACTTCCTCTGGGTTTACACAGAGGAAGTTCCAGAGGCTAACTCGTGTTCTAAGTGCAATTAAATATGAGCAGAGCGTTGCATCATTACCGGTTCACAAAAATCCAAAATGTTCAGGAATTGGCATAAATCAAGCGGGCCTTTCAGCTAGAGATTTAAGAGTGGCAGGTACAAAATTAGTCAGTTTGGCTCCAACTAAAATATTCTGGCTACTCTCCATATTGCTATGGAATCTGAAAGCGTTGGTACATTTTCTCCTCTGCCATAACATCAGACCAGAAGTTATTATTCAGTGAAATACCTGAACATCTAGTTGATTAACATGCAGAAAATTTTGTTCAAAGTTTCATGGTCCCCCGATGATGACAATGTCTCCGGTGACTTCCCATGGCCAGGTCTGCTCATGTCAACCAATCATTGAACAAATTATTCTTAAACTGTGTACTTATTTGTATTGCAAGGTGCGTGTTGGTGACTTCCACACTCCCATGTAGATTTAAAAGGTCAAACAAGATGATTTCTAAATTCTGATGGTTATACACTTATTTGAAGCTACTGCGAGGTGTTTTTTGACATTGATGAAATAGACTGAAAATTCATTTTGATTATTTTTCATGGCATTTCATTGACTGAAATTGGTGCAAGGCGGTAGTTATCGGAGGAGCCATTAAAAAAAAAGGTTTATTTGACTGCCAAAAGTCAGCCATTTAACAGGTCGGGTATGGTTCTTTAATGGGTTTTCAGTGTTTTCTTAACTGACAAACAAAATCATATCACCAACTGGCATCTGACCAACCATCAAGAGGTGAACCTTCATTCAAATGTTCAATCTTACAGTATTAACAGGGATCAAATACCAGTGAAAATGACATTTGTGTCAGTCCTAGTTGTCTTGTTCTTTGCACACACTGTGGTGTAACTAGCGGTAACAGGATGCCAACATTTGGGCTTTATGTTTGTGGCAAACAATAGCAAACAAAAATGTTCTTCCTTGATGGTAAAGTGTTAACCACTAGGCAGATTGAATGAAAATATATCTTTTTCGAAAGATTCATATACTTATTTTTTATTTATTTATTTTTTTTAGCTGTTATGACTTTCCAACAAGTATTACTATGCCTGGCTCCCATGTCAGAGAGCTGCTAGCATTAATACAGACTCTTGGTCTTTTCTTTTCACCTTGCAGTTAAACCACAGCAGGAGTTTGTGCATAATTAGGTTCCTCCATCCACTATCAACGCTTTGGCTTACTGCAACCTTCATAATATATTTTCTCTAAAGGGAATATAATCTGTCAAGTGCTGTGACAAAATTAGGCATACGCAGTCCCTGCCAACTAATGACGGCATAGTACACACTTTGAAAAAAAAAGCCCAGCTGATTCCACTTTCAAATGTCGAGCTAATGAGCCATCAGCCATTTCCACAAGTGCCTCAGGGATTTTTATAAAGCCTTGACTAGGACTGTGTTGGGATTCACAAATACTAGAAACCAAAATCTGTTCAGCTAAGGTAGCCAACAGAGGGTTTTGAATCAAAGCTTGAAAGTCTTTGCTTATTTGCCTCCAATTTAATCTGAGTAGAAAAACACTGGTGTTTCTGACAGACATGTTATACAGAGCTGTTTATGGACAACAGTTTGAGGCATGCTCTAGTTTTAAAACATTTCATTTTCCAGTCTTTAAATCCCAGAAGCCGAGTTAATATTTTACTCTTTATTCTCAGTTTATTTTCAGCATTCAGAAAATCACAGTGTTTTGGCTTTATGAATGATGAAACATGGTTGTGTCTTATGAGCGGGTAAAAACAGTTTGTGTATGTGCCAAGGGAAGGTAATAAAAGAGCTGCAAGAGCTCATCATTCTGACACAAACATTAATATTTATACCACTAATATCATATATGAAGAGGCTGAATATTTAAACCTTTTGAAAAGACTAACATAGGGAGTAGTGAGAGTTCCTAAATTAAGACATATAGTGATTACTTTAGGGCAAGCCGCTGAAACATGAGCCTCATGGACGTCTATGAAGTGTGTTGAGTAAACGGATGAAAACCTTTACAGTAAGCGACAGGCTGTTTTTAAAGAGCACACCCTCCAAAATGCTTTATATGGTAAGACCTGCGTATGTGTGGCTTTATTTTATTTCAGGAGGTATTTGGTGATGGAGTGCTGTAATTTACTTTTGGCTGTAGCACTTTCATTTTGCTTGTCTCCAATACCCGTACTTGTGTTTGTTTCATTTCCCAAAAGGCCTCCTGAACTCTCCTGAGATGGCGTTAAACATGGCCACAGCAAAGTAAAGGCTTGAACTGATATTGTTTTTTTTCTCCTGTGATGACTTAAAAAGAAAAAAAAAATGAAGAGCACATTTAGTGTTTTTGGGGCTGTTTAGACTCTGCTCCACTTGGAGTAGGACAAGGATAATTTAGTAAACAGTGTATTTATTTTTCTACTTTGGCTTTAACTTTCTAGGTCTAGCATATAGGGATTTTATGTCAAATCCACTTTAAGAAAATCCTTCGCTGTGGTTTCTCCACAATGGATGTCCAAATGTGTGCTAGATTAACACTGATCAGTCTTGAAAGTACTGCTCATATTTCTCCTAATAACTACATCACAGCTGCCCCCAAAATACCTCACAGAGAAAAGAGGCTAAGCGATCCCATCCCATCCCAGATTTTTTTTTTGATGCAGCAGTGCTCTGAGTTGGATTTCTCCGTGAATTTGCAGTAAAACTCTGTTCCAATCACAGCATACTTTGTTTCATTTAATGGGTCAAATAAACACTTAAAAAGATTAATACTCACAATCTCTCCCTCCTTCCCTCCAAAGTCCAGGAAAAGCATGCGAACTCCATCATCTGCAGACATCTTTAACTTTTCGAAGGGGTAAGAAAGAAGCACCCGTGGCCTGCCGGGTGTGTGCGCTCCTCTCTCTTCTCCGTTTTCCCCATCTCCTAGTGTGGGGTCAGCCTGCACAGAGAAGCCCTGCTCGTAGTGGATCACCAGCCGACACTCCTGACCTCGGAACAAACAACCTGCAAAATAAAAATGCAGTTTTAATTTGGGATAGATAACAGATTATCTTGCTTGTAGGAATGTGCTAATCTGGATGAGTCAGATCCTTGTGTCAAGGGGTAGATCTTTACATTAGGAGGTTTCGATGTCTAAAAAATTACAATTACAATTACAAAATCATGCTGATCCCAAAGACTGTATAAATTATGAACGTTGTCTCTGTTGTGTCAGCCATTGTTCTTTTTAGGAGGTATTTTTAAGTCTGATGATGGCAGGCACCATATTGGATATTCTGACTCAATCTCACTTTCGGTCAAGCTAGATACTGGCAATGAGTGAGCTTAAGGCCTCCTGACAAACAGCTGTAATGCACCTTCCATCAACCCAACTGTGTTCCTAATTTTGCATCGTTATGTATAACACCAGACTGAACTGGAGTTTACTCATTTTTCATCCGAGCCTGAGAGTTGGTTTCTCCCTTGACCTCACTTAATGATTCCTGTGCAATAGCCATGAAGAGGATATACAAACCACCCAACAAAAATTACATTGCAGCTTATTATTTGCATAAATATGTGTGGCCACATTTAATGACATTGTTGCAATACTGACTGTCCAAGAGCTCATTATTCCAACTCTTTAGAGAGTGATAATCTGTTTTAATATTATTCATGCCATACTAATTACTCATTGGAATGTTTAAGTGTCAGTGCTTCCAATTTCTCATTATTTTTTGGTACCCCATTCATCAGAGTCTATGTTAGCTTATCTCATTGTGAGAAATGCTGTATCCATTAAACATGAAATAAAATGAGCATAAACTTCACAACTGTAAACGTTTGATTACTCAGCACCTCCCAAACTTATGTACAAATATGATTATAAAAACAAACCTGCTTCTGTCGTATACCGGACTTAAGATATCAAACAGATCCAACTGTGTGGATACACCCACTCTGATGCAGAGTACAGTCTACGTCAGCATTCAGACTTTAAAATTACCAGGTGAACTTTAAAAAAACAACTTCATCCCTGCCCTCGAATTACCTTCTCTTTACTTTCAGGGAGGATGTATAATTTCTCTGTCTAATATCTTAACTGCCAAGTGTTAGCTTGTATTGGCAGGCTCATTCAGTATGATTAATGAGTCATGTTATGAGGTTGGGTATCTTCACTCACTGGTATTCAAAAAAGAAAAAAAAAAGACCTCATGTTAGTCCCTCTTTTAGTTCATTAAAGTAACAGGTGGTCATAAAAATTAATCAAAAATCATAAAAACAATGAACCTGTTGTTGAACCATGTTCTTCTAATTCCCACTCACCTTTTCTTTTAATCTTCATCTCTGCTCTGTTCTAACAGACGAGCCAAAAAGCTGTTTTTATCAACTTTATCAACTCATCATGGCAATTAAATGACAGAATAAATTTTACAGATTATGGAGTTCAATCAAACACTGACAAAAGATACGGATCGCAATTTTAGTTCTCAACATTAAACCTTACCCTTCTTATGAGCGGTTTTAAGATGTGTAAATCATGGAAAGGACAAACACTGTCTTTGATTTTTTTTATTTGCAGTTGATTTTTTTCTGCACATCTTATCTCTAACTGTTCAGAAGTCATTTTCACTCTCAGTTGTCTGTTTATCAAGAGCACCAGGCTAAAATTGTTGTTTCATATTTGCATCTAGATTAAAATGTTGGACATGTATAACAGATTTTTTTTATTTTTTTATTTTTTATTTTAAGGGGTTTAGTTGAGAGGTGTTTTTCGTAGTCACATCCTTTAAACTTTTGTGTTTATTTGGTTTAGGGCAGGTTAAACAATGAAGAGACTTCATTTACACTATCTGGTCAATCCACAGAAAACCAACATTATAGATTTGGTTTTCCTCTTGACAATATATCTTTTGTATGATGTCTCAATTAAAAGGATTAATTTCAAGTTATTACATTTTTTTATCCATCAAAGGGAGCCTTGCTCTGTTTTAACTTCTGACATCCATGTCTACTGTCTAATTATTCAACGCATCCAGAAGAAAGACTCCTCTGCTCACATGTAAACAGAAATCCTGAGTGTAATTTACCTTTTTACAACATCCCTCCTCTCTCTCTGTCTCTCTCTCTCTCTCTCAGCGTACGTCTGGCTGGAAGCCTAACACACTGTCTTTATCTATCTCCCAATTTGCGCATCACTTTCCTCTGCTTTAATGACAAACCTGTCTCGTCCTCACACAGTGTGATCTCGCTGCATTTACTCCTATTTTTCACTTTCTTGACAGCAGAGTTCCCTCTACCAGCCCCCTCCCCCCTGCAGAAATGAAGGCTGCCTTTTGAAAACTTCATTTACAGCATAAGCTCCTCTCTCTTGATGACAGCTGATCTGCAGAGCAGCGTGTTTGTGTGACACAGCAAGCGGGAGAGAGTTGTTATCTTTCCATTGTTTGCTGACAGCCTGTGAAGCATGCGCATGTGTGTGTATAGCATGAACACAAAAGGCAGTGTGTGTTTCTGTCTGTTTACATATGACAGCCAAAGAGTGAGGCATGTCTCCATGCTGGTGAGGAAACTGCATGTATTTGTGTGTGAATGCAGGAGACATGGTGATGCATAAGTGTACGTTTAATAATACATACCCATGTGTGTTTGCATATATGTTTGTATATGTGCTCTTTTTCTGAGGCGTGAATCAGTCTCTTGAGTGTCGATCAACAGACAAATTATCAGACTATTTAACCGTGATGTCAGTCAAACACCACATCTATCCACTTTAGCCCCTCCCCCTCCTCATTCTTTTCTTTATCCACATGCAATTATGACACTTAAATTGGCAAATGTGTTCACAGTAATAAATGCGGAAGAAGACGACAGTTACACACCATCTTTATTAAAAATGTAAATAATTCATGTAAGTCTAATCCATCACATACACAGCAGCAACTGGATGTGCAGAAATACACTCAGGAGATGAAAATGCAAGCAATGATGGGAAAATAATGTCTGCAGTGCACATTTTAACATGCATGCACAGTGATTCAGTTTTTTTTTTTGTCTGTTTTGCAGGTGAAAACTATACTGCATGTTTTTTCATTATGTCAAGCCTCAAAACTGATGAATGGTGAATTTTTAAGTCAAAGCAGAGCACTTAAGTCAGCAGTCTCCCAACCAACAGTAACACTGCGTATTTCCAACAACCTCACTATATGATAGGTAGATACAAAGCCACCATATAGCTCATTTTGTATGTTGACCATGTACTACACAGAAATTTACTACAGGCAGGGTTTAAGACTCCTCAAACTTCATACACAGGCTCTCAGACAGATAAAAGTACACCAAAACATTCAGTTTACTATCCCACTGCTACTATAAACTATTATATTCAATTTTCAAGTCTTAAAGAGCCCTTTCAGATGCAACATTACTTTTTTTTTGATGTAGTATCATTTTCTTGTTTTACTTGACATTTAAGTCCTCTTCTATTTGCAGCAAGAATCTCCACTGCTTTACATCTGCATAACCTAACACACCGTAAATCTGTGGGACTGCACACACTGACCCTCTGTAGCAGGCCTTCCTGTTGAAGTCATGTACATCTCTGTACTTCTCAGTGTTTGCAAAATCTACAATGCCATATCACATATTTGTGCTTTCAGGCTTGAGAGTTCTCATCCATGCTCAATTACTTGATTCAAGATGTGAACTGCATCATATGATTTGGTTTTTACCGCCTTCTGTTGGCTTTGTTATGACTGTTTTTTGCCGCTCCTGCAGAATCCTTATCAATGCACAAGATCATGGTAGTCCTGAGGGCCAATCAGCATCAAGCTCTTCACAACTAACTACACAACTGAAGCTGAAGAGGTGGAATCTTATCTGAGATCTCCCACAAACAGCACAAAACCATCAAACCAAATCTCACTATAACTGCTTTATATAAAAGGTCAATTTCCTGAGTGTCTCTGACTGTTGGGTCTCTTTTCAATTCAGAAAAATTGCTTTGAAAGAAAAGTATTTCTCTCTGACATTGGACCATAACAAAAATATCAGGGATTGACAAATGCGCAATACTTTTCAATATTCTTGAAGGTTAAAATGATTTTAATACTTTTTGAAGTGTTGTGCCAAAACCTTTCGTCTGCATGAAATGTGCTCCTCGACAATTTGGCAAGGCTGGCTACAGGTAGTGTCAATGAGGTGAAATTAAGGGACTGGTCTGACTCATTTTTTATGACAGGATCAGAGCAGTAAAAAAAATACTTTTTTTCTTTTTAACAGTAAAATACTAAGATAACGCTTTTTAGTCATTACTTTTAATGGAATAATGTGGATAAGGACACTGAATCAAACAGGAAACAGAAGCCCACACACTCAGCGAGGATAATATATCTGGCACCCTGAAGACAACCCATTTATGATGAGAAATGAGTCTCATAATGTTTAATATCTTTATAATGATGTATAAACAATCTGACAGGGCAAATGACCCCCTAATAGCAGTCATAAATGGGGCAAAAAGAGCTGGGTCTTTGTCCTGTCCCGGAGCGAAAATTAGACCTGAAACTCTACTCTAGTACCTGAGAGCCTTGATCTTCAGGGCAAGTAGGGTTTCCCACCAGAACACATGCACAAACACACACAAAGGCTGACTAACACAGAAAAAGGGGCTTTTCAGGCTGAGACAAAAGCCCTTCTTTCTGCCCGACGGTGTGTGGAAAAGACGTGAGAAGGGGTAGAGAGTGATAACTGAGAGACTCAGAGCAGAACTCAATAACATGGTGGGGGGGGCTGACTCTGTTACCATCACAACAGGTGAGGGAAAAAAGAGAAAGGTTACTAGGGGACAAACTAAGACATTTCTTCCACTTGTTTTTGTCTTTTAAATGACGCAAACAGTAGGTAAAGTACTTCATATCTTAATACTGAATCCCACTGCACTGTACTAAAAGTGTCACAGCAGGTAAGTTCATTTTCCAAAACCACTAAGGTAGAATCATGTTTCAGAGCCATTAAGCTGTTTACGTTCATTAAGAGAGACTCAATCGACCTTAGAGACAGTTTGGGACGGCTTTGTAGATGTCATCTTGAACAGCAGCATTAGACAGAGGGCTTAAGGTGTGCATGAAAAACAAATAAGAGGGATTTACACACATTAATCTGTAGCTAGCCATTAATTTTTTTCAGTCTGATATACAGAATTTAGTCATGGCATCAACCAAAAAAGACTAAAACAAAATGATAACATGAAAATGCTTTAACAGCTGTTAGAGGCTTTTATCCAGCCTCTTAATGTCGGCTTCAGACTGGATGCCTGATGGCTGCGTGATGTACCGTATGTTTAAAATACTTCGTCTTTAGTACAATCGAAGAAAGAGACTGACTGTTACCTTATGGGCTCAAGAAATGCTGAAATGCTGCACCTAGAGGTGATATATTTTTCAAACAACCACTTGTTTGAAACTACTTCAATAACCATGAACAGAGAGAGGTTAAATCAAACAGAAGCCCTTTTTTCTTAGATCCAGTGAAGGCTCCCTAACAGAGCTTCACTGTCACAAATGCCTTTGTACTTAAACACTGAACCTCACAGCAGGGTCCAACTGAAGTCCCAGTGTGTGATTTAACATAGCTTCACTGTACTGCAGAAGCAAGGAGGCAGGAGGTCGATAAAACGGCCCAAACTTCACATACACACACACTTAGACATGCACACTAATAGTGTACAAGCGGCTAAGACACGTTTATAGTGGCCTCATTTGTTTCCAATTACCACCAATGCACCTCACCCCATCGTTTCACCTGTGTGACATTTACATCAATGCCAAAGCTTAACAGGAGGAAGAGAAGCCAGGGGAGCAGATAAGACACAAGCTGTTTTTTAACTCCGACATTCAGGCAGAGTCATTTTCTACTAATTACACAAGTTTCAATGTAACCTTTATAAAACGATCAAGTCACCTTGGACATAATAATAACTGAAATGACAGCAGGCCAAGTGCCTGTGAAATTTGGTTTCAGAGCCGAACAAATGACTTTCTCCTTTAAAATCCCTCTAAGAATGGCCTGCTGCCCAGTGAGTGATGGAGAGATGGTCTCTCTTCACTGCAAATCTTTATCACGAGCCTTGACAGAGAATAAAACATCACAATGATTTATCAGAATGTTTCACAGATGAAAGCTGACAAGGTCAGAGAACAACTCCTCAAGTGACTACTGCAGATAAATGACTGGATGCACTTTGTATGCAGTATCACAATCTTCTCTGGGAAGTGTAAATTACTTTTCTACATCGAAAACAAGAAACTAAGGGCCTGGCGCTGACAGTCATCTGTTTAGGGAAGGTTATGTGATTCCTTCTGGACAGAAATTACATGGTGAATGTTAAAAATTCAAAACCACTCCCATTTTTTCCTCAGGCTACTAGTCTGTGTCACTGACCTCCAATCCTAATCAGTTTTACAGTACAGCACTGCATCTCCAGTGAAGGATATCGTGATTTACAGATAAGGATGCCAGTTTGAATGTACACCTCTTTAGTCGAAACTAAGGATGCTTTAAAGTGTTGAACAGGAATTCAATTTAGACTAACCAACAAGTCTAAAGTAAAAAAAAAAAACACAAGAATGTGTCTTATTATTTGCAGGTAAACAATGTTCATGGGTTTGTTGAGTGTGGCCAGTGTTAGCAGTGTTTCATCCTCAGGTTACAGTCCTCCTTGCAGGCTGACATCCACAAGCCTTTGCTGGTAACACACTGCAGTCAGGTGGTTATACAGAAGTTTCACCAGACACAACCCACATGCAGGATCCCTGTTTAGACTGATGGCTAAATCAATGAATTAATGCTCCATTCACTGTCCTTTCCTCTCAGTAATGATCGGACTTTCTGGATCAAAATGCTGCCAAACTGTGCCATGCTATGAGATGCCATCTGTCATCTTTGTTTGTAGTGCATTGTAGCAATATGGCAGCAGCCATTAATCAGACTGCAGCCTTCATCCGCTGTTGCCAAAACATAAAATCAGTTATAAATTTCAATTTGTCAGAAACTTTAATTAATGGCTAAAAACCTCTAACTCAATAAAGCTCCAGTCAGCCTAAATTATACCCTGTGTTTAGTGCTAATGAGCAGTGGCATTACAAAACACTCGACCGAGATCATGAACACAACTAATCTCCTGCTGTGCCTAAATGCAGCCTCACAGAGCTGCTAGTGTTACTGCATTAATAATGAAACAAATGACCACAGAAAAAATAAGAAAAAACACTTCTGGTCTTAGAGGCTCTATGGATCAGATTAAACCTAATAACCACTTGCTTTTTGTTCTCATTTTTCAGCCTGTGACTTTGCTGTTTAGCTCCTTTGGACAATATTAGAGATTTAATGACATATTAGCCAGCTTCTTATAGCAAAATAATGAAGTCAGCAAGCCAGTAATGAGTTAGTAAGTCAATGAGTCACTCATAACTAAGTAATAAGTAAGTAAGTAAAGGATCATGTGCTACCTGCCCTGAATGACACATGATTCAGTGGAAGGGAGCAGAAGTTAGTTAAAGCAGGATTATCTTTGAAATGGCTCGTGTTGCACTTGCATGTCCCTTTGCCAGAAAATATCAAACTGATATTGCTCAATATTAAAAGGATATATACAGTTTGGATGGAATTCAGTGAAGTCTAATTGTGATTAAACTTTGTGTTCTCCTTTTAGTGGTAAATTAAGCAAAATACAGATGTTTAAAGACCCTGTCTACTTGTATCTGTGTTAATGTTTTTTCCAGGCTGGTCAGACTTCAGGTCTGTCTGAAGGTGAAAAGGGGAAGTATTCGACATGAGGGCGTCGTTGTCAAAAAACTACCAAACTAGTGAAGAAGATGTTAATGAAACACCGTCTGAAGACTCCCACACTTTCCTGTGGAGCTCTTTAATAGCCTAAACAGTGTGTGTATCATAGGAGCTCAGGGCCTTTAACTCTGCAGCTACATTTAAGCATCAGTACGTGGATACCAAACAGCTTGTTTCAGTCTAGACAGCTTTTGTCATGGGATTAAATGAGATGTCCTCACATCTCCTTAAATCTACCATGATACACAAAATCAGATATTTATCAAACACCACTCAGTGTTAAATTTGAGTGAAATGCACAGCAGACGTGGATGAAGTCTCGCAGTTCTAATCATAGCACAACACTCACAGCTGGAACAGTGGGTGCAGACAGCATTTATGAGAGTTTTAACAAGAGTTTGGAGGCGGTAAATGATGCAGAAACATCACTGACAGGCAGGATGCACTGGTGGGGTCGTGTATCATTTGTAGCTTAGATACATGCTGTTTCATATACCAGCAGAGTTTGAAGTGAAACTTAATTTGGCACCATGTTATCTTAGATGGAGGGAGGAGAGGGACCCAGGGGAGAGGAGCAGTTCCCAGGACATTTTGTGCTGGGAGAAAGGGAGAGGAAAAGAGAGATGGAGAGATGGAGAGAAAGTGAGAGAGAGAAAAAGAAAGAGAGAGATGGAGAGAACGAGAGAGAGAGAGACAGAGAGAGAGAGAGAGATGGAGAGAAAAAGAGAGAGAGAGAGAGAGAGAGAGAAAGAGAGAGAGAGAGCGAGAGAGAAGGAGGGGATATCTGCTGGAATTCCCTGAACAGCCAAAATCCAATGCCAAACAGCACTCTCTCTTTCTATCTCTCTCTCTCTTTATCTCACACACACACACACACACACACACACACACACACACACACACACACACACACACACACACACACACACACACACACACACACACACACACACACACACACAAGAATAGCATTCCTTTCTATAAATAGTAAGTGCTTTGTCCACATCTTCCATATGGCTGTCAAATTATCACAAACCCCTGTTTGAGTAGATATAGGAGTCTATATATAAATGTATGTGTGTGCTGGTGTGTGTGTGTGTGTGTGTGAGCATTTTGCTTCACACACCGGGTCCAGACTTATTTTAGGCTTGCAGCACCTTGGGCAGTAGTTCCCCTTGTAGCCTCCTGAATCTCTCTGGATGTATTTTGCTGCAGCACGTCTGAACATGTCTCAAGAAGCATCTAAGAATCTGACACAGTGACCTGTGAAGCTCTCTCCATCCGACCAAAGCTGTGAGTTTGTGTATTTCACAGCATCTGGGTTCGTATGTTTATCCGTCTTCATCGGTTTTAAGGAACTAAATGTTGCTCACTGTGAATGTTGGTGCTTCATGTCCCCGTACTCACTTGTAGTGACCTCTTTGATCATTTCTGCTGAGGCGTGGCATCCATTCACTATGTGTCTGCTCCATGTTGACAGATCCTTGGTGGTCTCTGCTCGGAAAAGGTGAGTCTCAATCCCAAGTCGAGTGCCGGTCCGTGTGGCAAAGAACAGCTCTGTGCCGGAGTGAGGTGACCCCCGGTCAGGGCCAGAGTGGACCAGACTGGATACACATAGGGATGTTAACAGCAAGTCATGACAAAGTATCCTGACATGACAGAACACCTCAGTATTTATGAGTATATTCACTTTCATTCTACATCACATAAGTCATAGACTGGGACTGTAACATTTTGCATGCCCACCAATACCTAATGCCACATTACATATAAGCAGTAGGGGGCACTGGAACAATTTAACCGTAAGTGTTAGTTAAAAAAGCTCCCAATGGTCTACGTATGTCTAGTGTCTGGTTTTTTTTCTTCTATAATTTCCTAACAATCATTAAAGGGTTTGCTGTGGTATTTGGTTCAAATGTTTTTGTCTATTTCAGACTACATTGTCAAAAATTTGATGATCCCACGTCGTCTTATCATAGTGAGGCCATAATCTCTATTTACAGACTCTGCATAAAAATGTACAATCTGCACTCAGGGGTCTGGATTTTCAGTCTGGGAGGTGTTCTGGTTTCTGTTTACAATAGATTTGACCAACCACATATTACTGTATTTTTCACACTATAAGGTGCACCTGATTATAAGGCGCACCGGATAATAAAGCGCATTCAGACAAACAAAACAGTCAATAACTCCGCGAGGCTACAGTAGCTACAGTGCTCCGACAAGCCAAAAGGATTTTAAGTGAGCCCTATAGTGGGAAAAATACGGTAAGTTGGTTAAGGTGTGTGCATAAAGAAAAGTTCATGTGAAGTGCAAAAGCAGGCAGACCGCTATACGATCTGTTAACTATCATCAAACAAGAAAGTTGGATTTTTTCTGGGCCCATACCACAGAGGTAAGCCAGAGTTAAGCCTCTGTGTGACATACTTTACTACTGAGACCCACTCAAAATAGATGAACAGACTCCACTTCCAGGGTGTAATGGACCAAGAAATAATGGTGCGGTAAAAGAAGTCATTTAACTCTAACAGCTGGCTACAACAGACTCACAGAAAGGTTGACATCTATTTCACAGTGGCATACGTATATTGTATATCATTGTCAGATGATGTATGGGAATGGATGCAGAAAGGTTGCGAGAGTGCCTGGTCCACCAAGCTAATGTAATCATAAATTTTGACAAAATATCAATATAAACTATGCACTTAAATCAAAATCTAACTTGGCCTTGCACACCCACAGGAACTTGCAAACATCTCAGATAAACCGCATTACACCTGTCAGTGCTCCTAAATAAGATGTGACTGACGTTTGAATTGTTTGGGTTGGAGTCGGGTTGATTTAACCATAATCAACATAGATTACCACCATGTTCAGACACTTTCCAACATTCAAATATGCAACCATCACAAATTAGCTTCAACTTTACCTGGACGAAACAACACTTTTCATTGGACATGTTGAATATTTTATTCTGTAGACACATCCTGAGTATTTGCCTCTGTGTACATATGTAGTAGACTTACCGTGTTGCCAACAGTGGATAAGTGTGTGCAGGGCTCTGCCAGGCCTCCTTGACTCGTGGTAGACTGTCATACAGCAGGAGGTCTTTCTCTGTCACCACCACCAGCACCGGCTTCCAGCTCTGCTTCTCACTCTCTGTCTGCAACAAAAACAGCGAAACAAAGAGACTGAAAAGTTGGACTCTATTATTTATACCTAATTCTCCTGTGCAAGAGTAGAGGGACCATTCAATATTAAAATTAGAAACATCTGAACAATGTGAAATCCTTTTTGAGAGATTACTGCATTGTTATGTAATGTGCACAAATTACCAGAAACACCAGAAATTACCAAGTCAATGTATTTTTTTATTTTACATTAATATCATCTGTGTTAATTGGGCTGTAAGTTTCTGACAGTAAAAAAATGCATTGACGTAATTAACCAATTACTGATTGAGATACTTATTTTTTCCACAAAAATGTGACATTATTATATCCACACTCTGTCAAAAACACACTGAAGCTGTTCTCAGGTTTTTGAATGAAAGCAGGGATTTTATTAGTAACATTAATAGCTGTCTGCTATGGAGCGGCTTTATGGGACTAATGTTTTGTCAAAAGAGGGAACAGTGTGTGCTTCTCATATGAAAAAGACTCTCTCAGCAGTGGGTGCAGTCAACTCTTCACCTCTCAATTTATTCCACAACTATTTCTCTCATATTGACCTTATACTACATACATCTGAGTCTCTGTCGTATTTAATGCAAAATTTCCATAAAAATGATGGTCTGGTGGTCTTCTCCTGGAAACCTGTAAGTTTCCCATGCCATACTCTACACTAACTGGGGAATTATTTAATAGTGGAGGTAGGTGGTGCGTCTATTCAAGTACACTTTCTGTGATTTCTTCTTTGTTGTGTGAACAAACCCCAAGCTTTACCTATAAGACACCCATTTTAATCTTTTAACTTTGAGAACACACACATGCATGCAGCCTGGTATTTTATTTTACAATGCTCCATAACTATTCTCATTATGAGAGCTTATCTGCAGCCCAGCAAAGGAATCCTAAGCTGCTCTTTGAAGTTCCCCCTAAGCCAATCGCATTGTGAGATTTAAAGGGTCAGAGGTCAGCTTTTTAATATGATGAGAATATGTTGCTTGGTAACAGTATTGTACTGCATTGGAAGGATCAAATACTGGCAAATTCACAAGGACTAAATTAGACAGGTGTGTGTGTATTTGCACAGGTTTGTGTGCAAAGAGAGAGTGAGGATGTGTTTCACTCTGTATTTGCTTGTGTGAATCCTTAAGATGTGTGCATTTGCATGTGCAAAATGCATGCAATATTCAAATCCATGTATGCATAGAGCTGTCCCTATGCACAGAGAGAGTATCACACACATTTGTCGCTTTGTACCTTGACTACAGAATGTCGTCCTCATAGTTTTAACCTCAACAGTCAGAACCACAAACCAAACACCAGGCTGTGTCCTGACCTTAAGCTCTTTCTGATGCTGTTGAGACCTGAAAAATCCAATGATCATACCAACAAAGGCCCTGAATGGCCCGATCAGAATGTCAAGAGGGTTTGAACTTTCTGTAAATGTTAACATTTTTCATCTGCTGCTCCATAACATCTGTCTTTAAAAGGTGAGAACACTCTTTGTAACCCCCCCTGACTGTTCCTTTTGTGACTTTTTGAACAGCTTTAAAGGTACCATGTGTAATTTTAAGTAGGGACAGATCAGTTGGCCAACCTAGATAATACAGTATAAAATCAGCACTGGCCTTCAAGAGGCTGGGATCACCACCATCCTTTCTAAATGATAATACATCTTTCTTAATCACCCTATAATTGCATATCTAATCAAAAACTGTGATTGACTTGTGTTTTTATGTTGTGTTGTAATAATTAGAAGTGATAGTATTATCAGTCAAGTTTAGCAATCTATAGCATAACCTAATGTCAATTTTTTGTCCATTAACTTATTAAAGTCCATCTTAAATATACAACTGGTAAAGACAACCCTGTATATCAGATTTTGATTAAATAATCACCAATGATCAACTTTTTTTAAACAAATGTCAAATGCAAAAAGCCAAAAAAACTTATGAGGCTTTCAGCCATCAGCGAACCTGGTCTTTCATAATCGGTATTGGCATCTGCCACAAAAAATATCACGTGGGCAAATTGTCCTCTTAGGCCACCCTTGCTTCACCAACAAGAGGGGTAAGCAGAGGAGTGTTTCAATTTAGGATCTGACAACTGGACGCTCAATATTCCTGTTTCTTAACACTGTACCAACACATCATACAAAGAGCCTGCTTTTAAACAAGCTGATGTCTGACAAATATTTCAAGAAAACGTGGACAACAACCAACGATCACAAAGTAACAAAGAACAACTGTTTCAGTATGATTATTTAATAAGATAATTGCCATTTCTGTGCCACAACTAAGACTGAAATGTTAAGACCTCTAAAACCATGACTAAAATTTCACTAATTCTACAGTCCATCACAAAAGAGGCACACACCACAAATAGTCCTTACAGCTACTGGCAAAAAAAAAAACTTATTATGTCCAGTCTTATCTTTTAACAGCTAATTAATGGTCCAAGGACCCACTAAAATGTTCCCAAGTAACTTAAAATTGTTAACTGTTAAAGGATAAAGATAAAGGAGCACACACACGCACAGACACAGCTGCACACCATTGTCACAAAAAGGTAACAACAGTAAAGGTACCCCATTAAAAAAGTGAGAAATGTGGGAGCATGGGTGTCTTTCTCTCTCTCTCACACACACACACACTCTCACACACACACACACTGAAAGCACAGTTGGGAATTATAAACTATTTTACACTGCCTCTGTCACACACACACGCACAAATTCACGCACACACCCATACACACACACAAACACACACACAAACACACATTTACCTTAGCTGCCAGCCATCCCAGGTGTCGTATCTCTTTGCTGCCAGCCACCTCCATCCTGGCGGTGTTCTGGATGACCTCTGCCAGCGCCCGCTGTGTGGGGACGGCAGGTTTTAGGAGAGATGATCATTCAGGAAATATAAAATTTAAAGCAGCTCTGAGGGGCTACATCATAACCAAAGTATGCGACTCTTAAAATATCTCATTCTGATAGCCACACTCATGAATACTACCTGTGAAACCAAGAAAATCAAAGACAGACCTGTGCCAAAGTGGATGTGACGGCGTGCATGGCAGAAAACCAGGACAAGGCAGATGGTTGGTCTGGGCAGCGTAGCACCACGGTGTGCCTGGCGTCAGGGGAGTGCAGCTCCAGTTGTCTGGAGGAGGAGATAAGAAAAGTTAGAACCTCTCTGTTATCATGAGAGGCTCTTACACCTTTACAGTTCACAACCCTCAGTGAATAAACTCCTTTTTGAATATGGAAAATATATTGCCGACCCAGTTTTCCTCCAATTAATCGAAGCTTTTTCAGAAAACCAAATGTTGTCCATGTAGGTTTCAGCTCCAGCAGATGGAGACTTGAAAATGGTCACACAATGACATGAAGTGCATTGAAATGTGAATTTATTCAGGTCAATTGCTCATGCATCCTCTGTGAGCCACATGGCACAATGTTAGTCTCCCACTAAATTTCCATAGCTAATCTCTTTAGATCATATGGGAGTATTCCCGGCCTCCAGAGAAATGCATCTGTTGGATGCTCCTCTCTCTCGCTGAACGGTTCTTTGATTGTGTGCTCAGTGAACATGAATTTTAAAAAGGTACACAATGCAGCCTTTACGGTGCATAAAGCTATGTGACATAATGTAGCATCAGTCCCATAGGTGCTGTCATTTCTCTGGAGGAGAACCTGTGCTTAAAATAACACCAAGTATATCGTCACTTGTCTCATTTCAAGTGAGAAAACTAACATTACAGAGCAAATTATAACGCAAGAATGATCCTACGCATAAAAATGCTTACATTTGTTACTTACACCACCTCCTCAGTTTAATCAGTGATGGCAGTAATACAATGTCTACATAAAGCAGCTGAATAGTGAATAAAAAGGGTCCAAGTAATAAAAAACATCAGTGAGCTTTGTGTGCACTATCTTTGGATAAGTAACGGTTCAGTTTTGACTCACAACACAAAGAAAATGTGTGCTCTATTTGCAGATTTTATGTCAAACTCAGAAACAATCCAACACCTCAGGTAATAGCCCCCCACTATCCAGGAGTTTCCAGAGATTCAAAAAAGGAGCTACTCTGAAATAAGGGTGGTTTCAAATCTGCAAATCTGCTTTCTTTGCTGCTCTTTTTATTTATACAGTGCGCTTTGGGGACCTGGAAAAAACCCCTGTGAATGTGATGAATCCGCTCTTCCATAGTACTCTCAGAGGAAGGAAAGACTGTCTAGATCCGCTCCAGGTGCTCCTCTGGTCCGGGGTTAAAAATACAACAGCTGCCTTTAAAAGGAGAGTTGATTAGGGACAAGCCAAGGGAGAGCAGACAGGGAGGAAGGAGGTGGGATTTAGGGAATACAGGGCCAAATGTGTGTGTGCTTAAAGGATGATGGGTTTAATGCAAACAATTTGACTCCCATTGCCTGACCTGAAGCATACATCATGACATTTCCCTGCCAGGATAAGCAGTGATTTTTACCCCTCTGTTGCATGTGTTATGATGCATTTACATGACAAGGAAAGGATGACCGGAGATTGAAGGTGCCAGATACCTTGAAGGTAATGATATACCCCTCGTCCTGCTTGATTGATGATCAATTTCTGACTTGATCAAGCGCTAGTTGGTCTCACAGGAATAACACTGTGCTGTATACGGTGTGTGTATGGCAAAAATATATTCAAGGTTGGAAGATCTGTTCCAGCATACAGATGTGATTCATGCTGCTTGATTCTGTAGATGAACTCTGAGCACAAAACAACCACATGACAGTCATGGCTTTGAGTAAAATAAGAGGTTAGGATTTCACTTTTAATTCAAAATTTATCTATTTATTTATTGTTTCATTTGACTTTTGTTTGAATTTGCTGTAATAGCAAAGGCAAGCTTCAACCATAGCTGTCTTTGTGACACATCAAAGACACGTCAAAGGACTTGGCACAGAAACCTGAAGCCAAATTTTAAGTCCTGAGGGGAAATTCTTTAGAAGCTAATTGCAAGTTAGTCCTTGTGCCTCTGAATAATTGTTTTCAAATGACATGACGACTTGACATTTTTATTGTGAAGCTTTTCTTTGGTGATGACTCATTTTGAGCGTGTAGTAATAACTAAAAATATAAACTGTCTCACTTTTGTAAATTTACCAGTTCGGCCTCTAAGATGTTTCCAGAGAAGTCTAGACACAAGACAGTCAGAACCATTTAAAGGCTTCCTACTATTTTTCACTTTCCTGACCTAAATAAGACTTTTTTTTAGTTCTGTATAGGATTAAAACTATTTTCACTTTCACAACAATTACAATAAACTGTCACTAGCCAGCCAGCACAGTGATCTTCTCATATTTATATATGTGTACATAAAAAGATATAATACATTTTGGACTTTTAAATTCCTTAGTCTGTTTTTTTTTTGTGCATGGGATTTAACGGTTATGAGCTCTATCAGATCTATCAGATCTACTTCTAGTTCATTGTCTGTATTTTTGATCAAAACCCTCTGAAATTTTTCTGCCTGGTTAACCTCACAAGATTTACTCTGATATATTCAAACAGATTTGGGTGTTTTCAGAGCTTCTTCAAGAGATACTTTCGACCTTCCTAAAGTAAAACACTCAGATGTCCTCTGCAGCAGCAATAGAGACGGGGAGACCTAGTATAAGTCATTGTGTTTGCATGATAAAAAGCTGACGCTGTAAATGCTGTATCCAAAAAGCAGAATAATAAAAGTAATGAATGAAACATGGAATATATTAAGGACTACAGGAATGCTGAATTTAAACTCCCAATGCTGCATTTGAAAGTCACTGAAAGTTAATAATGCCTGTTTGCTGAATTTTCTCCATTAAACTAAATAACAAAAGTGTCTCATTACTGAGGCCAGTTAAAAACACCAGGATGTATGATATTCTGTTTTATTCTGCAGGCATACACCTGACCTTGGTAAGAGAGGGTGCATTTCCATTTTCATACACTTTTTAGTGTAGGACTCTCAAACTTTAAAATTGAAATACGAGTCACTGCACTGTTCTGCTGAGACCCTTTCCCTTTTTTTACTCATTCAAATATGTTTTTCTTTGAAACATTCACCCTGAGGTTTTTCCAAAGTTTGCATAATGTATCAGTTAAAAACAATGATAAATTATATTTACTTCCCTTGTTTTTCTTCTCCTCATCTCTACCTGTCTTGATCTTTTTCTCACCCTGTTTTGTTATGGCTCAATATTTTAGATCTACAATGCACATGATAAAGTGTTATCCAAGCATGTTAAAAATTAAACTGTCACTATTTGTCACAAAAAGACTCTGTGTCCTGAAACAGGGTGTACAGCTGGATGAGGAAAATGTCCCCAGAGCATTTTATTCAAATTAAAGATAAATCAAGTCTCCTCTTCTTCTCTGCTGGGCCCCGCCTTTCCTTATTTCCTCTCCTCTATCTATCCTCACCGGCCTTTGAACAATTTAAACAACATCTGCTAAAATGAAAGTAGAAACCCTCAAAGGGATGCAACATTTACTGACTCTTAAGAAAAAAAAGAAAAGCAGAATCCCCTGTCACTTAAATTTTAGCCAATGTGTCATGCTAACGCTTGGACCAATATAAAAAAAAAAACTGGGTAGGTTTGGTCTTGCCATGAATTTTAAACGGACAGATTTAACTCTCAGGGATGAATGTCAGTTTCATGGATTAAGCACAGCACAGCAGAGCAGAGCACATTCAGTGTAGGCGTCCTCTCATTTAAACATTTACTTAATATTTACTGGAGAGCCAAAGGGGAATTTATCCTGGCTCTGAGGATAAGGAAGGATCCTCATAAAAAACATGCTGGTCAAGGTGAATTTGGCTTTATCTGTAGCTGTGAATCTGCCCTGCAGCTCCATCAAACCACAGAACACTGTGTTATCTGTGTGAAGCAAAAACTCAGCTTGACACTGGATGAATTATTGACTTCAGTTCTGTATATAACTGGCTGAACAATAAAGTCAAAGTTACACCCAGCAAAGTGAATGTTCAACCTTCATGTGCTCTTAAAAAGTTTATTGGCTCAACCAAAGTTTGTGAAAGCGCAGCTGAAACGTGTAACAAAACTCAAAATATAAATTTTGTTATTATGTTGAGTTCACAGTAAGTTTGACAAGCAAACAACAAAAATAAATGTTTATTTGGTATTTTTACATAATTTCTGATAAAGTTTCTACCTGGTATTTGTACTTCATGTTGACTGACATGACTAAAACTAGAGAGACGGAAGTGTCTTATATAATCCTTTGCTACACAGAAATCAAGTCCTCTGTCCTACAAAGAAAAACTGTTCTCTGAAGCGTCCATGAAGTCAAAATACATGCTCAATTATTTTGTAACATGAAAGTGCTTTAAAAAATTCTACATGTAGAACTGTATATCTGGCCTCAAAATGTGCAAAAGAAAACTCACTAGTCAAATAATTTCATAAAGTTAACCTTTCAAGTTAAATGGAGAAATTGTTGAGTACTCATCCCGCATTCAGAGGCAAACACAAATCTAGCGTACAGTGAAACCCTTTCTTGAAACGAAATACAAGCTGACAGTTATCTATTGTTTCTGTAATTTGGTAAACAGGTCCCATTTAATTTTCTCTGTTAACATCATGTCCTTGTTGTCCTTCAAGCTTGCTGATTGGCTCACTGAATTTGCACAGGGGATGAGGTGCAGGTGAATGCAGAGGTGGAAAAGCCCCAAAACATACATGGCAGGCTCTCCAGGAGAACTCATGCCTGCTGTTGTTGGGCCATGCCCTGTTGGTGAAGATCCTTTAATGAGGGTCAAACTCAACTTTGCACAGATCTGAATATGTGAAGAAGTCTGAGGTAAAGTGGTTGGCCCAAGAAATCAGCATCAACTGTAGCTAGCAAACACAAACAGACGGTTTTGGATACAGATTTTTGTGTTGGTTTTTGACATCATCAACAGAGCAGTTGGTGAGTTGGGCTGCATCCTTTAATATCTTTGTTTTTTTAGGCATGCTTCCTGTGGTTACATCACCACCACAGCTAATTTAAACTGTTTTAGACATATTCCTCCTGTATGTGAGTTACAGAACAATTTGCTCCCACATCCTCAGGTTGTTAGGCTGGAATATGTCTAAAGTTTACATGTTTAGGCAAGGACTAACAAGTTTATCCTCATATGGGAATGTGTTTTTTCTCATATTCAGCATGGTTGGCTTCTGCAGGCTAATAATATCTTTAATAAGTCCTGCCTTAGCTCCATGCTTTAAAAAAATATACAGTACAGGCTAAAAGTTTGGACACACCTTCTCATTCAATATCTCCTCTTTATTTTTTTATATGACTATTTACATTGTAGATTATCACTGAAGGCGTCAAAACTATGAATGAACACATGGAATTCTGTACTTATTGAAAAAGTGTGAAATAACTGAAAACAAGTTTTATATTCTAGTTTCTTTAAAATAGCCACCCTTTGCTCTTGATGACAGAAGTACGTAACCCTGACAATACACACCTGTGAAGTAAAAACCATTTCAGGTGACCTCATGAAGCTCATTGAGAGAACAGCAAAAGTTTGCAGCGCTATCAAAAAAGGCAAAGGGTGGCTACTTTAAGGAATCTAAAATATAAAACATGTTCTTAGTTATTTCACTTTTTTCTTAAGCACATAATTCCACATGTGTTCATTCATAGTTTTGATGCCCTCAGTGAGAATCTACAAGTTAAATAGTAATGAGAATAAAGAAAATGCATTGAATGAGAAGGTGTGTCCAAACTTTTGGCCTGTACTGTATTCCTAAATTAAATAGCAACTGTGGAATAGTGCCCTTTTTCCTGGTCCTTTCCTTGTCTTGATTTCATCAGTTCTACCTCGGTGAGGAATGCTGCTCTGTGCTTTCGTGGCTGCATTTCTATCAAGGCAGATGACAATACACCACCGAGTCTGGTTCTGCTTGAGGTTTCTACCTAGTAAAAGGAGGTTTTCTTGCCATTGATGAAGTCCTTGCTTACTTCTTTTAGTGTATGAGTTTTTTCTGATTGTTTGTGAGTGTTAGCATTTATATTTGATGGCTCCAGCAGTGAGCCGTCTAACTGCGTCTATACAGACGGAGAAACTTTGAAGTCACTGCTCAGTGTTACCACTTGACTTTGATGTTGCCCCCTTCGTCTGAAGCTTTGAAGTTTAGTGAGGCTCAACTATCTCTCACTTCAAATAATATACATATGCAGAAAGGGACACACATAGACGATAGAGACACTCTGAAAGCCTAAAATAGACTAAAAACGAGACAATAATGAGAAGAGGACAGAGATAGAAGAAGAGGATCGACTCCGACACAGTGAAGCAGATTACAGAGAAAGGAGGAAATAAACACAAGGAGAATATCAAAAAGGAAAGGAAGAGGACAGTGAAAAGGACGAAGGGGGCAGGAAAACACAAACAATAAGGGAAGATTAAAAACTCAAGAAAGAGAGAGCAACGACAGACAAGTCAAGCAGGAAGGGTAATGACTTGGTAAGAGAGAAACAGAGGGAGAGAAAGTGGGACAAAGAACACACACTCACAGACTGCGACACCAAAAAAGTTGAAACAGTAAATCGCTTTTTGGCCCCATGCTGTTTGATTCTGCTTTTGTCATATTACCAACCAATTAAGTTGACAACACATCCAAACAGACCACCCCCTGCTGACTTTGAGTTATTTGGCCACCACTTCAAATGTTTGTCTTCAGAAAACTGCCCAAAAAGGGTTAAAAACACTAATAAATAATCTGATCAGTAAAGCAGAAAAAAAACCTCTCTGTGTCTGTGTCACAGACTTGAGTTGTGGATCAGGAGGAAACTGGTTTAGTTAAACATCTTTTAATTACTTAAATGTTGAACTGTAAAGCATTTACCTGTGACAATATTGAAACAAAGCCTGAGAGCTAAATTATGCAGTTAAGCGAAGTTCACCACTTCACTTACACAGCACACTCCTATCTCTGTAAAACATATCTAACGCACCCCATTCTTACAGCGTACTTGAACTCCCGACGAACTTTAAAGTTGAGCTTTTGTGCAAAAAGCAATAAGGACTTCAATGATTTTCCAACTTTCTCACTATTATTCTTTTTAAAAGAGGATAACACACTTTAAAGACATACTTGAGAGTCCATCTTTCAGCCTTGGAACAAACACTTTGTTCAGCAGAGGTTGGCTGACATTTAAAACTCGGCAATGCAAGCGGAAACTGAAGGCACTCAAATGGTACCATTTACACCTGTGTTAAACCTCCTCTGCCTCTCCTCCTTGGACCCTCCCTTAGAGGTAGTAACAGAGGCCGCATAGGAGGAAGAATGTGGCGATGTTTGCCATCAAAGCCAAGAATGTGAACAGCATTGTGTGGACGTGTATGTCTAGTGTAGTAATGGAACAAACTCGAGAACTGTTGAGTAGCTTCAGTGTTTGATAGGCTACTTAAAAACAAACAAACAAACAAACAAACAAAAAAAAAACAATGGGAGAGCCATACTACTGCAAAATGTAACCTGAAAAGTCATATCCATTCCTCCAAAATGCATAAAACTGCTTAAACTCAGGTACAGTTCTGCACAAGTTCCTTGGAAGAGCATCATAGAGATGGTGCAGCACCTCATTGTCATCATTGTTTAAAACTTAGCATTTAGCTGGCTGACAGACTGTAAAACACATGGACCTAGTCTCAATGACGTCACCCACTGGTTTCAGAAGTGGGTATACTGAAAATGCTAACTTTAACTTTACGTTGACCTGACATGAGGCAAGGAGGTGTAGTTGAGGAGGGTTTTAAACTCTTTCTGAAAACAGCTGTAGTGTGCCCACCTGTCAATCAAGTCAGCTGTACTCCTAATAATGCTTCATCATCAAAACAAATGAGTTTCTTTTTTCCATTCACCCCCTGTAAAGTGTGCACAGAGTGAAACGAGCTAGTCAGGCCAAAACCCTACTGTGTATGCTTATTTTTGCAGTAAGAGCTGCTTTTTCAAACAGGGCTGTATGTGGCCCCCAGAGGTTTTAGAGCAAATATCAAGTGAACACTTGAGGATTTGCTGTTTGTGGCACTTCTGCACTGCTTCATTTCTCAAGACTGGAGGTGTAGCTCGGTGAGAATAAGGACTAAAGATTAATATTACAAAATTAACAAAACATCAAAAAAACTTTTTAATTTTGGTTTCGAGTAGAGGGATTAAAAGGCAATATCCAATATTTTCTCTGATGTCTTTTGAACCCTTAAAAAGCCCAGAAACCAACAGCCTGTTCGTCAGTCGCTCGATATTTTTAAATTCGTTATTTCACCTCTGTCACTCAGATAAAAGACATTTCATTCCTACAAAAGAGGCAATTTCTGAAATACATTACACCTGAATTGGCTGACTAAATTATATGAATTAAGTTTGATATAAAATATCTGTCTGTGAGCACAAAAAGATGGATTCATCCTGTGGATAGCTCAAGAATGAGCCTAGTTTACAGTGTTTTTATGTGTTTGGATGTGCGTCTATGTTTATGTGTGTCCTGTTGTTACCTGTTCTCCGGGTCTGGTGTGGTCATTGCTCGGGTTACATAACACATCTTTAGCGGGATGCACCTCCTGTCGCCCTGCAGTGACAGGGAGGGCTGGGTGGGAGAGCCTGGGAGGTCAGATGAGGAGGAGGAGGACGAAGAAGTGATGGGGGGGCTGCCCAGGCGAGGAGACTCTGGGGGTGGAGTTTCCCAGCCGATCTCAGACACAGGGGAACCTTTTTTGACATATGGTGTTGCCTCACGCATGTACTTCACTGGAGAGAAAAGGAGTAAAAAATGGATTTAGAGTATAAAACCTTGAACTGGGACATGGAGGTAGAACTTTTAAATTTCAATTTCAATTCAGGAATTATTTACAACTTAATAGTTATGTATATGACATTTATCAGAAATTACGAACAAACAAAGCAACAAAGCAACTACGCAGGTTTCTGCCGCAGATTTTGGTCTGGGATTCAGCTAAGCATCAGTCATTAGATCACTAATTCACTCATTTTACAGTGTCATTTACAACTGGAAATCTCTTCCCTCTCTCTGCACAGTTTGTTGTAACCTTGTTTCATGAAACGCTTGATAAAACATTCTTTAGTGAGCAGTAAAAACGTACACTATACTGGATTATATTTTCATGTGTAAAAATGAAAAAAAAACAAAAACTATCTACAACAAGGATGACTGTCCCAAACAACGAAGTCCAGTGGAATAAACAGCATTTTTCTATTGTCGCCACTTGTTAAAGTCTCAGAAAAACTTCATTCAGCCGTGCCTCTATCTTTCATATGAATCACATATTAGGGGGGATTTCACGGGCAATAAAGACATGTGTTAATAACATGTTCACTCTTTTGAGCACAGTCGATTTCAGTAATAGGTCAGAGGAAGGATGTTGGGCTACCACAGATAAACAGCAGAAAGAGAAAGTGTGTTTGTTTATGGTACAGCTCAAGCATTTGCAAAATTTTGGAGGCTGACAAAAAATAAGAGACATAAGATAGACGGTGAACTGTCTGCAGATCTGTCAGCTTACATACATGCTTGAATGGTGCTTGAACTGTGACAGGTAGTGATTTAAATTGTTATTTTTTCATAGTTAGAAAAAGTACCATCACTGGGACCATCACTCCGTATGGCCATTGAGGTTTGAATACATTTTTTTTAACCTAAGTGGGTCATTTATATATCTTACCTGCTTTTCTGTCATATGCAAAGTCAGTCAGTTGATGCTTTTGCACAGACAGAAGTATTCCTTTAACAATGAGATCTGTGCTTTGTTCACTGGCTTTTTCCAGAGTTTCTAACAGACTCTGATGCGTCTTAAGCTCTCAGTCATCCTAATAAAATGTAAGCTTTCATTCTGTAAACTGCTCTAAATGATTCACAGCTTGTCTCTGCTGCCAGGGGCACGAGGTATCAAGAGAGTTATAGTCCTGCAAACTGAACATACTCCCACTTCCTCTAGTGCTTCCTGATGCAGTCCCCACTGATGCTGCAGAATACCTCAGATACTCCCATTTCCAAACAGCAAAATGAAAGTTACTTGTAAATGTCAAAGCCAGACTCACTTGAGGTTTGATTACTATTTGAAATTCCTTATGTTTTTAGGTCTGAGAGGGAGAGAGGAACAGAGTAGACAGACACACATTTTCCTGTTACAGACAGAAACACAGAGGCTGAAATGAAGAGAAGGCTCAGTGTGCTCTCTTCGTCCTGATTGTTCTGAATCCTCTGTATGCACTGGGTATTTAATTGGCATATCCCACAATATAAGTGGTGTATAATTGGCATAAGGCTGGTGGCATCTGTAATCCAGCATGTGAACTATTCTTGGGAGCAGCAGGATAGACTCCTGTGAGACTGAGTAACAAGCCGAACCGCCAACCTGAGGATGAGAGATGACAGGCTGACACATAACACTGAGCAGTAGACAGAGGGGGGTGTGACAGTGTCCTCAATGGACCTACAATGATAGCGTTATTCAACCATACAGCAGAATAACACACGCAGTCAGATCCTGTTAACAGACCTGAAACGTGAAGTTGTTAAAATGCATCATAACAAGGTTCAACACAAGCAGAGTTAATGGAGTGAGAAGACCGAATCTGCTGCAGATGATGACAAACCTTGTCTGGTTTTCTTTGTGAGATGACATGCATTTATGAGACTGAAAAGGCACAAAAGCAGATATACTTTAGGGTTTAAAGTTAGACCACAAAGCAATGTAAGTGGTAAGAATTCTGGGTAATCTCCCATTTTAGGAGCACAGCAATAATAGACTAATATTAGATGCTGTAAAGGAGTGTTCGTCTCTGTAGATCAGAGTCTAAAAAATACATTCAGTCGTATTTTTAGACCAATTTACCAAAACAGGGGAAGTTTTAACTGGCAGGAACTCAAAAGCCAAGAAGGATGACTGATCAATGGCAAATTTGGTTTAATGTTTTTGTGAATGATCGATATTGCTAAACTTGAGCCTTATGCTAGTTTAAACCTGAACAGGATGTTACCTCAAGACCCTTTACAAAGAAAGCTGGTATAGACCATACTCCCTAATCAAATTTACCGAGACCCAACACACAAAGATGGGATAGAATTGAGACCCATCCATTAATATCAGACCCCCTCTGATCCCATCCTAATCCACTATTGAATAGTCACACACATCAAGCAACAGATTCTTGAATGTAAATCATAAACTGAAAGCGTTTTTTCTTACAAATTACCAGGAAAACATATAATATGAAAACATAAAATTTTGCACATTCTCTGAATCACAAATGAACTGTGTGGAAATAATGAAGGCAAACTTCATCAGTACCATTCATCCATCCATCTGTGTTGGAGGCGTATTGATCAGCTTGAGAAATTCTACACTTAATTAAAACCTACTCACTATGACTCCCACTGACCTCCGGCATGAACTATAAATCCTGATTTAGACTTTAAGTCACAGAAGTATCAACAAGACAGACAGAAATGAGAGTATCTCAGAGGCTATCACTTGGTTATTTACAACAAAACAGCCTTTATGACGGATTGGCTGTTGACCCCTGAATCTAGGAATATGACAAGCACTGTGGTTTTCTAACATATGCATATTTCCACTATAATTCATTTTATATAGAAAATCTTTCTAGAAAATGTCTATAATTTTATTGGATGTGTATGAAAGGAAAATACAGACACTTTTAAATCAACTCATTTTCAAATCCCTCCTCTATCTTGTGGCCAAAATGCTCATTTTCCATGTCCATTGTCTCAACGCTTTGGTTTCAAATTTGCAACCCACTTTTTGGTACTGACTAAATTAAAAACAAATCCAAAACATCTTTACACATTCAAAAGAGAGAGGAAATGTAAACTCATTGACCAGCTTCACTGCACCCAGAAATAGAGCTGTAAGTGTTTCCAGCAGAGGGGAAAATAAATAGGGTGGAGTCAATGTGATCATTACCGTGAAGTGTGTAAATGTGTGTACATTCCCACGGGTCATGTTTTTTTTTTTTTTCTCTGTTGCATGGCCAACTCTGCACAATAACCTCAATAACACAATAAAAACTTGGAAACGACCGCGCTCATACTACTTGAAGATTCATTGCAAAGCAGCTGGCTTGCTGTTATATAACTCAAGCAGAAGATCAAATGAGATGGCTCCCTCCTCCATCTGTCCAGTTTTTATTTTCTATTCTTCTGTCTCCCGCTTTAGACAAAGTGAGTGAACGTACATAGAAACAAAACTAAATCTATTTTTCAGCAGCTCATTCACTTAACCTAATGTAGAAACAGTAACATGAGTCATGATGCAGATGTCTGAATACCATCATATCACCAAGGTCCAGCTGTTCGGCTCACAAGTGAAAAAGTCATTCACTCTCATGGATGATACTTTGAATAGCTGTAAACCCATTCACTCACACATTCCTGAATGAACGTGTTCTTTATTTAAAAGGGTTAGAGCTTGTTGGCTTGACTGTGGAGTCAACAGTCCACACATTTCACTTGTGTACCCAGTCATTCACAATGACTACATACACACATGCTTGTTCAGTCGCATTCCTCGGCATGTGTGTTTGGGCGGCATCGACCCCCCTTTCACACACTCATACTCCCCCGCTCTATAATATCAGCTGTAATTACTGTTTCTATCTTGCTATGTCTTTTTCACCCAATGGTCCTTAGCAGTATTTAATGAGCTCTGAAGTCATTGCACGTCCTACCATATGTCTAAACTGGAGTTTTCTTTTTATTTGGTGAAAAAAATTTCCAGAGAAAACCTCCCCTTATGAAGCCTATGAGAGAGGAAGTGGAGCTCAAGAGAGAACAGACCAGGGTGAAGAGGCAAAAAAGCGGAAAAAGGATCCTCTAATTGCAGAATGAAGCCTTTTACTTCTTGTTAGCAAAGAGCAGGTAGCTGAATACTTCAGCTGCACAAAAGGCCTTAACAAATCCACCCTCAAGGCATCTTTTTGTGAGGTTTGGACCAGAATCACTGAGATATCAAATACCTCCTTCACAAACAAGTCAAGAACATCACAGAGGCGATCTTCTCTGGATGGATTTGATTTTGAGAATGTAAAATTAATCATTGACCTTGAACTGTAAACACAGTAACAACTCTCTGCAAATGAAACACTTTGAGAAGATAGAGCAAAAAAATGATGTGCTTATGTTACAAAGCAGATGCTGGTTTGATGAATGTTTTTGCTGAAATACTTCTGTTGATGGTGGATCCAAAATAAAGCCAAAGTGAGCAGACTTGTTGTTTTGTAACCTGTACAGTTATGAAAAATTGATAAAAATCATAACTGTGGTTCTTTTCTATGAAAAGGCAACAAAAAACTTTTACACAAGTGTTAAAAAATAAAACAGTAGTTATATTTTTATGCTAATGTGATGCAATCAGTTGAACGTGTTGCTAACAAGCTAATGATAACATGGCAATGATTAGGAGATCAAAAAGCAAGTAGGTCCACATGTTTATAAGGTTATAGGTTATGCTAATACTTTCTCTCTTCACTTGTATAATGAAGGTACAGAAGAGTACTAGAGTCACAGATGAGGAAAAAACATATAAGGAGTAGGGCTGTCACAATGTACCTGTTATGATGATAACTGTCTTTTTAAAAATGATAAAACTGATATTGTGCTAAAAATAGAATAGAAATTTCATAAAATCAACATTTTGAGAAAATAGATGAAACAACCACAAGAATAAAGTCCACAGTGGGGGCAGAATTACAAGTCTGCATCAAACTGGTCCTGCACTCGCTGATAAACAATCCCATAACCTGCAGTGAATCATCTCAGCAGAGAGAAAGAAGCAGACTGTGTGATCTGTAATCATTTACGCCTCAACTGTGTATCTTACTTCAGAGATATGTGACATTATGTTTTAATGTCTAGCTTATCGCTACTTTGAATGTTACTCATATCAGTGACAAGCATTTGTTTACTTACTTAACTTTTAGCTCTGTGCTAACTCTTGAAAACCTGATAAAAGTTTTATCCCCTTATCATTTTCCCCATAACCCCAAATACCAATTTTTCTTGTTTTTTTTTTACACAATTCACTCTGGATGCTACACTATTGAAAGAACAGTTTCATGGCAGAAGTGTGACATCTCCACTCAGCAACCACCAACTTCTTTTCTTTAAATTGCATTACACCTTCTTTCCCAACATTGAATTTCTACTTTATTTTTCAAAACTACAGCTAACTCTTTTTTTTCTTTTTTATTACATCTCTGAATTCAGGGACACAATTTCAAAAAAAAATTTTAAGAAATCGTTTCTGACATTTTGTACTGCAAAAAGACAGAAGAGCTTGAAAAGCTAGAGCAGCACCAACTGAGGGAGCAGAGCTATGCTAACAAATAAGTATGGGCAACCTCCCCAAGAACAAGACCTCCTGTTCTTGTAATAACTCTGCACTCATCAATCCAGGCGTTGGCTCGGTGTTTGCATACAGACACAGAATCAACAGCACAGTGGTGACTCTTTAAAAGACATCAGCTTACAGTTACTGAGTCTGTCAAACTCAAATTTAGAAAAAATTATGGGCATGTACTCTCGTTATGAGCAGTCTTAAAACCAGACCGCTGTCTGTTTCATGTATCTAGTTTGCATGTCTGGAAACATAAACCACCATACTGACTCAAAAGCCATAACCACAAAAGTGTGAACAGATGGCAGTCTATCTAAAGCAGGGGTGGGCAATCATGTGCCATGGAGGGCCGAGAGGCTGCAGGTTTTCTTTCCAACCCAAAACTCCACCAGGTGATTTCACTGATTGGTCCCTGCTCTCTGCTTGGAGGTAAGGTAATCAGTGAAATCACCTGGTGGAGTTTTGGGTTGGAAAGAAAACCTGCAGCCTCTCGGCCCTCCATGGCACATGATTGCCCACCTCTGATCTAAAGAGACGCACATCCAACAGAAGCACATCAGGGTAACAGGGTTTTTATTATCACAGATGATTTTTGGTCAGCTGGACAGATTTTTATAAATCACCAGTTTTAAAATTGAAGTAGTCTGTTTAGTCAAAGTGGAACAGCGAAGTTTAATGATGTTGTTGGTGCTTGGAAACTAGGAATGAACAATGAATGTGCAAAAGCACAATGGATACACCTGCAGGACATCCTGAACTCTGCCCCTCTGTTTCTGCTAGTTTTGGCTGCATGATCATTTACAGAGGAGGAGAATGAATGAATCAATTTTTTTCTTAGCCACAACAATCACCTCAGTAACTGCGCTGCTATTGTTATTATGATCATCGTCATCATCCGCTCTAAATCGGGCTCCACAAACAGGAGCCGAGAAGATGATGATTTCTCTAATGACACAAACAGTCAGCTGGCAGACACATTGACTCTCTCTCTCTCTTTAATCTTCCTCTCACTCGCTGTCTAGACTACAGTGCTGATGACTAAACTCGATTACACACATGCATACACGGTAAATGTCCAGATAAATCCACACGTACCCACAGTGCATCACAATGCTGACAGCAGCACATTCACGGAGTCATGCACAAACCCATCCAGATGTCAGGTGATGACAGGTTCAGCTTGTTAAGGGATCAACGGGAGCGCTTACGGGACACTGACTCACTTCCTGTCTGCTGAAGTGTGACTTATGTTCTCCATTGTTTTAAACTTTTAGTTCTCAATTTCTTAGGTGTTCTTTTAGGATCTTTTAGACTCTTCTCCATGCTTACAAATTAATGAAGCTATTTTCTGCTGTGTGCCTGCACTGAAGTGAACCTGGTGTATTTCCCATAAGATTGAATCTGCTGCCTGTTTTAACCCAGACTGTTTTCTCTCAGCAGAGATGAAATTGTCTACTCATAGCTTACCAGCTGTACCTTTGGTTTGCTCCATTAAACAGGAGTTTCCGCTAGTGGTAAATGTAAAACTTAGCGTCAAAGGAGGTTGTCTTGTAATTCAGCCTTTCAAGCACACAAAACTGAAAATAGAATTAGGAAATAATTTTGCTTCAATTTTTCTGCTTCAATTTAAGCAAAAAATAAAAAATAAAAAAGCAAGCATTAACACATTACCTCCCCGAAAAGGTACACTCCCCCCAAAAAGCAAACATGGTATTATAATCAACCAGCAATAAATTTATGGTTGGTGATGCGGCTCCAAAGGCACAAAACTATGATCATTTAAGAAAAAGAGGTCTTATATAAGTAATGAATTTACAAAACGGCACAGCCGGTTAAGTAAATAATATATATATTTACACAGGCCTGAAATGTCACTTATATGCCACCAGACACTAGCCAAAGCAGCAGCTCTGTTAACAGCTACTGCACTAAGACTCTAATGCTCCACTATGCTAATATAAACAAGAACAAATGAAGAGCCAAGTCATGTAGCGCAGCATAGTTTGGCAGTATTTGGATCTAGAAAATGGAAATGAAATTGTATGTAGGCTGTCTCCAGTTATGCTAGCATTAAACTACTCAACCAGAGCAATGCATAGGAAGCGTAGGCACGAAGACATTAACCTGCAAAGAGGACTGAAGGGCGCTGGTGAAACCACAGCCAACATAAGCCACACTCTGCAAACTAATTTGACAATTTACCTGCAGACTCAGGGACCACATGCAGCATTTTTAAAATTCCTTTCAAACAACTTACAGTGAGTTTCTGGGAAACAAACTTGCCAGCTACAGTTTTAAGAATCCACTGGAGAAAGTCGTGATTTCAATTGGCTGTATTTGCCCATGGCTCAGAACAAGAATCATATCTACCTTTTTTGTGTAGTCAGAGATAAATTCTTAGCAAGAATGGCAAAAAAACTCCCAGGAATCTGCCATTTGTTAAATTTTTAACTGAATGTGAGCTGTGCAGAATGGGCATAATAAATGAGAGCAATGAAAAGGGAGGAGAGCTAAGCTACAAATCAGTTTATCAACTCAAGGGCTCCATTTGATCTTCAGCAGTACAAAATGGATAAATATTTATAAACTTCTTCATTTCCCATTGTGAGGTGATCAAAAGTTTAAAAGTACCATGTACTCTCAACAGCAGTCATTACAAAGACGGGCTGTTCTGCTTTAAGGTCAGAGAGAAACTATTTGGATGGTACTGGGAGTCATTCTTGAGGCTGCTTTTGTCAGCCTAGACTTCATTTCATAAACACGTGGTTACACACAGCATAACCCCTCAATGTAGGGCTAAATAAATGATTAAAAAAAAAACATTTTCACTAGAGTAGAATTTCAAGTGCTTCTGAAAGATATTGACATATACTGCACAATTCTACATGTAAAATAAACATAACACACCCATCCTTATGTCAATTTTTCAATCATCATTGTAGCCAAACACAAACCAGAAATGTCAACATCAGGAGAGAAACTTTACAGGGCAAACAGGGACCAAACCGGGACAGGAGCAAACATTAAGAGCAGTTATCCACACAGACTCTTCTCAGCTTCTTTCTGGAGTGTCATTATCCAGAGAGAGAGAGAGCGAGAGAGTGAAGGAGGGATGACTTTTTGAACTATACGGTACAGTTACAGTAGCAGCACACACTTTTGGGTATTTTCTCCTTTGAAGGAACTTTTGGTGTGGGTACTCAGCTGTGCACACTGAAAAAGCAGGTACTTGTGTTCGGAATGAAAAGAAGAGCTTGAGAGAGAAGTTCAAGTCTTGCATACTTATCTCTCCTCCGCACACCTGGCCAGTGGGTGTTTTTCACTGAAGACATTTGGACTTGTCAGAGTAGAAAAGCATAATATTGCCAGTGGCTCTGTTCGATTCAAACATTGACAGTGAGCCAGCATGCACAGCAAATGAAACTGAAATCATTAAACAATATCAAACCTTTATAACTATATTAAATGACGCTGTACTTTTGGCTACCAGCACAATATCAAAGCTTTTTTTAATCCCTGTGACCTACTGTAAGAGGATAATTAAAGCTGACACGATGAGGTACCTACTGGTGACCCTTGTTAGCTCATAATCCTAAAAGTGTATGAGGCCACATTCTACATTAGAGAGTTTGAAGTTGCAGTATTCAGTATATATCAGGCTGCACAAGTGCAAACCAATCCTTCACTCTTCTTTGTTGCAATGAGCTCTGTGACACATCTCAAACACTTTGATTGATCCCGGACAGAGATCTAGTTGGGGCATGTCAGACTACATGCTGAGCCACAGAAGAGCATCTCCACAGGGTCATCATCTTTCCCAGAGGACGACTAAATAAAGCAGATGCCCTCTGACACAACAGAGCTTGAACCGTGGTCCTCTTGTTGTTGAACACATCAATCAGCCTCTGCTTGCATCTTGCAAGAGTGAGCGATCGCTGCCTATTTAAGTTGAATTCGTTCCCCTCCGTGCTAATGACTTTCCATGAAAGCTTGTGTGTTGTGCTGCAAAATACACAAATTACAAATATGCAAGCTCCCCTGCAAACACGCAAAATCCACATAATGCTGCACACAGAACATGTACACGCACAATGACGCACACTGCTCTCCCATGAGACGTGTACTATCTCTCCTATTAGTCGAATCAGATGTTTCCTCTTGATCTTTCTCCTCACACTCTTCAGTCTCTCACATCTAAAAAGAAGGCTTACACTCAAGAATTATAAAAGGAAATGTATCACTGGTTGAGGCTTTAAATATCACAGCACGTGTCCTATCATTTGAAACTTAAGTTTGAATGTCTGGTTCTGTGTTGAAGCATCTCTGAAACCCCCACTGATCCACAATCTCAGAGAAAATGCGCTTTGCTTTCTCTTTTCTCCCATGTTCCAGAGCCGATCTCTATTAAAAAGCTGTAATGGTAAGCTTCTGTCACTCTGTTAACCTTAAGTTAACCCTGGCTGTCATCTTTAAATCAGCCTGTTAGCCTCTCTTGTTAGCTCTCCTTTTGTTCACACACTTTCTATCTCTCTACCTCTCAGCGCTTTCCTCCCATTAAATACTCATTTCTTCTTCAGCCCTCTCATCTCTGCCTCTTCTCGTCTCTCTCTCACCCCTTATTTCTTATCTCAAACAGTCCTCAGCTGGGACTTGCTTTTTCCTCTTTAGTGTAGCCTCTGTGTCCCCATGGGAAGGATCATCATCTTCATGTTTGAATGTGTGTATATAAAAAAAGGAAAGAAAATGTGTGTGTGAGCGAGAGAGTGTATGTAAGAGCGTGCAAAAAGAGAGAGAGAGAGGGAGAGACACTTTGTTCTCACTGTCATGGGTCCAGGAGTCCTCACAGGAACAAGAATACAAAACTCAGAAATGGGCACAGGAGTGCAACATTTTCCGGTGTATGAATGCAGGCATATTTGCGTCTGTGTACAAGTGTGTGTGCATGTGTATGTGTATTAAAGGAGTGAAAGGATCAGAGAGGAATCCGCCTGCCATTAGACACATTACCACCTTCACTATTGGCCAAAATCTGCAAAACACCAACATGGCGGCACTCTTTTGAAAGTCAGTGTTTGAGCTCTGTCTTTGAGGTCCATGTGTTTGTGTGTCTGTGAGGGGCTTCACGATAGCAGAGCTGGATCCTTGGAGCGGAGAAGAACATGGAGGAAAGTGATATGAAATTAATTTGACCCAAACGATTCTCCTGTGGTTGCATAACAACTATTTATGTATGAACTGTTCTGTTGTGCTGCCATTCTTTCACCTGCTCTCCCAAAATATTTCCTAAAATGTTCAGCAGTGAACAAGTTGCACCACATACACACACACAAGTTAGAAGACGTCTTCTCCTCTGCAGCTGTAAATTAAACAAATTTGCATAAAAAAGGTTCGCTTCTCTTCAGAGACACTGTCTGATGACAACACATCCTGACTTTGTATTAAAAGATTTGATGAAGTGAGAGATGAATAATATATCGGCAGCTGCATTAAAAATACAATCTCCTCACTTTAACCAGTACCTCTCTGCTGTAATGGAAAATAAATCACAAACTACATCAGAGGTTTCTACACTTAGAGCCCTGCTGCTTTTCATTGTTCTAATCAGGAGGTGACACCTAGAATGCTGAGTGAATGCAATCAATCTGCTGAGAAGTAAGTAAGAGTGCAGAACTTTGTGACCTGAGGACCACTGACCCACTGACAACCCCAATACTAGTGGAAAACATACTATGAGGGAGGAATGAAAAACTCAACCCGTATATGTGCACCCTCCACTGGATGATGGGGTTCCATGCATGTTAAGTCCACATTGGTTCCCTCATGAATCACCAAAGTTGTGTGAAGTCTCCATGTCTCTTTTTGTAACACAATGCTCATGGCTAACCGCTTGACTCCTCTGTCCACAGGAATGCTGTCAGATCCTCCGCTTAAAGGAGACGTAAAAAGTTTTCCCTATCCCATCATCTTCACAGATTCATTCATCCTCTCAAACACACTTTCTTCCCAGCCTGCTTGCCTACCTTCCAGTGTCACCTCTTTCCCGGCCCGTTTCAGCGCCTGCACAGCCTCGTCGTGGGTCGCGTCCCGCAGGTTCATGCCATTCACGGACAGGATGGCGTCCCCCACGTACAGAGCCTGGGTCTGATCCGCTGCGAGCCCCTTAAAAATCTTACTTATGAGTATGGGCATTTTGTTCTCCTTCCCACCTTTGATGCTGATCCCAAGCCCCCCGATCTCCTGCTTGGTCACCTTGACGCACCGCTTTCTGTTGGCGATCGCCTCGGGCACTCGCTCCGGGAGGTCTGTGAACGCGGTGCGCACAGTTTGAGGACCATTGTTGGAGTTAGTGTTGTTGTTGTCCAGGTAAGATCCGTTGGTGACCCCGTTGGAGTTGACATTGTCGCTCACGCTGTCGGTAACGCTGCTCTCCTCGCAGCTTAACGTCAGCGCTTCCTCGTTTAAGTTGACCAAAACTTTGTGCCACCGCTCCCGAACCAAAACCTCCACAAATCCACTTTTTTGCACTCCGGAGGCACCTGAAACTCCCGTCGCTAGTACCACCGCCATCTTTGGAGCATGTCTTTAAAATGCCATGTGATTTTGTTCCCAGCACGCTCCCACATATGAACTTCCACTCTGCCTGCCTCCCACTCAGGCTGGACTTTGCCCCTCTTAAGTTTTCTGTGGGACTTATCCAGCCGTCCCAGTCATCCAACCAGCCTGCCTCAGCCCTCTTGGCGCACGCTGTTCTCCGCTCCGCCTGCCCGAGATCCTATCTACTGGGTGGAGTTTGCTCGCCCCGCCGTCAGCAGATCCCATCTCCAGATCATATCCTGCTTGCACATAGAGTGTTCATCATTAGCCCGGAACGTTTGAGACGTGACAGCCGGAGCAAAGTTTAACCACAGATTCACACAAGTGTATTTCCTTTTCCACGAACCCCCTGATGATATTACATCAGAATGTGTGTGCAAAAGTAAAATACAATGACGCACATTTTGGTTTTAAAATAAACTTCTTGAGTACATCCTGAATAAATCTAGGTTTATGGGTTGTTTGGTCACATTGAGTTGAAAAAGACAGATTTAACTTGATGGCTTATTTTAAAATTGAGATTTTATTATAGGCTACTATTTTAGTGTAACGTGAAATGTAAAGGGTTTTTTTAGTGCGTATGTCTAATAAGTAACATTACAATTCCGACAATCGCGCTCTCGTGAAAGACGAGGTCGGTTACGCGCGCACAGGAATGCGCCTGTGCCTGTTTTTGTGTGTCAAAGAGAAACGGAGAAAGAGAGAGAGAGAGAATGCGCTTTCCCGGGAGGCTTTGACATGAAGAGACCTCCCTTTGAGGCTTTCCTTTGCGCTCCTATTATTATTATTATTCCTGAGGACATCCTCATGTTCACTCACTACCACGGGCTCCTGAAAGTTCAAGTACTTGACCGCCATGACTGTGGGGGTGCAACCAGTGTCACCTCCAGTGAAGTGTCTGGACCCGCCTGTGGTCTCAATGAGGCAAAGCATCATTCATGCAGCAGCCAACTCGAGATGGAAACTTGTCTCACACGGATACATGAGAAATGAAGCTGCGACATCTACTGGTGACAAATCACAGTGTAGTTTAGGGTTCAGATTTGTCTTTTCAAAACACAAAAAAACACTCATGATGTTTGAAGATTTAACAGCAGTATCTTTCACTTAATCTGCAATTTTAATCATTTGAAAAGTAATTTTAATTGTAATAACTTAAGTCACTTTTTCTGTGGTTTTTGCCTTCATTTCTGAGAGGCCATCTGTTTTCCTCCAAAACATTTTGTTATTTATGATTTCACATGATTCCCACCTGGCAAGATATATCATTTCAGCAAAGCACTCAAGCTTTGCTGGAAAAAAAATTCTCATCAAGTGTTCATCATTAGGTCTGAGTCTTACTACATGCACAACAAAATTTTTAATGCTTTGCGTATGGGAATTCATCTTTAAAATATGATTTTGAAGTCTCTATTTTGTTAAGGCAGCCTGAGGGAAACAATAATGTGAGGAGAGGAGGACTGAGAGGGGGTGACATGCATTAAATGTTCATGTTCATTGTTCATTGTGTGGAGAAGTGAGTTAAATGTGTGCTTCGGTTTGTGGAAAAGGTGTGATATCAACGCTATGGTTTCACAAGCAAGATCACTATGGCATGTCTCGGTCCTTAAATATATCATCAGTGCATGTGGTGCAATTGAAATTTGTATCCATGCTTTGTAAATGAGTATTAGCTCAACAGAAAAACATGAATGAAATGTTGGAGGATTCATTATTTATGAGGACATTTCCTTAAACCATTATTTTATATTAATTGTTTCAGCCTGTGTGTTACAATTCACAATACTGTATATCACAGTATATGGTCTATGCATGCTGTGTTTGCCTGCCCTTGTAAACTACACTGCGGCTGAACTGCATTAAAGAGGGTGTTTTCTTATTTATTCTGAGAACCAGTGGAACAGAAACACCAAGAATATTTTGGCTTAATGAGGTGTAGGAGCAGCAATTGATTTTTACTTTTATATGGAAATGAGCTATCAGATGAAATGTATGTTCTTTGTGGTGATAATGACCTTGGAACAAACAACGAAAGAAACACAGATTGAATCTTTTTAAAGGTGATGTTATTTACCAGTTGTCTAATGATTTTTTAACCCTCATTCAGTTGTATCACATGGACTTCAAACCCCCAGCAGAAAGCAGATTTAATTAAGCTTTTACATGAAAGCACACAAACAAACATGTCGGCATCGTTTCACTGGTCCATGATCATGCTTTCTAAAGTACTCGAAAGAGCGACACACCATGTTCAGGAACATTGTGGCTTTCATGTTTCAAGGCAATGATTCAGACTTACAATGGACCTGGTTTCATTTTGATTTAAATGAGCAGAGAAGCACAAAAGCGGGGACTGTGGCATCCCATATGCTTGCTTACATACATTTTGTCCTGTAAATGCACAAACATAAATGATGTCCATACATACACACTTGCTCCAAATTACTTCAATTTTCAGATAACACAGAAGGAGCCATTTTACAAGCACCAAGGGGACCAAACAACAGGCATTTAAAGGCAAAGAAAAACAGGCAAACTCATAAAAATGACTTTATTGGCTGAAGGGATTAAAACGATGTTCTACTTAACGAGAATGTAACATGATTTCAGATGTGCTGTTCTTGCCTAAAGGTCACATGAAAGAAGTGTGTTGCAATGGCAGCATAAATAACTTTTTTTATGAGTTTCTAAAAGTGGGATGATACTGATTGAGCAAAAATGAAAGTAATCTGTGGTTGCGAAGGTATTTGCTGTACGTGTGCTCAAAGCTCCTGTAAGGATCTGTAAGGATGATGATTATGGCGCCCCTGTGCACAAAGTTGTAACTCTAGTATTGTTGCTGATGTTGTTTTAGTCCTACATTAAATTGAATTCAGAAAAAATGATGTTTTTCTTTTAAAAATGTGGGAGATCAACAGCACATAGTAGTATATAATAAAAGCACTAAAAGTAAGTACCTCAATCTCAACAATCTCAAATTACTTTCTTTTCAATCAGTGCTATTGGTTTCAATACAGATGTCAAAGATGTTTGCTAGGATGGGTGATGGGTCAGCATTCTGAATAAAGTAATTGGGAACAATATCACTGTAGGTACAGCTGGCACATCATATCTTTTGCAGTATTTTATAGGGCAAGATGTATTTTTCACTATTATTTTGCTAAGTGATTCTCTCGGTGGAATCATGACTTTTTATGTTATTTATTTTTTCCTACCTTTTAGTGTCACCTCTTTGAGGTTCCTGTGGCCTAGGTGATTTTATTTCTAGAAGTATGTTTACCCGTTTTACAGCCAAACATTAAACATAAATACAAATTCTGTGATTAATTTTCTGTTTGTGATTAATTTCATGTTAAACATACAGCCAAATGTTCTGATGTTAGATATTGTATTTCAAATAAAATGGTTAAATACCAGTGGTATTTATCTCATCTTATCATATCAAAGTCAACCATGTGACAAAAAAATGCAGCAATAACCTAATTCACTGACATGTCTGTTCTCTTCTCCCCTTATCTCTCCTCTCTGCTCCTTCTGAGTCATTTTCTACCTCTGTGAGACTGGCAGTCTATTGCTACAGGAGCTTGGCGCCACCTGCTGGTCTGGAAAAAAACATGTACACTATGTAACTCTATCAGTCTCACACAAATATTCTCAAATCTTTTTGCACACTTTGTTCACCTGGAAGCACCAGCCTTTCTATTACAACACTCTGATGACACTCTCAAACATGTTGCACCTGCTCACACTGGAAAAACACTTCAGTCGTTAGTCAGAGAAGAAAAAAAAAGAAAAGAGGCCTCAAGTTTTATTTGCCAAAACACTTTATATTGCAGTGTGAATAAATATTTATTTTGTCATCTTTCTATCTCTGAGCGCTGATTTTGTTTGTAGAGTTTCTTATTGTATTTGCATCCATCTTGGATGGTTGCGTTTATCTTTTACACTGGTGTGTATGTGATCTTTAACATTGGCATATGACAGCTGTGTGTTGTTTCAGAGGAGGGAACTAGTTTTGAGAAGTGAGAACATTTTTTGGAGTGCTGTGGTTCATTTTGCAAGAAATTTGTAGAGCTGTGAGGAAATAGTTATCTGTTCTCAGTTTTGGGTTTGGCATTTTGAGAAATGAAGCTGGAAAATGTGTTAAAACGTGAAAAAACAAAACAAAACTGTAAATCAATCCTCATGTTGAAACACTCCCTTGTTGAAATCATTACCACAATGTTAAAAAGCAAGCAGGAATTCCCCTCCGTGACAAAGATGCATTTATTTATCACATACTAAGAGTGGTCCAAGTGTCCTTGAATGCACCTTGCTCCAGCTGTTTTTGAAATTGAGGATTGTACCAAGGTAAACTCTGGGATGGGGGAGGCCAGGATGAGGGTTTGGTGGTTTCTCAAATTATGTTGAATATTCACACCAGATGTATTAGAATAACCTCTTGATCAAACACTGTTATAGAGTTATTGCACTTTTTTTTACCTCCTACATGGAGTAAATGATGTTATTCATGTTCTTAATAATTTTGTTGGTATCACAGCTTTTTAAACTCAACCCTTAATTTTAAAACATGGTTTGACCAGGAAGCATTTAAAGCTATAATTTTATCCTTGTAGTCACTTCCTCCATATACTGGATACCTAACCTGTGAGTATCAGAAGTTTTAATTCCCTCTTAATCAGCTAGTTTTGTGGTGAAATACATAAAACAGTGGTCATCTGTATTGTGTATAATGCTGGGAAAGTTAAAAATAATCTTACAATTCACATCAAGTATATAACCATACCCTCATGACAACGACTCACTGAAAGTACCGCTTGGTTGTCTCAGTAGGCACATTTTAACTTGACCATGCTGGTTATGATCCAGGGTTGATTGGTGCACTGCAAACACACTGTTGGTTTGTTTACACAAGCTGTATGTTTTTGGATATTTTCAGGGTTCATTACCTCTAAGATTGTTAATTTTTGAGGGAAATACCGACACTAGAGGCTGTTTGTACAGAGTGTTTTAGATAAGTACAAGGTACTTTTGCTTCAACTAAGCTCAGCTCCTGGTAGAGAAGCTATGTTTGCTACCTTTAATGTCACATGGGCCCACAACCAAAGGCAAGAAGAGTCTTTTAAGAGATGTAGGCACCAGTTGTGGTCTTGACAGACTTTGTGGTCTCCTCATGGTCTTCTGAGAGGGCAAATATTTTCATTCAGATGGAGTGCATTGAACGTTATTGGAAAGTCCTTCCTCAAGTAATTGTTTGAGATCTGTATATACCCATGCTTTTCTTCTTCTCTTGCAAGTTTTGGCAAACACTGACTAGAGACCTAGAGGCCAGAAAATCTCAGTGGCAGATTGTCCTGAAATTTTTTTTTGAAAGTTTTCAGGAGTGCAAATAGGAAAAGGGCTCATCATGGTCTGTAATGTATGCTAACCCATAAAATAAGTGTCTAGAATATTCCTACAACTGGATGAAATACTTATTTATAAATGGTAGCATTATAACACTCTGAGGACTGCTACGAAAACAGCTGACACACTGGCTAATCCCACTTCACAACCACGAATAATTTCTTGAACTGAAAAAAAAAAGCAGTTATGACATATTATGTTTTTTAAAAAACATTCTAATGGATAAACAGACAAAAAATATTGTGATTAAGAAACAGAAAAATAGTTAATTTCTGGGATTTTCTCTCATGGGCTACTGTAAAAAAAACTGAGAAGATCCTTTAGCTGGTCATATTTAATGATTTGGTCATTACATTTTTAACATAACAACCATAAGACCTTGACTTTATCTAAAACTGTTTATGTAACAACCATCTCTGCTGCTATCCAGCAGATAAGAAAGAACCATCATGGTCAAACTGCAGCTGCATTCGATTTCCAATGATGATTGTAGAGGGCGTCTTTACAATGACTGTCAGCCAGTAGCAATAGATGGGGGCATTATTAGTCTTCCACTCCCTTTCAAAGTAATTTTGGCTGTGTCATGCATTGTGAATGGCTTTATTTGGAGAACACTATCTGAGACAAACCCAGAACATTATTGTGGGAGGAGCTTGATATGTGCAGCCTTGAGCAAAAAAAACCACAAATATGATTCTTTCATTATCTTTTATCCTGTTGATGGCTTTTTGTGAAGTTACCTTTTTATTGATGGAAAAGGTGAAAACACAAAATGCAGGGGTGAGAAATGACATGTAGGGTGAGTGTTTTTTTTTCCACTGAGACAAAGTAGAACCCTGTTCTGAGTACACATCTATAATAATACAATAATGGTCATCTATAAATACTGGCAATAGTATAATATTATGATTAGCATACTTACTACTGATCATAAGAGTATTAAGTTGTTCATGTAAAAAAAAAAAAAAAAAAAAAAAAGTCAAAATGACTCAAAAAAAAGCGTCAGAGATTTTATTTGAGCTGTTAACATACGTTTGGACTTGATTGGTCCCAAAGCCAAGGGTCCATGCACACAATAGAGCAACGGACAGAGTGAAAAAAATGGCTGGATTTCATATTTGCTACTGCTGCTCATAGTTGCACAATCATTCACTTTGTCATGGCAAAAAGTTGCTATCAGACAGTAATACAAGGTAAGGATTTTCCAATCTGTTTGGTCTTGAGAAATCCTTCCAAAACACAATTAAAAAAAAAAAAAAAAACAGATATGAGAGTACTACCTGTAAGGCATTAGGCAGATGCAGACTAAATATTGGATGAATGGATGTGCACTTTATCAATGGCATATCAAGGCTAATTGATCTCAGGAGGTAGAAAATGTCCGTAATAATAATAATAAAAACAGCAGCTAAAGTGACCAGTTGCTCTTTACATTTTAAGCTCATGTACACCAGTTATGAGACCAATTACCATGTAGTTTTCCTCTTCTCAGTTTTAGTGGTACAGTGTGATATATCAAGTGAAATCATGGGCAAAATTGCCAAAATGTGACAACATTCTGATAGTATATTTGCATAAACATTTTTACATAACTTATATAAGCACTTGCTATTAAGGCAATCCTTTTTGAGTTGCAATAAAAAAGACCAGCACTGAATGTGGATGGTGAGACTGGGATAAATATCTCCAGAACCAGCCTGGATCACAGTTAAAGCTGTGCAGATGTAGTTATCTGTAGTTCAAGTGTCACCACAGTGTAGGGAAATTTAATTGGCTGAATTTAGAGTCCTTCCTCAACTCCCAGTAGGTGTTGTTGCTCACCCAGGTATCATCCTTTGATTTCCTGTAAGGGGTTAAAGAAAAATAAGAAATTAGTATTTTAAAAGGACAATAGAGTACAGCGTACAGATAATACCAACAAGAGTAAAAACATTTCTCAAAGACCGAGAAGTCTGTTGTGAAGTGCCCTAATAAATCTGGATATTTTGGTCACCTGAAGTATAAAGGTTGATGTAAGCTGTTGCTCTCTGCCAAGACCCTCTGTCTCTCCCGTTGCAGCTCTTCAATCCTCTGTTTCTGCTCTTCTGCAGCCTCCAGGTCCCCCTCCTCCAGCAGTCTGCCATCCATACACAGGAACGGTCATTAAACAAACATGTAAGTTAAAAAAAACAAACCCTTCCTGTAATTTTCATACTCAGTTCTCATTGTTCTTTTTTTGTTTGTTTGTTTTACTGCAAGATATCTGTTGTCTATAGAAGTTTCTGTTGATAGCTCTATCTGGACAGTACTGTTTTTCAATATTTTTGGGCTACAACAGCATTTTTTTTAATTGAAATTTCCTCTTCTACATGTTACTGCTGTAGCAGCAGCAGCAGCAGCAGTTTTTAGAATTTTTGACACCAGGATATGTGAGCTAAAAATAGTTTGCTGCATGTGTAATCTTCAGCGATTACTTTCTATTCTTAGCTATTAGTTTTGCAAAGCACTCTTCGGCACTACTTTGATCTTGGGTTTTAAGATTTTTAGTTGTTCACATTTAGGGGCTGCTTTGTGCATCAGATGTCTCTCATCACTCTTGGACAGAAATGTAGCTGCACTAACCAAGTCCTCCAAGTTCTTTATGGAAAGTTTGTGTAGGTTATGAGGTTATGAGAAAATTATCCATAACAATGTGAGTGCATCGTCATTCTGTCTGAGTTCTTTCACCTTTGGTCCACACGTAGTCTGGTGTCTGTGGGTGGTAACAGCTGTTTCAGGGCTGGGTTGAGTTCATTCAGTTCAATAGCAAACTTGGTGAACCCAAAGTATTGATCGTGGTCTACTGGCATGGCATCTAAATTATACATAAATAAAATTCACAGTCTCAAAACCTCTGTTTGGAAGATCTGCATTACAAAATCACTTGCAGTCTTATGGAGAGAATTTGACATACTTGTTCTCCAGATGCATGTAGCTGAGGGCGGGTCTCCACAGAAAACTGCTTCATGCCACTTTCCAAAGAGTCTGCGGATGATCTTCCCTTTATTATCTGTTATTGTTCCCTCCACCTCGTTCACGCTTGAGTTCCAGTATTTGGCCTGTAAAAGCAACATTAGTTTGATTAGGATACACAGAAAACAAGCTTTAAAACAAGGAAAGAGCTATTCTGAAATACCATGAATGGATGTTGCGCAGATAATTTTAATGCCCTCTCATGGTCAGCAGATGTTGCTGTTGCATAAACTGCAGTGTGGTGTGTTGTTGTGTTAAATGGCAGATAAGGGTGTATAATGGGCTCTGACATGTAACAACGTGTCATCCTGCACACACAGCTTTAGGAGCTCTTACAAATGGGCACACAAAGCAATTAACCTACTCCTCTCATTAAAGGCTTCCAGCCATCAAACTCTGAGGGCACTAAGGAGTACATGCTGGCAGGCGGTCTCGGGCACCACATGGTCCTGGTTTAGAGACTAATGAGGGAACTCAAGAAGTGACTCTGACTTTTATATGTGAAATCACATGTGAAAAGGCAAACTCCACAGGTTCATGACAGGATTTCAACCAACATAGACAACTACCAATTAATTCTATGTATAGGACCCCATTTGAACACATTTTGCTTCCATCTAAAAAGTGAGACTGCGTCCTATATCTGTGTGTGACCAATACACCATTAAAAAAATACAAAGAGGTATTTCTTAGAGTTGAAATGCATAATAAATACTTATTTACCCAGATGATGGATCTCCAGGAGGAGCTGTCTCACTGTATAAATTGATTTTTGACAGTCAGTGTGCAGGAGTTTGCCTGCCTTTATAATTTCTTACGATTGTGACTTTAAAAAAAAAAAATATTCCTCCTGAATTAGAGGCTCAGAAGTCTTCCATGTTGCCACTCTAATGTGTTAGATTTCTATCCCAAAAAATCAAACCAAAGAATATAGTTTACACAGCTGTAGTGGTCATTCACGCGTGTGTTAGTGTGTGTACTTTATGCCACCTCTAATGGTCAGTACCCTATTAAGGCCACCCCTGTCAAAAAACCTAGACACCTGGCATTAGGTGACAGGAGTCCATACCTCTAAAGGTAAAACAGACGGTACTGGGAGGATCAACACACCTCCACACAAAAATGAACATTAGCTGAATGCAAAGCAAAATGTCATGTGGAAGGACAGTTTAAACCTTTTTCCCACAACGGGACCCCGAAAAATAGACTCCTCATATTTAAATATATATTGAGAAATTGAGCCTTCTGTATCACCACATTTGATAGTTTTAATAAAATAAAAAACAGACTTTAAAATCTTCTAAATGCTTAAAATCTCTGCAGGCTCTTTGGTATCTTCAGAGAGCAGATTTTAAAGATGTAGCAGTTCATCAAGTTGAGTAAAAATGAAACTGTCATTGGATCGCTCAGCTTTGCCAAAAGCTGCCTTTTTTAATCTATCTCCAGAGACAACGTGGTATGAATCAGTGAGCGTGGACAGAGTTTAAGACTTGAGATTTTCCTTAATGTTAAATTATGAATACAAATAAAATATCAGTTCATATAAAGGTAAATGCCTTCGATAGCCTGGATATACACTCACCGGCCACTTTATTAGGTACACCATGCTAGTAACGGGTTGGACCCCCTTTTGCCGTCAGAACTGCCTCAATTCTTCGTGGCATAGATTCAACAAGGTGCTGGAAGCATTCCTCAGAAAGCTTGGTCCATATTGACATGATGGCATCACACAGTTGCCGCAGATTTGTCGGCTGCACATCCATGATGCGAATCTCCCGTTCCACCACATCCCAAAGATGCTCTATTGGCTTGAGATCTGGTGACTGTGGAGGCCATTTGAGTACAGTGAACTCATTGTCATGTTCAAGAAACCAGTCTGAGATGATTCCAGCTTTATGACATGGCACATTATCCTGCTGAAAGTAGCCATCAGAAGTTGGGTACATTGTGGTCATAAAGGGATGGACATGGTCAGCAACAATACTCAGGTAGGCTGTGGCGTTGCAACGATGCTCAATTGGTACCAAGGGGCCCAAAGAGTGCCAAGAAAATATTCCCCACACCATGACACCACCACCACCAGCCTGAACCGTTGATACAAGGCAGGATGGATCCATGCTTTCATGTTGTTGACGCCAAATTCTGACCCTACCATCCGAATGTCGCAGCAGAAATCGAGACTCATCAGACCAGGCAACGTTTTTCCAATCTTCTATTGTCCAATTTCGATGAGCTTGTGCAAATTGTAGCCTCAGTTTCCTGTTCTTAGCTGAAAGGAGTGGCACCCGGTGTGGTCTTCTGCTGCTGTAGCCCATCTGCCTCAAAGTTCGACGTACTGTGCATTCAGAGATGCTCTTCTGCCTACCTTGGTTGTAACGGGTGGTTATTTGAGTCACTGTTGCCTTTCTATCAGCTCGAACCAGTCTGGCCATTCTCCTCTGACCTCTGGCATCAACAAGGCATTTCCGCCCACAGAACTGCCGCTCACTGGATATTTTTTCTTTTTCGGACCATTCTCTGTAAACCCTAGACATGGTTGTGCGTGAATATCCCAGTAGATCAGCAGTTTCTGAAATACTCAGACCAGCCCTTCTGGCACCAACAACCATGCCACGTTCAAAGTCACTCAAATCACCTTTCTTCCCCATACTGATGCTCGGTTTGAACTGCAGGAGATTGTCTTGACCATGTCTACATGCCTAAATGCACTAAGTTGCCGCCATGTGATTGGCTGATTAGAAATTAAGTGTTAACGAGCAGTTGGACAGGTGTACCTAATAAAGTGGCCGGTGAGTGTATATGTAACTTAACAAAAGCATGCTTTGGATGTCTTTTATGATGAATGGTGTAAGGTTCTGACATCGACTCTTTTGGCAGTACATGTTTATATAAGTCAGAGAAGTGTTGCATAGCAACACAAGTATGTTTGATCCCCTCCTTTTTCTCCTCAATAAATGGAAAATATGGAACAAGATGTTGGTAGCATTAATTGGAGAAGGAATACAAATCTGCATACAGCTGCTAAATGTTAACCTTTCACTTGAAAGTTTTAAGCATGCATGTCTCACCTTAACAAATGTGATCTTGCATTGACAAATATCACTACTGGAGTTTCTGATGGAGATTTCTCCATAGTGCTCAATCCAGCGTTGTCCACTGAGGATGTTGTGAATGCAGGATGTCACCTTGTTCCACTCATAGTGGTCTCCGGTTCTAGAGAGGGACAGAAAAGACATCTCTCCTAAGAGCCTGGGTTTGAAAAGTCAGTGCATATGCATGTCAGAGTATATAAATTGAAGCAGACTTACTTTGGCAGAGTTACGTGAATGGTGCCAACAGGTACAATCTCCATTGACTTTCCCCAGAATTTGTTTTTGCACCTCACATCTTTAAAGAGTAATCCGAAATAAGAAGTTAAATTCAGATTTTAGTCAACCAGCCAAAAATGTTGATTGACAATAGGCTTTATCTGCCAACTTTCTCAAGGAGAAATTTGTTATTGTGAGGATATGGCAGTTGTAATTTAAGAATAACATGTCTGAACTCCACTACCTTGCCAGAAGATGAAGTTTTTGGACTCTGCATGACAGGCTGAGATTGGTGGGTGATGGCTAACCTGAAATTTTTAATTGTAATTCTGTTATGAGGTTTTGACTGATCAGAAATAAGTATTTAATACAGCCAGGTGATTGGTAAGAAGCCAGAAGAATTTGGTTTCATGCGTACCTGCTCTGCTATAAACCGAAAACCTTTATCAGGCCGGTCACATTCATAGGTCTCTCCAAGGACGGGGTTAAAAGGCTTTCCTGCAGTCCTGTAGTAGCTGGAGGCGTAGCCTGACACCACAAATGTAGCTATATATGCCTGCAGACAGAGAACACAGTACAATTAAAGGTACATTTCATAACATGTTTAAAAACAGACTGACCTTAACTGAGTTCACTCTGAAATAACATCTATCTTTGGAGAACCTAAATGATTACAAAAAGACCTTTAAATTATCAGAGCTGCAGTTACAGTGTAAAGTGCCTCATATCATTGGTTCTTAGTGTTCCTCTTCATTATTTCACTGTAATGAGTTGTGTAACTGCTTAATAGCAGTACGGAGCCAAGAGAGCACTGATAATTACTTCAACCTCATAAAAGGAGGCCACAGTTTGGAAGTGGCTCAAACTTCAGCTGCTTTTTTCTTCACATCCATCAGGTACAGAATAAATGGACTTTTGTACGAAACTACGAGACGACTGAACAGGAAAAAAATGCACAAACTTAAACCAACTATTAGTCCAAAGTAAGTCAATAAAATTGGGAGGGAGGATAAAGCCCTAAAGCAGGAGAAGTTATCTTTCTAGTAGATAACTTTTAGAGACATATTATGTGAGACAACAGACAATTGAACTTCCCTTCATGGATTAATAAAGTTCTTCTTATTCTTAAGTAATTCAGTCTTTTCAAGATATATCTGCAGACAAACACAGAGATTTTTTACATTCTGTGTGTGCAGAGCAGACACAACCTGCAACACCAGTCATTACCTCTGCCAGCAGGCTGGCGCTCCACAGAGGCTTAAATCTACATTAATCTGCTGTAATTGTAAAGTTATGTTTACAAATAGAAGACCTTATTCATTGATTGTCTAAAAGCCTCAGGTAGACTGCTGAAGTATGAACAACATTTCTGTAAACCCTTATGTGCAGTTTGAGACTGAACCAACCCTCTGTGTGACTACCCACCCACTCACACCCTGACTTTGCCTTCTCACCATACGCTCAAAGGGGTCTTGTGTGTTAGCAGCTCTGTCGAGCAGTTCGCTGTACTCCAGCTCCTCACACAGTCTCTGCAGGGTGTTGAGCGGCTCATTGAGTGCAACAGGCATGGCCACTTTGGAGAGGTCTTTGCCAATGTTGTTCCTGAGGATGTTCCACAGGCTGATGGTGCTGTTGTTAGGGCTGGGTGAAGGCAGACAGGATCTACGCTGAAACAGAATAGTGTCCTCTTCCACAGAGCCTGGAAGAAGATGGTTAAGGGAGAGTGAAAACAGCTACAATGATTGGGATACAGGAACCGATATAGAAAACTCCCATAGCTTACCTGAGTTTGGTCTCCCACTTTCTGTCTCATTGCTGAAGTTGTCCATGGAAATATTGTCACTAATGTCACTAATATTTGAGTCATCCTCTGATACCTAAAAAAATCATACAAAAAGATTTAAGCTAACAGATAACAAATACATTGCACATCTTTACCTTACTACAGCAAAGAGCTAAGCAGGATTTTCAGCATCATGTCACACCAGCTGAAGATTGAATGGGCTGAGGATGAACTATCCCTCAGGACCTGGTGGCAAATTTGCACGTCTTCTTGCTGTATTTTTAGATGAAAGTAATTAACTTTCATTTTCACATTGCTTCCACTCCAGCTGCTATCTGATCAGGCATGCTGCATGAACACTGAATACAGAGGACAGGGCAGACCCTTTTTATTTAGAATACACTAATTAAAAATGTAGCATTTAGGGACTTTCACTTGATGCCACTTCACAATGAACATTTTCTATGGGACAGAATAGCACTTAATTGCCGCAATGTAATTTTAAGTTTGACCTGCACAATACTGATGTCAGGTGCAAGAACCCCTGGTTAAATACCATTTAAACTGGCTTGACTTTCTTGTGCAACTACAGTTGAGGCCAAAAGTATTAGCCCCCCTATGAAAATTTCCTTAGTGCTGTTCAACAGATTGATGATTTTTTTACACAGCTTTTCCAAACATCCTTGTTTTGTTTTGGATCCTTACATTATTTTACTTTGCACACAGAAACAAAATTATTTCACAAAAAAACTAAAAATTACCAGGGTCAAAAATATTAGCCCCCCTGAGGCTGATAGTCAATTGTGTGTCCTTTTTGCTGGATAATAGCATGCAGTCGTTTGCTGTAGTTTGTAACAAGGCTCTGGCACATCTCCTGAGGAATCCCAGCCCATTCCTCTTTGGCAAATCTTTCAAGTTCCTCCAGATCTGATGGTCTCCTAGCATGGACCCTGGTCTTCAGTGCAGCCTACAGATTTTTAATAGGATTTAAGTCAGGGCTTCGTGCAGGCTGGTCAATAACGCTCACTTTGGTTTCCTGGAGGTAGCTCCTCACCAGGAGCGCTGTATGTTTTGGGTCGTTGTCATGTTGGAAGACAAAGTGATGACCCAGACCCGGTTTTGTTGCTGACTGCTTGAGGTTTTCTTCCAAAATCTTTACATATCCTTCTTTATTATTCCTTCAACCTTGACAAGATTCCCAGTTCCAGATGCACTGAAGCATCCCCAGAGCATGATACTCCGACCACTGTGTTTAACTGTGGGGACTATACGCCTCTTCCTTCTTTCTCCAAACATAAGCAATGTCTCTGTGACCAAAGAGCTCTAGTTGTCCTTAGCATACCTCAGTCTGGCTTGAAGGTGTCTCTCTTGTAGAAGTGGAGTTTTTTTTGCCTGTATCCTCGCAGTCCATTTCTGTTCAGGGCTCTAGAGACTGTCCTGTTTGACACCACAATTCCTTACTTGGCTAAGTCAGCAACTGCTGTTTTGGTGGTTGTTCTAGGGTGTTTAGACACATCTCCCATCAGTTTTCTTTACAGTTTCTTGGAATTTTTTTTGCTTTTTACCTCTCCCAGACTTGTTCTGTACTGTGTGGCTCTCCTTGAATTTTTTAATAATACTTTTCGCTCCACTTCTTGACACTTGGAAATGCTGTGATAATTTTTTATATCCTTCTCCAGCTTTGTGAGCATCAACAATTCTTTTTCTAAAGTCTAAACTGAATTCTGTTGTATTTGCCATGATGCCTTCTCAAGTGACGGCTCAAATGCGTAAAGAGGTTTTTATACTGTGTGTATAAAGTGTAGGACGACCCTGTGTTTTAACTTATTGATTGATTGATGACAAGCTGTGAGCACTCAAAAGTGAAAGCACATGATTGCACAACAGTGGTTTTTGTTTTGGCTCAATGAAAACGTCAATTCTTAAGGGGACTAATTTTGACCCTGGTAGTTTTTGTTTTTTGTGAAATAATTTTGTTTCTGTGTGCAAAGTAAAATAATGTAAGGATCCAAAATAAAACTAGGATGTTTGGAAAAGCTGTGTAAAAAAATCATTAATCTGTTGAACAGCACTTTGGAAATTTTGGAAAAAAAGTTAAAATTTCATAGGGGGGCTAAAAATTTTGGCCTCAACTGTAAATTCGGTTGAAACCGGTGCACATTTGAAGTAGAGATGGGGAAAAAAAACAGTTTTGCTTTCAAACAGAAAGTTTCTTCAAACCTATAAGTGTTAGAAGCTGAGGCCACCAGTTGACTCTAGCAGTAACATTAGTGAGACTGATGTTTTACCTCCCGCACTTACCTCATTTTCAGAGGAACTAGCAGACAACAGGACTTCCTGTGCATCGAAGAACTCTGTCAAGGACTCTGTGATCGAAGCTCTGCTCTCATTGGACACTTGGTGTACAAGGGGAGGGGATTTATCCACAGAATCCTGTTTCTAGGAAACACAGTTTTCAAATCTATAATTACAAATATGACAAGGGCAACAGCATGACATCTAGAAAGGGTTGAAATAGCAAAGTACAAGCACAAGTTAGTATAAGTCCATCACAACAACACTTATAAAATTTAGACCACACAAAATATTGAAATACAGCCATCTGTCACAACTCCTATGCATTTAATTTAAAATTTGTCTTTCAATAAGTTATTGAAGTTATTATTATTTAAAAACACAAAGTCATGGTCATCCTTAGTTTGCCACATGATTTTACTTGATGATTAATTTAAAATCAAACAGAAGGGTTCACTTACAGCTTGCATCAAATCCACTAATTAATTGAGACTATAGATCAAGTCAACATCATAAGACTGTATGCCAATATGTCACTTAATGATTCAGTCAGTCAGTGCAAGCATGCAACAAGTGTGCGGTGCACAAACAATAGTGTGCAAACTCCACCTGACATGTTGATGGTGTTGACAAAACAACATGCACATTCACAGTGAACTCAAAGCTATCAGAAAGTGCTGCTGAAAACAAATACACAAACAGGACAAACTGAAAAAAAGATGGGGTATTTTCCACAGATCCACAGATGCAGGTGAGCGTGTCCCTCTCCCCTTTGTCAGAACCAGTGCTGATTAATTAGCCCAGAGATAATCTCAAAGGAGGCGCGTTAGCTTAGCGGTATGTGTTCACCAAATTTCCAGGGGGACGATTAAGCTTATCAGCTCACTCTCTCTGGCCAGTAAATCTGATTATGTGAGCAAAGAGCTCCCTCATGAGACAATAATGTGGCAGGTAGTGGAAGGTCTTCCTTTTGGGCTGGGGGAAAGTGAGGCGAGTGTGTACACAACACCAAGAATAAAAGGACACTTTTTCTAAGCAAGGAGAGGATCAGACTGTATATAAAGAGGGCATTGTTCCCTGTCGAGAAGCATTTTTAAGTACACTGGATTCATTTTTCTTGGGTCAGAGGCATTTTAAACCAAAGTGAATCAAATGAGTGGGGCCAGCATTTATTAATCTGGATGAGAAAGAAAGGACAGCTCATTCACCATGTGGCAAATTATAACTCAGGTGGGATGAACAAATAAAACAGAGATAAGTATAACTCTCATGGTGGTGTGGGGGAAAAGGAGCAGAAACACCGCATTCCTGCAACCCACCTGTAAGGGGGGAGTGAAATTTATTAGTGTGGGCTCTACGATGTTGGACTCAGCATGAATCTTGCACAGGCGCTCTCTCAGCTCAGAATTCTGGGCTAAAGCCTGGAAAAATAACCAGTTTATACACTGTGTATAGCATAAACCCAACACATTAAACCCTACTTTCCACTCTAAAACTGAAAATGAGACTAAAAAATACCCTTTAAATTAATTACAGAGCCAAGTTTTCAGCCAAAGGAGTCCAAAATACATCCCCCTCTCTCTCTGAGTAATCAGGAAGAAAAAGACACAGCCGGAGAGGTATTTTTAAGTCATACAAATGTGCACAAAAGTTCTGACGTGGCAAGAGAAGCCAGTAACATTATGACCGGGTGTAAGCAAGAGACAGAAAATAGAAAAGGCCTCTGAGTGGGCGGCAGCAGTCACAGGAAACACGACTGTTGAACATGCTCCTGTTCAGGTGGGCAGAAATCACACCAGCAGCCAGTAATCGCTCTTAGTGGTTCGTCCATTTGTCACGCCTGATGAGTGGTGTGGGAGGACACGACATCTGAGAGGAGTGTATAGACAAAAGGAAAGTGCCCACTGACTGATCACATTTTGCTGTGTGGTTTTTCTCACTTACTGAAGACAGTGCGTTCTTCAAACCAACAACCTGTGGCGAGGTAGGGGGGCATGTTTCGTGGTCCAGACATTGTTTTAGTCTTTCTCTCTCAGATGTTAGTGAACTCAGGGCAGATGTCATGGTCACATGCACTGCAGCAAAAAGGACAAAGGTTGAAGGGAAGCTGCGAACTGCCAACAAATCTGCATACATTTCAAGACCGTGTAATCCAGTCACAATAAAACTCATACCTACAATAAAGTGAAAACAAGCAGAAATTTCGATTATCTCTTTCTTTTATAACTTTCATTTTAGAGCGTCTTTCATAATTGGTGCTTGGGAGGCAAGCACATCATTAAAATGTGCTGGCAACATTGTTGTAATGTTACATGAGCACAAATTTAGAAACTCAAATGCCAGCCATTCAGAGCTGTAACTAATGAATGCTTTAAACCTTTTTTACAGAGAAGGTGAAAATTGTGATGCATCCCACGACACAGTCAATTTCATTACGCACTGTTAAGCATCAGGTATTTAAACAAATGTAAATCTCAATGAATTGAAAAACTCATTATTCCCCAAACTTCATTGTCGAATAAAATGTAAGCAGTTCTTTCACTCACAACTGAGAAAATGCTGAGAAGCATCATCAGAATCCTAATGAAGAAAATGGAGTTTATCAGTAATGAGCTGCTGCTTCTACGGCTCTACAGGTGCTTCTTACACTCATGACAGACAAACAACATGCTAATCATATCCTCTGCGTGAGAACAGTTGCAGGAAAACAAGTTTCTTGATAGTATATGACTAAGACTCCTAAAAAAAATTAAAAAAAAAGAGCACTCTTTTTTAATGAGATGTACTTTGCATTATCCAGGTTGTAATCATACAAACATTTGACTTACGATTGGTGGCAACTCGACAGAAGTCCTCCTGCAGCTTACCCACGTCAAAAGCCAAGTCCAAAGATTCTGTGTCGGCCTTCTCATTGCCTATCGCAGCACTGGAGAGGTTGGGGTTTGAGGCATGGAGGCGTACAGAGCCAGAGGAGATGCAGCTGGGTACCTGAAGTAAGGCTGAATGAGTACAGCTTGGAGACACTTTTAAAAAAATCACTTTACTTTCATGCAAATTACCTGCAGGGTTGTTTTGACATCTTTGTTGTAATTTTTGCGCCATTTCCTCTGAAGTCTCTTTTCCTTCTTTGGGCTGTCAAATGTAGATGCCTTGTAAACATAACGGATGGCAACGGTGGTCAAGACAGATCATTTTTATTTTTAGTAAAGCTTTTTATAGGCAACGCTTTCAGCAGTGAGATCCTAAATTTAGTGACAAATCACTCGGGGGCAACAAAAGATGATAGTGGAGTGAAATGATAAAAGATGAAACAAGAAAAGCTACTCGCAATAAATTGTGAATCAGCTTGTATTTTGAATCTGAAGTTCTGATTTAGTGGTTGATTGGCCTTGCATATAAAGGTTATGGGTTTTATAAATGAAGTGCCAACCTGCAATGCTTGGATAGATGGAGCAGAATAGGTGCGATGGAGTACCTCCATACTCTGAAGCAGGTGATTCAGCTCTAGCAGGTAAGCTTCACACACTGACAAATCTGTAAAAAGTGAAGATACACATAAAGACCGGTTAGAATAAATGGTTCAATAAGAAAAGGAGCAGCTATTACTGAGTGTCATCTCCTCCAGAAATCACAAGGGACAGCTCTGTCATCTCACCCTTTGAGCACTTATCCATGTCATTAGATGACTGTAGCCAGGATGCTACCTTAGCCTGGCTGCTGCAGTTTGAAGAGAAAGCTCCTGCTGAAGGCACTGTGGACTGCCTTCGTATAGACATGTACTGCAAGAGCAAACAGACCCAAAGGTCAGTGCAATAACAATTTGCCCCTATAAAGAAGTCTTCAGTCAGTGGGTGTTGACTTCAGCAGATATTTCAGATGGAATAATGATATTCATGAGAAGCTGCACTGCAGTGAGTTTAGATTTCAGTAACTGTGTGTCGTGTGGTGCTCTTGTATACCTTTCTAATAGAGGCACTGTCAGGCATGCCTGGTGAGTTGGGGGAGGGGTAGTGAGGGTAGTGGAAGGACTTCTCATTAGGGTACATGGCAATCTCATTTTGCCGATAGACTCGATGGTGACGCAGCTTGGACACCCATTCATCAAACAGCTCTGGTGACTTAATCTGCAGAGAGAACCACAGTCAGAAACCAATACAAGGACAAGAGGGAGGCGTGAAGGTGGAAAAACAGCAATCCTTCCTTAATCACATAAACAACAGCAAAGGTCATTATGAAGTCAATGGTAGCGTCTGCCTCAGGATTCAAAAGGAATAGCAAGAATAATCCATATTATACCTCCTTTTGTGGAAATCAGTGACAAATGAACTACTTTCATTAGCCTTGTGGTTTACCTTCAAGTGATAGATGTTTTCCTCAGCATCAAGATCGATGCACTTAGATTTCTTCTTAATTGCCATAACAGAGAGACCTACATCAATGCAGCCGTGCAGTTTCCCTCTTTCTATCTGCAAAGTCAACACATGTTGTTGTTTAGGCTGTGAGGATCATTCACAACAGACAACCAATGTAACAGGATTCTTGGATTTTTTTTTTCCACTACAGAGACAGATAAATGTTTGGTGAAAGACAGGGTCAGTACAGAGAGAACGGAGTTTCATTTTATAACCTTTTGTAGCTGACAAGACCACACTGCTTGAAGCCAGTCAGCTTTTGTACTCACGTCAGCGCTGCACTTTCCATACTTCAGGATGCCCTTGTCCAGAAAAAAGTATCTCTGCAGGCAGAATGAAGGACAAAGAAAGACTGAGATACAGCTGGGATGGTATGCAACATCCCTGACAGCAAGTCTAGAGTCCCTGTTATGACTGTGTGATCATGTCATACATCTTACGAATGCGTGTTGTTAATGTTTCATGCATTGAGATGTTTGTCATCTCTGCACCCTGTCTGCCTTCATTACTCTCACTCTGATGCAATCCTTCTGCTTTACTCTCTTTGTAAACATGGGTCTCAGTGCTCTTACTGTACGTCCCAGAATCAGAATCAGACTGTTGAAAGTGCAAAGACCTGAGAGGCTCTGACTGTAAGTCAATACTAAATGTATACAGTTCTATTAAACAACAGACCATCAGCTAATGTATCTGAGAGGAACACTGAGATGTTTTGACTGTATCATCCCAGTGAAAGCTTTTAGGCCAAGCATGATCAGGCACTGACCCAGGTCATATGTGGCTCCTCTGTTAGCAAAACCATCCATAGAATAAGCTCATTCAATTAGTTTAAAACACCGATGAGTCTTGTCAGCAGATTTTTTCGTCAAAGACAACCTGTGAAGCTTACGGTGCAACCGGGAAATGAAGATGGCATTAAGCTGTCAGGTGTGTCTAAAAATAAGACATAAAGTCTGTCACTCTGATGAGCGGGGGTAACAAGGGTCAATTAAGGACCTTGCAGTTGTTGGATTATACCTTGTGCCAGCCTTTCATAGGCCACTTTCTCCTCTTGAGCAGGTAGCCTTCTTGTTTCTGTGGCTCCAGGACAGAGCTAAAGCCTCCACGCAGACCCTCCACGATTTCCCAGCTGTCCTGTGGGCAGAAGTTTGATCAGTACAGAATAACAGTTAATGTTAGCAAACTCAAGTGGTGAAATTTAAAGCAGCTGATAGATAGATAGATAGATAGATAGATAGATACTTTATTAATCCCAGAGAGAAATTCATTTCAGAGGGTAAAAACATGAAAAAGAGGTGAGCATAGATAGATAGATGCATATTCCTGACTGTTCATATAGTGTCAGTTGTCATGTATGAGGGGTGAAATGCAGCACTATTAGGGTTTATGTCCCGTGTAAGGCTTTACTGACCGCTTTCACCTCATGGTCCCATTATAATATTAGCTTACCTGTCTAATCTCACTCCTCACAAAAATCATTTCCTGTCTGAGATTAGAGGGCTTAAGTCTAAATCCCCCCACAAATACAGAGATTTAGATGATATTTCATCCTAAACTAATCCAGATCGCTTTGGCATGTACTTTACTGGTAGGAATTCCAGGAAGACAACATAAACAGAATTAAAATAAACAAGTTTTGTCATTCATTTGTACACAGAATGTTGCACAGCTTTAAGTGTTTAGGTCCTAATGGAAACAGCAGTGAGAAAATCAATCATTCAGTCAAGAGATTGACAAACTTGATCAATATTTTGGATACAGCAAAATCATTTATGCATAATTATGTGTTGTGAGCAGTACTATTTTTTTCTTGTAAAAATGAATGGTGTCTATAAAATGAGCGTTTAAGTGTTCTGATAACGTCATCAGAGTACCATTTCCAACCAACATAGCTCCCAATCTACTTTACCCATTCACTGTCATTTCAAATAAATCAGCCGCAAGATTTCCAGCAAACATGCTCCAGAAGTTTTACAGTGTAGGCCTTGTAAATAGCTTTAATTGGGCGCCACTGAAGAAAATATAGGATGTGGTTTTTCTCAAGTCTGAACAAGACAAGAGAAAACAAGTGAGGTAATCTTCAACTGTGCCTTTTTCCCATCACTTATATGTATTCAAAGGCTGTTATATCATTTGGAAAAGAACAATACTGGCACATGACTTACTCTCACTTTATGTTCTATCAACTTTTCTTATGAATGTGTCTCTCTCTTAACAGATGTGTACCTTAAATGTAAAACATCCCCTGATGCCAGCAATCAAATGCAATTGCTAAATGGGCAAGATAAGAAAGACCCTTAATTTCATGAGGCATTTTTACTACTTTTCCCAAATACACTGACAACAATAATCATTTACGCAAGACAAAGCTGCTTCCTTGTTATAGCTAATTGGCCTGGTGATTCAGCATTTTTACATTGCACCTTCAACTCAGTTTTACTGGGACAAAACTACACATGATCCACACATATTCCCACCACAGGTATTCAGATGGACTGTGCGTTCTTGGCAGAGGTTCGAGGTGACTGTTTGTTTTCTCAGCATGTCCCTGACTTTTCCAGCGTACAGTACGGCAGTTCAGGCTGAATAAACTGTATCAGTCAAAGAACTGGACAGCTGGAGGGTACACTGTTTAAAGACTTGTAAAGGTGGTTGGTGGATGTAGGGGGCGGAGTCTGTGGGCTCTTCCACTCTCCCTGAAAGCTCGTCACAGCTCCCTCGGACACAGTCGCGTAATGACTCATGGTCACACACTGCCTGAGCACTTTTCTCCAAGGTCACAGGACACATATGGAGTTGAAGCAGTGACGTAACAGACAAAAGACACGGATACAGGGTTGGCTATCAGCATGAGAAAATGTATATCAGGCACATCTCTTAATGTAGTGCATGTACAGCTGAAAGTTTACATGAAGAATGGACCATATCTTCTACTTCCAAAATGTGGCGTATATAGAAAACTAGTGTGTTATCAACCAAATGTATTTACTTGCATCTCTAAAAATCAACAAGCCTTTTTTTGCAAACAAAGATAGCTCCATATGATGCAGAGAGGTATACTGAATCTGCATTTGCATCTGTTTTTAAAAAAGCTGAATGATGAATTTTAACTAGAACAAGAGCCAACAACTGCACTTACAGAATTCATTGGTTAGGAGAAAGATAAATTTACAAACTAGTTCTACTGGTCTGCTTTTCTACAATTGCTATGATCGGGACCCTTGCATGTGGCTGATGGCAATGTTCTCCAGAAAAAGGAAATAAATTGAAGGGATCCGAATTGTTCTGGGCAGGCCAGGCTATCGAGAGTTCACCTTTTTTAAAATGAATTTATAAAAGGAATGAACTTTCTGATGATATTTATCTGCACTTGTAATGGAACACTCGTATTATGTCCTGCAGGCAGAACTTGACAAAAAGCTATTGCACTTTTACGACAAAAGGTAAAAAGCAATTAATATTCATAGAGTTATGAAAAATTAATTGGTCTGCTGCCAATAGATAGCTACTGAACAAGAAAACATAATTTGTTTTTGCATTTGTCAACTAATTTGCAAGACATTTTCCAATAGGAAAATATTTCAAAACTGCATTTGAGTGATCTATTGTGCTTAACTTTTCTAAGTGGGGCTGTCTTAGGCTCACAGGCTTTTCCATGCTGCTAAAGAAACGAAATGCAAAGATACTCTCCAGTGAGAATTTGTCCATGGGATTGCACTATTAGACCACAGGGACTAGCCACAGAGTTTTGCGGTGAGGCATTCACTATCAAGTCGTTCTCTTCCCACGGCATAGACAAATCCCTGTGGACTGACGGATACTATATTTCCGTACACAAACTCTATCGACAGATAATAAGGATGTAGAGAGGCCAGCAGTTCAAACCCTGGGATCATGGAAATGCAGTTTCATAACAGAGACTTCTCCAACTATGGTGCATGATGGAGCAGGAGGATTAGTCAGTGACGTGACAGTTGGTGCTGGTTACCTGTCGGCTGTCAAGTTTGGACGAGGAGCTGCTGTTGCTCCGTGACATGGACGATATCTTCTGTGACATGGCTGAACTGTGCTCCTCTGAGCCCATCTCTATGCAGACTGTCCGGATCAGGCTACGTCTTGGGAGTCAGGCACATTTCTCTCCTAAAAGAAGAAAGGGTGGAGATAGAGTCAGGGAGGGTGGACACATACACTGCTTTAAGAGGCAAGCTCTTTAAAAACCTTTTAGCTCATCCCACTGAAAAATGCATAAGGTTATGTAGAGTGATTAGGCCCATCTTGACACTGCAGAATAAGGGAGGCATTGAGAAAAGCTTTGCAGTCGAGTTGTCAATATCAGCAAAACACACTGACAGACAAAACTGGAGGACATAAATCAGGCATCTAAAAGTGAAGAGACCACAGATTTGAATAATTTATATCTTACACTTACAGAGAGAGACAGATCGTCAGCATTTAGGGATCATATTTTAAAGCAGCAACGAGAAGTAGGTTTGTACTACCCTGTGGTGCACTATGGCTCAACTCACAGGGTATCAGTTCTCTCTGAAACTGAAATCGAACACACAGTTCATTATTTGAGTAGATGTCACTGAATAAGAGCTGAACTGACTCTAAAGTCAGCTCAGGGACCATATTTAAAGATATGCATTTAGATCATTGGCCTAGAGTACTATCATCACTCAGGGTAAGTGTGAAAATAATTTGGCCTCCTTATGAAATAGCAACCTTCAGTCTACTGCCAGTCCTCACACAGACTCATTAACATTATGTGCCTGGTCTACCACATCAGCACACAAAACCACATCTCCCTAATGCACTGTGATTGGCAGTCTGTCACAGTATGGAAATAAACAACCAGACAAGACGTGCTCGTGTATATCATGTCGGTACACAAGCAGCAGGCCGTTAACTAAACCATGTAGGAAGAGCAGTGCTGAGGTTCTGGACCATTGGGTTCAGAGCATTAGCATTTATCTGTTTAATGCTACAAAGTCATGAACATCTCGAATATATATATATATATATATATATACTACCCAATGTAAATCTTTGCAGTGGAAAATGTAAAAAAGACTGTCGCTTTGTGAGGAATGCTAAATATTGAACAGTGCATTTCTGCAGATCCAATATGCTGATATTCATACTTTCTTTTGGCCAATACTGGTATTGATACTGTTCTATACAAACCTTTTTTTAAATTGTTAAGAATGCAAAGTTTCTCCTCTGATAGAATTTACCAGTCACTCTCACTGTGTCAGTATATTTGTTTTAGAACCAGATAACCAGACAAATAGTATTTAATTGTACCTGGGATTATCAATTCTTAACATAGACATTCAGTAAGGTATCTGTTGTTTATCTCCAATAGTTTATAACATTCCTATCCAGCTACTATGTGTAAGCATTTTTGCATCACCTTTTCTTGCTGATAATTATGTCTGTAGTAAGTTTTATATCTGCCAATACTAATAATTAACTCCATTACAAATGTCATACTGATAATATTGGGCATGCCCTCTGTTTGATGGGGTGTTCCTGTTTTTCTCAAAAGACAGCTAGCCCACTGGACGTTCCCCCCTACAGCACTTTCAGGCATAACAACTGATTATAAAGAAATAATTGATCTTCTCACTGATTGCTCTTTTTGGTTTCTGTGGGTCATTCAGAGACATCAGTCATGATTCTAGTCTGTTTCACGAGCAGCTTAAGAGTCCTGACTTAAATAAAGAAACAGTTCTCTGATATCATTACGCATTATGTTTGAATATTTCCCCAATATACATCCCAATATGGCAGATGTATGCAACATTTTGATAGGATAATGAATAAATATACATTATATATAGAAAGGCTACAAGATTAAACAGACTCTCATTCATGCATCCTGCTTTGCATTTGGCAGCAGCTCGTCTTAATGCTTACTGGCAGTCAAAGTCTGAAGAAGCCAAGAGAACCACATCATCTGCAAAAAGCTGAGGTAATATTCTGAGGCTTCTAAACCGGGAAACCACACAGTCTTACGGTTATATTGTTATCAGATTACATGAGCTTTTGTTGCAGTATGGCGCAAGACAAGAACTCTATCAACCCTCTTCAGTGGTATAAAACTGTGGCCAGAAGCTCTAGGAATCCAAGACAGAGGTTTTCCCCTGTAGGTTGTTTTTTCGTTTACCATTTCCTTCCTTCCTACTGATGAAAACTATTAGATGGCCTGACACAAAACATCCTCTGTCAGCTCAAACTGAATCAGACAAGCCTCGTGTTGACAACCACTTTGAGGCACAGCAAGGTTAATCACATTACCTGCTCTGCATGCGCGTGTTTTGTGCTGCATAATAGCCACAGCCTTTTGTGTTGGAGAGACAAAGGCGTAGTTATCTGAAACCTCTGTCCTTCAGCCCAGCCTACACCACTGCTATGTGTGTGGACCACAGGTTTACCCTGACAGAGCAAGCTGCCCAAAATACTGCCGCTACAAAGGATCAAAGTGGCAGGACACACAAAAAGAAGACTCCGTCGGCAGGGGTACAAATGCTGTCCTTTTTTTTAAGCTTAAATGCAGCAAAATCCAATTAGTAAATCATGACAGAAACAACTGGAGCTTTGAATTACTGTGATTCATGAGACACTAAATGTAATATACCCGCAATAGCTATCCAATGCTTCCTGTATGATTCATCCATCCATTTTTCAATGATCACGACAGTTATGTGCAGGTCTCTCCGGCTGTCACCCCTCACTTTTATCCAATACTCCACCTCTCAGGCTTCCATTGGGGTGACATTGATGTTAGATGTCACAGCCATGGCGATCCCCCTTTCACACTGACGAGTTGCTCTTTGATGGTAATGAATAAGTGCAGTAAGTGATTGCAACTGCAATTGTTATTAGATAAGAGAAGGGCTGTGCTGCAGGGGGTTACTGCGTTTGTTCTTCCCGAGACAATTTGTCCTCACTTACAGACAGGCTAGGAAGGGTAAGCAGATGAGACAATATAAAAAAGGGAAGACACGTGTAAACAGTGAAGTGTAACATACGGACAGAGTAAGTCTGACAATGCTTGTGAGTTTTGCTAATGAAAACAACATTCATGCCTGAGACAGCTTGGTAAAAGAGGACACTGACAGGTAGAGAGTGTGGGTGTGTTTGTCTATTGTGTGTGTGGTCAAGGAAACACAGAGCATCATGGGAATACTGACAGCTACACTGAGCAGCTCAAAAGATGAACAGCACACAGGGAGAGATAGATTCTCACCGAGCTGGCCCTCCTGTCATGTCAGAGAGAACACAGGTACAACGTGGTCATGTGCACAAAATGTGAACAAATTTTTACACAAAACAACGCAATTCCTGGTTTTAGTAAAAACCAGGTACAATTTATCTTGTTCAGATCTTGCGTAGATATATAAATAGGTATATGGGGTCATTTGCATATCACAATAAAGCAGTAATTTATCTGAGTGACAGGTTAATATAGGTTCTGTCTATTTTAAGTGTACCAAAAGCACTCATGTACAGTAAATCATTAGTAGCAGGTTCATGCGCTTTACCCTGTAATTTCTTAGTGAAAAGAACAGATACAAGCCTCTGTTCTCATGTTTTATTAAAATATGTCTCCTCTCCTTCATAAAAGGAAAGACAATTTGTGCAGGAAGATGACAGACTCCTCTAGTTTATAACAGCAAAATGTGAAGGGCTGAGGCCCACAACTTCTCTTTAATGAGAAAAACCATTTGACACCTCAAGGAGACAGATGTGATCCAACAGGAGCTTAAACTAACACCACCCTCTAGCTTCTCTCACTGGCAAGTATTGACATTTTATTGGGACTCAGGTATGCAGAAAAAATGGTGTCCAAAGAGAGAGAAATAGTGTTAAAACTGTTTGTGCTACTGTGTCAAAGTGTAACAGGAGACAAGAGGTAAAGAAGTAAAAAACTGGAAATTGTCCATCTATAATTAACCGTTGTCGTGGCTGTCATTGGATGAGGGGCTTACCCTTGTTGGGTCACCGGTCAATCACAGGGTTGGCAGGCTTACATGTGTCTTTGGACTGTGGGAGGAAAACAGTGTGCCCAGAGGGGCCCAACACAGCTTGAAAAATAATAGCATACCAATCACAAAAAAAAACAACTACAAATCAAAGCTGTTTGCACTCTAACAGATTAAATAAGGATTTGGTATCTACTTTGGTATGGAATTAGCACAAATGCAATGTCTTATTCCTCGGTATCGTGCGTAGAGTCTGTGCTGACAGACAACAATCATGTTGAAACACTTCATCAAAATAGTTGGAAATCAACCTCCTGTCCTAATCACAGCCCTACAGACAGGTGGATAGATCAAAAGTTTAAAAGCTCAACTTTTTGCGCTCTGCATGCAGCTTCACTTCATGCATTCACCAGTCATGTGACAGACAGAAGCTCAATCGCAAGAAAGTTATTGTCACAAGTGAATAGCACAGACATCACCAAGGCCAGTCTCTTAGCTGACTTTAACGGTGTACCGTAACACTGAAGATCTTACAATCTGAAATTCATAGAAAGTAAATGTTTTGTCATGTTCTAAATGAGTAGAAATAATAACTGATTAAACTGTGTTTTATTATCACATCATTTTCACAATCAAGAGTCTTACGTCTACAAAGAGGATACTTCAATTCAGCGGCGTGATTAAAAATATTATCATCCATTTAAAGAATAAATGGAAATGCCTTCATGTGAAACACAAACCACACCTCATTAGCAGTGATGTCTGCCTTTCAATGCTCCTATGCTCTGTTAAAGACCACTATGAGACCAAACTCTAATAGGTTCAGCTGTGAGGGTGTGCGCAGAACTGTCATCAAATCCTTGGGCAGCAATAGATCTTGGTTTAAGTTACAGATGGTTTAATATCCTTTTAAGCTGCACTTATTTGATTTACAAAAAGCTGAAAGCCCTCTATTACATTGTGCAGTTCATGTTGCAGATGTTCTTCTGTCCCTCCACTGACTCAAGAGTCTGCTAAAAGGCTGACAAGCCTGACAGGCTTTCAGGGATCATTAGGATGTGACTCATCCGAATAAAAGTCTTATGGCTGAACT